TTTTTAAGATGGGATGCTTAACTCTTTTTTTATTCCCCATAGACTAAACTTATTGTAAAAACAGCACTTTGTGACTAAATGTGACCACTGTGTGCTGTCTGCATCTAATTATAAAACATTTTATCAATAACAAACAGAAGAAGGAGCCATGTGTGTCTCCATATAATATTTAATATAAAATATATAATATATAATATAAAGCTGTGCATGTGCCTAAAAGCTTTGCATCTACTACAAATGTTAATTTCCACTTTTATTTATATTACGCCGTGGTAACTGCTCAACCCACCCAGTTGGAAAACATATTTAAAAAAATAGGCAAATCACAAAGGCATTTATTTATTTCGACCTCAATTGTAGACCTGTTACGATGAGAAATTTTGAAGCGTGATATATTGCTACAGAGAAATATTGCAATAGACAATAATAGCAAAACTATTTTATGCCACTAACATAGAGCAAGATAATTCCTGTAAATCAAATATTAAATAGACAGTATCCAATAAATGTGTTATTACATAAAAATGGCAATAAATCCCTATCAAAATATATTCAAACTATTATATATTGAACGATAAGTTAATATTGTAATTATCATGACAGACCTACTCAACTGCGATTAATCTTGCTGTTTTATGGTAGACTGAAGAGGATTTTTAGCTTGTATGATGAAACCATTGTAGTCTGCACACAGGAAAGTCACTTCAAAGCTTCAAACATAGAAAAACAAGACAGAGCTCAGATATTGTACTTGCTCTTTCCTGGAACTGACTCTAGATTAGACCCCTGCAGATGAGGCAGAGGCTGGTTATGTGTGCAGGGGATGGGGGTGGAGGGAGGGCCAAATCCCTTTACCCCTTCAGAGCAGCCATTGTTGGGGCTCCTTCAGCCCACAGACCCCTGCAGACAGGAGAGAGCTGCTTATCTGAAAACACTTTCTTCGCAAAAAAAAATCTACTTGTTTTTTTCATTGACTTAACATTGCCCTACTGTGGTCATTTAATTAGCTACAAACATGCTTATTATGGTGTATCAAAAATAAATTACTTATTTATTTCAGCTTTTAGATACAAATTGAAAGCTCCTATGTGTAAACGAGTGTAATATGAATTTACTATAGTGTTGATAGCGTTGTTAATTAATAAACCACAAAATCATTGGTTGGCATTTCTCAAAATTGTGTCTGGCCCTTTGCCATCCGTAAAAATGACAAATATTAAGATAGGGTCAGGCAAAATATATTTATGTAATTATTTACTTTGGAAGGAAATATATTGTACTGTATGCCCCATAGAGAAGAAAAAAGCAAAGGAGGAAGCGGGGCCAGCACTGACTTCTTAAAACCTGTAGTCTGATATTATAATGTTGTGAAAGTGCCCATCATGTTTAATGCAGCGCCAACACTCTTAGGATTAGTTTGTTTTATCTCATTCATAAAATGGAGAGAGATTTACCCAATGGCCAGCGATTTAAATAGGATAACTTCTCAAAAATATACTATAGTACTATTTTGCACTATTTGCAGAACAGTTTAAGAAACAATTTTAGAAGCAGTTTCAAGTAACATAAATGCAAACTGCTAACTATATAATCTAACTTTAACATGAAGAGAGTTTGATATGTATATATATAAAAAATGTGAACAATTATGTTTTAAAAAATTATCGGTAAGTATTTCATTTTATCATCATGTCAGTTATTGTGAGTAATTGTTAAAACTTCACTAAAATGTGATATTGCATCACGGCGTCCTTGGTCTAATAAGTGTAATGACATGTTTTTGTTCAGTTGTATTTCAGTGTGAGGTTAGCTAATCTTTATCTGTGTTTGTGTCGAATACAGTGAGGTTTACTATGGCATTGTGCGGTTTTAGTGACTTGACTTGTTCACAGTTTTGCCTGTAAATATTATTGTCCTGGGAGTATGAGGTGATGCAACTGTCCTGTGTGTCTTTCTCATAGTAGGAGGACTCTGGTCAGAGGTGTTTAAATCTGATTAGAGGCATATCTCCCATTTCAGTAATTATATATTTTTACAGCCATGCAAGTGTACTATCTTTAGGCAGTTGTGGTTGCTGTTACTTCTAATCCTAGAAATGTGTCATCAGGACTGACTGTAAACACTAATGGTGATTCAGCACTTGCTTTCAACCCTGAACATGTAAACCGAGGGCTGTGCTGTGATATAGCAAAAATACGCAAAACTTTTCCTTATATTGGTTGATTTTGAATATGTTTTTATCAACTAGGTTCATAAAAATAGAACGGAGAGAACTGCTTATTTTCATGGAGGTGTTATTGCTTTGCCTCGAATGTTTCACAGTATGGCATTAAACATGTACCTGTAGTTGAATTAATTCAAGACACAACATTTTAATGCTATAGTGGAGTAACTCCATTGAGACAGGCAGCCAAATTTGTCATATCTTTTACTATCACAGGATTGACTAAAGACCTGTTGATTAAAAAGCTCTAAGCAAATAATTTAATCCCAAAAACAACCTCTTGTTATAACTAACAAGTTAAACAATGTAATGAGGCCTCCAACATTGGGCAGAAAAATAACCTTTTTAACTTCTTTTGCAATTAGTAATGAGGTAATTCTTGTGTGGCATTGTTCAAACAACACTACAGCCAAACATAACAGCACTGGGCATCGGAAAGCAGGGGGGGGCAGGTATTATAGCTGGACAGGATGGTCATAAAATCTAAACTGCTCATTGCCAGCTACACAGAGGAGCAGAGACTTTCGCTTGGCACTGTAAATTAAGGAGGAGCCGATGGGGATATAGGCAAAGCAGTGATTTTGACATCTGATTATCGCTGTGCACTGTTGATTATAGGTGTCAGGCTGTACTAAGCACATGTTACGGAATAGAATAATTCACATAAATAGACATTTTGTAGTTTTTGGCTCATCTAAATCTCAAACTAGATTGTTGCAGACAAGAGGTTTTAACTAGTGAAATTTTAGTGAGTGGTCAGGCAGTTGGACTATTTGTTAAATGGTTATGTGGAGATGTGGAAAATTGTGTATAATAACTATTTTAAAGATGCACTGCGTAACATTTCTACTGGAGGGTCCACCACCTGCTTGTCTCCATGGAATATTATTGCTTTTTCTAGTTATGTTCCACAGTATAGATTAAACTGGTCTATCACAAAGGAGACAAACCAGTGACAGCACTCTTGCTACATTGCAATTCAGACCTGTGGAGATTTACTCCTATTCACAGAAGAAATTATTGTATTTTTGAGCAATAGAAACACACGTAATGAATAAATGCTAGATGGATATGTTTAATATCATACCATGAAACCAGGCAAAGCAATAGCATCTCTGTGAAAACAAGTTAGTAGTGGACCCATCACCAGAAATTTGCGCAGTGTTACAAACTGTTGCAAAAGGAGCACATTATAAAGTAAAATCAACTGTATTCTTTCAAATGGTTATTTCAGTACTTTTGTTATAATTGTATATTATAAACGCAAAGATCATTAACAGTCATGTTTGAGAAAATTTTTATACTTTGTCATTATATTGTGTTCAGAATCATCCTAAAAATGTCAAGAAATAATTATTATCCCACCCCTTTTCATTCTATCCAAATATTTGTGATTCATTAAATTTATTTTGTTGTTTGTTCAACATTTCCGCTAATTGTGTTTTGTGTGTTTATTTTCCTGCAAAAGTACAGAATTTCCCAATATTGTCCCGGCCCCGCCTTATGTTTATCCAGCCTCTGTGTTCATAGGTATCTGTACAATGTGTGCGTTTGAGAACTGTGTTCAGATTCAGTGGCACGCTCACCTCATTCCTGCAAAGTTAGTTTGTTTTTAGACCTCTTCTAAACAATGCCCCAGCCCCACGCACGCTGTATTTTGAACATAGTGCTCCCAGTAAAAACAAGCAGTAGCCATAACAATGTTTAGAAGTTGATTTCTATAGAAGAACTTGCCTCCACTTCCCCAACCCCTCACCTCTGTCCCATTATTACCTGAATGTGGCTAAAAAGTCAGAAAAACAGTGCTTGACGTTGTTGGCATTATTACAGCATTATCTCTGCCTGTAGGCGTCTCTTGAGGGTACAAAAGTCAAATGGGACTTTGATGGTTAGAATAACAAATAATGACATCTGTCCCGGAGGAAGCCCAGAGGAAAACTCCTTTGTTTTAATTTGTTTCTTCACCGGTCACTAAAGAATAGGCTCAGAACTTAAATCAGAATCTCAGGATATAGCACAGATCCAAGCACATACAGATCAGTCTTTATTTGGTCTGTGTCCAAACTGCTTAGCCTTGTCGAAGGGTTTAATTAAAACTGTTTCAACAACAGCAGGTGCCTAAACCACTTATTACAGTGTAAGCCCCCCTCATTTGACAAAAGAGATTTATCTTTTGGTAGTGGGAGTAGTAGAGACAGAAAAACCGAGAAAGAGAAACTGGTTTAAAATTTGAAACAAAATGAGAATAAAGAGAACATAAGTCCCATAATGTTCTCATAATGTCTTTTTTCACAGAACTGTATCACTGTTAACTCAAGATGCGCTATATAGGCCTAACTGTATGACATTAATTTTATCTACCTTGTATTCATTCAATTACAGTAGGCTTTCTGTATGTTTCACGGTTGTTTTATCTGGTGTTTTAATACTGTGAGATGCTTGTATGTGGGTGGTTTTTTGAGCAGCTCTCTGTGTTCTGAAGAAATGTATCCTACGGGAGACAAATAAAACTAGCAGATGTTTTATTGTTAAAAACAATGAGTTTTCATCTCTGTCTCTATAGAGATGAATAAGTTAAATTGCCATACTGTGGAACATTTTAGGCAAAGTAAATGCAGCTCCATGTGGACAAGCAGGTGGCAGACCCTCCTTCAGAAAAGTTACATAGAGCACCTTTAAAATAAAAACAGTAACCCATGTTTTGAATCCCACCAGGCTCTGTAGTAAATGAAAACGTCCTTAATTATTCCTGTCTATTTGTATTTTTTTTTCTCAGATCCTTGATGAAATTGCAGAACACAGCATTAGAATTTATCAGCTGCCCGATGCAGACTCTGATGAAGACGAAGAATTTAAGGAACAGACCAGAGTCCTGAAGGTGAGAAACAACATTAAAGAAATCTAACTACATTATATACACAACAGTCTTTTTAATATTTAGGTACCCAAAAATCTGAACTTTTTTCTAAATAACATGCTTTTACTACCACAGTATGGGTTGATAGACAGTGTTGATTTAAAAGCCCCGAGCTGATCATAGCAATCTACAAACTACGATTCTATTACTATATGACCAACTGTACAAACCTGTTCACCCATTGTACTTGAATTAGACTTTTATGCTTATATTGTGTGGTCTGTTTTTATCTCCTGCATCCAGGCGAGTGTTCCTTTTGCAGTGATTGGTTCAAATCAGCTGATTGAGGTGAAGGGGAAGAAGATCCGAGGCCGTCTTTATCCCTGGGGTGTTGTTGAGGTGGAGAATCCTGAGCATAATGACTTCCTTAAATTACGCACCATGCTTGTGTGAGTTCCCTCTGCCATAAAACATCTTTAGAGCCGACTTTTGCCACTTCCATCACAAAATTATTTAAAGCAAAACTGACTTGTAAGCCATGTTATAATACTGTTACCTAATCACAAACATGTCTGGTGTTGTGTTTTGTTTGATTTGCACGTTTGAATAGTCCTGCATTGTTAGTATGTCTACATCTTCAAAGCTCAAAATGCTCTACCTTTTGATTAGTAGAGATTGACAATTCCAGAGATAAAATTACCCAAATTTGAGAAAAGAACTAAAATTTGAATCTCTCTAAATCTGAACTGTGTTTATGTTTATGTCGTGGCCATACCAACTTGACAAAGCCTGATCCCGTCAGATCTCAGAAGCTGAGCAGGGCCGGGCCTGGTTAGTACTTGGATGGGAGATTGCTGGGAAAATCAGGTGCCACAGGGGGCGCCAGTCGTAAAAAAAACCAAACTGTTGTTGTGTCCTTAGGCAAGGCACTTCACCCTCATTGCCTAGTATGAAAGTGGTGTGTGTGTGTGTGTGTGTGTGTGTGTGTGTGTGTGTGTGTGTGTGTGTGTGTGTGTGTGTGTGTGTAATGGTGGTGGTCGGAGGGGCCGATTGCGCAGATTGGCAGCCTCGCTTCTGTCAGTCTGCACCAGGGCAGCTGTGGCTACAGTAGTAGCTTACCACCACTGAGTATGGAATGAACGAATAATGTACTGTAAAGTGTTTTTAAGTGTCCAAAAAGCGCTATATAAAACTGATGCATTATTATTTATTATTATTATGTTTATTTTAATAGATCCATGGTTCAAAGTCCATTGTAACTTACTGTTTATAGAGCTCTATTGCCCCCTAGTGGTTGGTGTCTGATGTTCTTGTCATTGCAGGACCCACATGCAAGACCTACAGGAGGTAACCCAGGATTTGCACTATGAAAACTTCCGCTCAGAGAGACTGAAGAAGGCTGGCCGGTCAGCACGTTTTCTGATAATGAAGATAATATTGTGGCTTCTCGTGACTTTCTTATCATGACTTAATTGTATTGTTTGTTTGTGATTACAGAGCTGTGGATGAGGAGGTGCTGGATAAAGATCAGATACTGTTACAGAAAGAGGCTGAGGTATGTGTAATTTGTTATTATTATTATTATTTTTACAAAGGTGGAAACTATTTGTAAAAACATATTTCAGTTGAACTCTGCGTGCGCATTAGGACTCTAGTGGTTTGAGTCAAAGCTTAATTTACAGATGTTTGTAAACATGCCCTGGCAGGATATGGCATAATTTCCTTCCTGAATGTCCTGGCCTTTTTAATGGTGGGAATGACCCCAGTTAACTATAGGAATGTGATGATGCTGTTTAAGTTAGATTTGTATCTCATTGTGTCTGGTGAAACCAGATATTGTAGGCAGTAAGGGAATTATTTATTTTCTGTGACATATGGCAGATTTAAGTGTAGTTCTTAGTTTTGGAAAGAGCCAGCATGTAATATGACATTATAAATGATCACATTTTTCTCTCATATTGACCAGTCATGATTTTTTGTCAATTCATAAACCTCTTTCCCCCCAAAAAATTGCTTAAATTTCTTGAACATAAATGATATACACTTTTAATAATTGCTACTTAAAACTAAAAATAGTCAAATTTTTTTACTATGAAATCTGAACTTTGCACCAAACCGCATGCTTTTATTTACAGAGGGATGGCCATAGACTTCTTAATTAAAAATGGTCCAAATATATTATGGACAATTAGAGATTGTTAAAAGCCGGACTAATTAGAATACATACATCTGGCTCTTCTAGTCACTATATATAATTAATTGAATATATTAAATGATTTATGAATGATGACTGATGCCAGATTTTTTGCTGATTCTTTTTGACCCTGACCCATTTTTGCCACATTTAACAATAACTTCCTTATGGCCACAAGAGGGCAGTAGATACAGATACATGATCTATCATCTATCACTGTCTTTTCAGTAACACATCAAAGGTAAATTAGACGGGAGAAAATATTGAAACATATATATACAAGTATAAATAAAATTCATGTTTTGATGTAGTAGTTTAAATCATATACTATATTTTAAAAACAAAAGAAAATACACAATAATAAACAAGGGTATAATGTGACAATTTTGCATTTTCTTTTGTTAATTTTATGGTTAATTTGATTAATAGGTAAAATATGTTAATATTAGCTTTGGGATAACTTAGACAAACTTTAATGATCCACAAGGGAAATTACTTAGTGCACACATCAAAGTATATTATAATAACAAAGAGCATGAAATAAAAATGGTAATAATACATTTTAAATAAAAATGATAATCCAAAAACTGTAAAGATATTAATTTTATTTCGATATTACCCACCCTTATTAGTAGTATTTTCAGTATTTGTAGTCAAGGCACAATAAATTGACTTACAGACTGCTAAATGTATTGATTGATCATAAACATTTCTTATTTCTCTCCCATAGCTGCGTCGCATGCAGGAGATGATTGCCCAGATGCAGGCGCAGATGAAGATGAAATCGGACGAGTAGAAAATAATAAATGTGATCCACCACAGTTACAAACACACACTTCTGCACAAATGTAAGGTTGGGGTTCTGTATCCACCCAGCTTCAGTCTTCAAGAGCCTTATCTAAAGCCCACCCATGTGTTAGGTCACTATGATGTTTACAGTAACTGATCACTCATGGTATCATCACATGTTTTTTCTATCAAGGAGTTGTAATGGCACATATATTTTTGTCTTAAATATTAACTCATATAGTTGTGGTTAAAAACCAGTTTGTACTTTTCTATAATTAATAACGGATATTAATAATGGTGTGTATGTTTGTTATAGTAAAATGGTTTTCCTCAGACAAAAAAGATTATGTGAGAAACAACTGTGCCCATATTTTTGTATTATCATTAAAAGCGCATGTTCTCTGTGCCAAGCTATAACATGATGATTTAGTTCAGGCCAGTGGATGTTAATGTTGAAAATGTACACTACTGGTACTACACTGAATATACATAATTTTATTACTATTTACAAGTAAATTGTATTATGCTCTTAAAAGTCTGTCCATTGCATTATGTCTTTGATGTTTTTGCCCTTGTATTATTTTCTACTAATTATTTCTAATATATTGGTCTTAGCAGGGTGCCCTCAAGTAGATTGGATGTTGATGTATTTCAGAAATAAATTTTCATAGAATTTAAAATATTTTTTTGTGGACAAGTCTTTTTTTTTTTGTTGTAATGATGGTGTAATAACATAGGTACATTTTATAAAGGTGCTCTATTCAAATACCATCTGCTTTAGGTTTGTAGTGACCAAAACCGTATTAAATGCTGAAACTGCTCTAATATTCAATCAATCAATCAAACTTTATTTATGGAGAGCTTTTCATACAAAAATGCAACACAAAGTGCTTTAATAATATATAGGCCTGTTATCTTTTGTCAGCTGTAACACACAGAGAGACTGGAATAGTCTAACAATAAGTGCTAACATAATACAACCCAGAATGAGGTTATACCCAAAAAGTGTTTAGTTCTTTGTGAGACAAAGAAAAAACTGATTCCGTGTAAGTCTCACTTTTTATTGAAATCATATTGAAAAAGTGGGACATTCTCCAAGTAAGTGGGATGAGGGACGGGAGTCTAAATAGCTCTACAGGACAATCAGAGAAGGGAAAGGTAGTCACACCCCTAGCCTGTGCTAACCCCCTGACACGAGGGGTTGTTTTCACACTTCGTACAACAGTAATCTTATAGCTCCTGGTTTTACTGTTCATCTCTGCTCTTCCTCATAGCCTGTCCAACTCTCCTCATCACCATACTCTGTTCATCTCTCCTCCTCATCACCATAGACTATTCATCCCTCCTCATCCCCGTGCGTAAAGCGTGAATGGCTGACTCTGGGGGCGTGGTTTGGAGCTGACAGCTGACCCCGCCTCTCCTGCCATCCGTGCGGGCTTTGGAGGCGAGGAGGAGCCGCTATCCAAGAGCACGTCGCTTCGGTGAAAAACCTCCGTGCAAAAGAGAGCACCATGACGACGAACATCCGATACAAGAGCCGCATCCCGGTGAAAACAGGTGAGGGTCGCGGTGCTTTCATTTGACTGACATATGTGTGGAGACAGTGCGATGATTGCTCTCTGTCTGTGTCTCATGGACGTCGCTTCGCATCCCGCACCTGCGCCTCCGCATCTCTCCATCCGAATGAACAGAGGACAGTATAGAGGTAAGCACTTATTTATTTCTCTACACGAGTAGTTTCACAATAGATGTTTGATAATATTTTGTATTGTGTAGAAGGTTTGTATTCACGCGTTACGCATGATACAGCATCTCTCGGGCCGTGATGATGTGGTCAGCTCCATAGTGAGGGGCAGTGGGGGTTGGATTTCATTTTTAGACTCATATGTGGAGCAGGCCAGTGTCAGGAGCACAGCCAAGTGCCAACAGGGGCCCACTCGGCAGAATCCATCCTCATACTGCTCTCCTATCAGCACAATTACTCAGCGCACGTTATTAGTCCAATTACTCCTGGCCTCGTTGTCACGTTACGTCATTACAATGCCATACCCCGGTGCTTTGAGCTGAGCACAGGCTCAGCTGCCACAGAGGTCGCCCCATCACTCCTCCACGCACGTCCCCTCGGGTCGTAACAACGGATAACACTTATTTATCCAAAAAAGCAGGCTAATAACAAAATAAGACTAACACCTTCAGTCTGGTTTAAGGTCAGTTGAGTTTTGTGTTGGTCAAGTCCTCGTTCCTCTCAGCACAATACAACACAACAGACAGGACTATCAAAGGCAACCAGATTTACAAATTCATAACTGGGAAAAGTCAAAATAGCCGTTGTTTCATGATTGAGAATACCAGTCTCCATGAGACAGATGATGCAACTGCATGTAATTCCCTTAAAGTTTAGTGGAAATAGTGACCGAATTAAACAGTGACACAAAAGCTTTCAACTTATTATTATCTCTGTCACCGTTTCATTTTCAAGAACATGAGAGCACATAAGTATTGAAGATTATAACTGATCTTAAATCAATGTTTGGGAAAAGTTATTCCCCTTTACACTTCTCCCTGATGTTCATCTTATCAGTTCTGTAACTGTAAACTGCAAAATTGTGTTGCTGGGCAACTGTTCTTTTTTAATCCTTTTCATTTTCTGATATGAACAAGGCACTATCATCTGACCTCTTCACAATCCTGTTGTGTGTGGGTAGGTATATTCTCACTGTAGTCAGTACAGTATTATCCCTTTTTTATTTCATGCATCACTTTGATGTAGGAAAAATGCTAGTTTGATTTATTAGATTTTTAGATGTTTAAGGTATTTTACCTCAGTTTATTTGACACACATTCATAGACCATCTGCTTTAGACCCCCAGCAGGGCTCTTAGCAGTGCAAATGAATAATTAAAGATGCATGCCCTTTAGGAGTGCTTCTTTTACCTAAATGACACATACTGCTTTGTTTATAAGGAGATAATGCCTTTATAGAGACTTTTTATATCTCACTTTTGGTAAGTTATTGAAGTTCTGATTAGAGCACTTTCTTTACCAGCACTGTAGTTTGTACCTGCAGACATTTGCAATTCACAAATTTACTTTAAAAGCATCTTGTTGTTCTCTTTAGTCACAACAGCTTAAAACAGCAACAGAAGAGGCTAATATGGATAAGTATCATAAGGATAAACCACTGAGCCAAAACTGTAATTTTTATATCCTATTTACAGCTTTACAACAATGTTCTTGACTTTATTCTGTCATTCAAGTAACAGCACAATCAGTCGCACAATGATAATTATGATAATGTCTTGTATAGATTCTAGGGCTGTAGTTGTCTAAATAAATTCTTGGTTATTTAAAGACTTGCCCTGTGCATCGATTAGTGCACTAAAAGGGGATGTGGCATTAGCAAAAAGATCTCAAAACTGATCCAACCATTTACATATAAGAACCAAAGTACACTGGCAAGACAACTGGACTTGTGATTTATAAGAAAGCAGAATAAATTCACACTTTACTCCCAGAACTACAGCAACTCAATCAGTCAGACTGTTGTTGTACATATTTAGTCAACTATTTAAAATGTGCTGGGGTAACACAACATTAACCAATTACAGATTAGATTCCCCTTGGACTCATATGAATTAATTATAATATTTCTGTTGTGTATTTTAAACTACTGGTACTATACAATGTGCATACAGTTGGATACAGTAACTGTGCCCCAAATGCTAGTGTCCTTGTGTGGAGAAGGTTTATTGGAGCCTGAGCAATTACATGCTTCAGATTTGCATGTTAAAGAGCTGTGTGCAGGGGGCCTCTACTTCTCCAGAGAGGGGACAACTTTTGTTTATGAGCTCCTCTGTCGGGGTATCGCTGTTATTACTTCCTGCTGCCTCTCTCAGGTCGTCCAATCAGCAGCAGGCGTCCATTAGAGCTCTTTCAGGGTTAATAGTGTGAAAGAGTCATCCGGGCAGCGGGAAAGGTCAGTGCCCCTCACTGCCACATTACAGCTGTCTGCAGCCTAAAGGCTCCAGCGATATGGACACAGAGAGGCAGTCTGCACCTGTTATTGTACACGCCACATTATATTAAACGTCAGTTTTCAAGCTCCTCATTCTGACTGTCAGCTAAACCTCTGTCAATGAAAGCATGTGGTTTGGATAGTTTACATTTTAGTTTGTGTGTTTGTAATATAACACTGATGTTTGCCAATGAACCTGTTCCATCAATTATATAATTTTTTGCTGAATCAGCCAGCCTTGGTCCTGAATCAAGGCCTTCTAATCCAAGTTTATATTGCAACACACATGTTTAATCTCAGTGAGCTTCTCCCGGTTAAGTAAACAAATAAATATATCAGCATCAGTGATAAAAAGAAGAACATTTTCTAACTATCTGTAATTATCTGGGCAAATCAAATGTCAGTGGTTGTGATTTTCAAGGCTTTACATTTTGTATTTCTGAGGGTCTCCAACTTTTTCCTCCAGTGAATTTTTTCAAAACAAAAATGACAGAAAGCTACGTATTTTAATGGTCACAAGAAATGTTGTATATTTAAGAGCCATGGTAAGCCTTAGATATAAAACATAAACCATTATCTGTTTGTTAGTGGACAAATTTAGATGTCAAAATGATAGATTTACAATGGTAATTAATCAAATTTTATTTATTCAGCACAATACATATAATTCAGAAATCCCTTGGCAAGCTACTTTGAGGGGGCTGGAGATCTAATGAGATGGTGTCTATATGTTAATTGAGAAAAGTGTCAACACTTTTACACTTAAGTTGTGTTCTGCATGGTAGTGGGATTTCCTCCATAGATATAAATTTGTGTTTGATTTGTCAGTTTTACATAGCCCACTAAGTAATAGCCCTATTGATATTTTCCTTGTTACTCTTTATATTTAACAAGATTTCATGATTGTTTGAGCATGTGTGATTGTATCAAGGAGTGTGAGACAGCTGGTCCCAGTGCTATACACAGGGGGTGGGGTGGCTATTGTTGTCCCATTTTAAGACATCTGCTCCTCTCTATTGATCAACACTCATCATAAATTTACTCATAAAACCACATAGAAGTGTCTTTGAGCTCGACCATCTCCATATAAAACATATTTATCCTTTCATTCTATTGATGTGACAGTTGCATATTTTTTTTGTTGAGAGGGCATCTGGGGCTTTTGGTGTGCCTCTAGTTTTTGTCTCCATCGTGTGGTGTGGCGTGAAAGCGCCCTCTAGTGAATTTATTTAGGGTGTGTCAGTTTTAGGGCCAGAAAAGCTAAAAGTCAGCTTCTTTTATTCCTGCAAACAGTGAGCTTGTGTTGGCCACATTGTGTAGGCCTGGACACACCCACGAGCAGTAGCCACACTTACCACACATCTGGAAGCAATTGGCTACGTCTGCTGCTACCTCACTCAAATCTTCATACTGCTGTGGTTCTCAATCTGTGGGGCAGGGTCCTTTAGTTACGCAGTATACTTCTGGAGGTACTGAATAGAGATCAGTTGTTTTGATTTGATGTTTTGATCCTTGGTTCAGTTACAGAAGAATTTCTGGCTGTATGCTCTTGTGGATCTGTTCAAAATTAGTTTTGATTCTGAGTCAAAAACTCAGAATCACTATCTGAACAGTAAGAACATAAACCTAACTGTCATCTAAAACAATAAAAGAAACATTTTAAACTTATGCACTGATCTCATCCGAGAGAAGAAGCACATGGTGATATGAATTGTGTTAGGATTGGTTTTGAAAGACCATTAGGGGTTCATCAGAGCATAGGCCCATTTTATGCATTTATTTATTATTACTGAAATGTATATGCAAATTTTAAAACATTAATATCCCGGTTGTTGTTTAAGATAAGTTAAAGGTACACTAACATTTTGTGAAAAGAGATGGGCCACCTGCTTGTCTTCATGGTGATGTTTCTTTGGACAGATCTACTGTAACTTGACCTGGTGTCATTACTTACATTACCTGATGTCTCTATAGCGATAAATTTAATGCCATTTTGTGGAACATTACCCACAGTGCAATAACATCTCCTTAGAGACAAACAGGAGCCTTAAACTGAAATGTCAGATGATATTCTTACATGATGCAACAAAGTCCCAATGTTTTGTTTTTGAAAGCACAGCAGCCCTTTACACATGGCACGAATTACAGTTAAGTAACATGCTGTGCACATTATTACACTGTCGTATAATTAAAAAAAAAATGCATGACTCTTGTTTACTCAGCACACTTGACAGTTGAACAGGCTTCACTCTTGAGACTATTGAAACTGTCAAACTGTTTTCTTGACTGGCTATTGTACACAGGCCTGTACCTGCAGCTGAGAGATTGTCTTCATATACAGTAGTGTTTGTTCAGAGCCATCTTTGTCAGTCGTGTTTTAACAGGTCTTCCTTTTGTCTTCTAACTTTCCACATAGATTCTGTCCCTTTCTCCTTCAACTCCTCCCTCCCATCTTCATTTCTTCCTGTGTATGTTTTATTTTTAGTGGGCACTGCTGCAGCTGGGGGAGGGAGTCCAGACTGAATGAATGAGTTTCTTTAAGGCCTCTCAACCCTTTCCGTCCCACTAGGGTTTCCTCCCTCAAATTGCCACCCCTGGTTCCCCCATGACTTGAATCCATGTGCTCCCCATGCTGCTGTGAGAATTCCTCTGTACCTGTCTGAACAGAGCAGGAGCGCTGTAGGGCACTGAGGGCAAGGAGGCACGCCAGAAAAAAGAATAACAGGATAAAAAGACGAGTAGGAGGAACTAAGGAGCATAGAAAGTACCCAGACAGGAAAGAGTGGAACCAATATCGTCCGGGATTTTAGGATGGACGCTATTATGCTGCAGGAAAAACTGGTGGAACGGCTTCTGTGCCCCCGAGTCAGGACTGCCAGGCAAAAGGTAACAATCTGGGTTGGGACAAACTTAAAAAAAAAAAAAAAAAAAAAAAAAAAAAAGGAAAATTACGTTGTTTACTGTTATGGCAGTAATTGTGGTCCTGAGAACGGAGAACTGTGAACTGATGATAGGAATTGTATCTGACAAATGGCTCATGTAGGTTACCCGTGTCTTTTAAAATGATGAATAATCCGGAGCGTTACCATGGCAATTGACAACTCAAAATAACAAATAAGAAACAAAATATTATCTTTTGAACGTCCTCAAAATGGCACCATATAACAGGAAGCTGAACCCATAGTACTATATATGACTTGCGTATTTTGTGTGACTTCTTGCTATGTTAGAATAAATGCACACTTCATTTTGTTATTTGCCTTTATTACATATTTTCTTCCACACTCTTCCCTTTCTGTTAAGATGTGCATATGTGCAATTGTGAAGCCCTCGTCTCACTGGTCACATTGTCTGTTGTGTTTTTACAAATCCACTCTCTTGGGGCTGTCGGAAATACCAGTGACAAGTTATGACAGCAGCAAAGCAGGATGCTAACAGTCAGTGTGTTTGGCTTGTGTGAAAGAGCTTTTCAAGAGACTCAGTGGAAATGAATGACCTCAGCTCACATTGAAATGAAATGAAAAACGCGCGATGCCAGCCGAGACCACTCTGGCACACACACACTGGTGCTGTTTGTAGGAATCTATGCTAACGTTTTTGCTCTCTGACTGCGGTGGCAAGTCCTTTTTACACTAGTAGTCAATTATTGTGATTTTATTTTTTTTCATTGCACACGGTCATCTTTTTACATATATTTGTATGTGCATTGTCTGTAATACTATTGTTGTTATCATGATGAATTTCTATATTGATGGGAGATAGCCTACTACAATCATTAAACAAAGGATAAATAAGTCATAGCAAAATATAAAAAAAATACTAATTTCAAGTATCAATAGGAAAAAAGCATATGCTGATTAATATCTGATAATTGATCTATCATATATTATAACTAGTGGCCACATGGTAATTAAAAAAATAATATAATATAAAAATTTGCATAGTAGGTTCTAGTATCTAAACAGTGTTTTTTTCTGTATTATCAAAATTGATATTGAGTATCAAGACTTTTCCTTAGTATTGACATATAGAATGTGATAACAACAGTAGGTCTATGTAAGTGGCTATTGAGGTTAAAACTGTAACTAAAATAGACAGAAATCTACCTGCATTCTTCTAGTTGGCTACTGCTCATGTTAACATCAAGTCTTGGCTATAGCTTCAGTGGAAATTCTTAGATGGTGGTTATTCTCAGTGCGTGCATGTGTTTTCCATGCCCTGTACAAGGTTGGGCCCTCTGGTGTGGTTACTCAAAGGCTGCAGTGCCATTAAAAGTCCACTAATTTTAACAGATATCCTGTAACTTCTATTTTTGTTGGATTTGACAAGCTTAAGTGGGGAGTCTGAATTGGGCATTTGAGTTTTATTGTTGGCAATATTTTGTCTAGGGTTCTGTTTTACAAGGCCATGCTTTAACAAAACAATCATTTTATTAGTATGTGTTGTCTCCTGTGTCTCTTAGGAGAAACAATATGTGGGTTTTGCCACTTTGCCCAACCAAGTGCACAGAAAATCAGTGAAGAAGGGCTTTGACTTCACTCTTATGGTGGCAGGTCTGTTATAAACCTTTATTGTAATTTTTAAAAATGCACTATGCATATTTCAGGTGGAAGAGCTGCTACCTGCTTTTCTTCATGGAGATGTTATTCCTTTACCTTGAATGTTCCACAGTATGGCATTAAACATATCTACCTAAATGGAGACAAGCAGGTGACACCATCAGGCAAGATGTAGGTCAAGCCTATAGAAAGAAGTTTTTTTTGTTTAGTTTTTTTTTCTCTGAGAACATGTGTAACTAAACACACACCATAGGTTTATGCCATACTGTTGAACACTTCAGGCAAAGCAATAACATTTTAGTGGAGACAGGTGGCGGACTCCCTCCAGAAAAGTTACACAGTGCACCTTTAAGCTATTTATGTATTCTTTTGTATACTATATTTATGTACTGCTATATAAATGTTGTACTTACAAAATTTGTGTTTTAGGGGAGTCTGGAATGGGAAAATCCACTCTGGTTAACAGTCTGTTCCTCACGGACCTCTACAAAGACAGGAAGTTACTAAACGCAGAAGGTGAGTTCTAAAATGCAACACTGACCTCAGCAGCTTGTCACTTGATAAGTATTAGAGCCTCAACTCATCAAATAAATAAGAGTATAGACCAGGACTAAATCTAGACTAAACCTCAACTAAAAAGAAGACTTCTCATCATAACCCCAGTCACAGCTAATCATCATAACCTGATTAATCAACCCCTTAAGAACCCCCTAAGAACCCCTTTTTAAACAGTAACGCTGCCCCTTGGCATTTCAGAGCGCATCAATCAGACAGTGGAAATCATCAAACACACAGTGGACATTGAAGAGAAGGGGGTGAAGCTGAAGCTCACAATTGTAGACACACCGGGCTTTGGAGATGCAGTCAACAACAACGAGTGGTGAGACAATGACAGTCACTGCTGTTCACTCAGAGCTGCTCAATGTGGAAAACATCACAGTTACATTTGGGTCATAACTGAAATCATCACCTGCTTGGCTGAATAGAGATGTTATTATTGTACTTCTATCTTCTATCTATCTTATATTCATTCAGTTACCGTTTATTTTTTCATTGCTCTATAAATACACTGAAAAACAAGGCAAGAAAAGTATTGCCTTGAGTGCCTCCACATATCAGGACATTGGTGTCAGGATCTGGCCTTTGTGGCGTCACCTGTTAGTCTCCATGGAGATAGATAAGTTACATGCGTACTGTGGAACATTCCAAGAAGATATGCAGCTGGCAGACCCACCAGAAATCGTACTTGAATAATGCAATGGACTTATTTTGTTAGTTTTGTGATTCATGTTTTAAAAGCCATGATTGCTGATTAGACCAGTGCTCAAGGGGTATAACAGGATCCCATAACATTCAAAACTGGATTTGTCATTAAACAATCTCTTATCAGATGTAATCACGATTAAAATGTGATGTATGCAGCTGGAAGCCCATCACAGACTACATCGACCAGCAGTTTGAGCAGTACTTCAGAGACGAGAGTGGACTAAACAGGAAAAACATCCAGGACAACAGAGTGCACTGCTGCCTCTACTTTATCCCACCGTTTGGCCATGGGTAATACAAACGCTGTATTCTTATTATGATTTCGATTCGATGTTAAGGAAAATATTGTATTGATCATAAATGTGTGTTGTTCTTAGGCTGCGACCTGTAGATGTGGAGTTTATGAAGGCTCTGCATGAAAAAGTGAACATAATTCCCCTTATTGCCAAAGCCGACTGCCTCACACCAAACGAAATCAAGAAGCTCAAAGACAGAGTGAGTGTCAGGACAAACCCATATAGTAACCTTATAAACTTTATTTGCAAAGTTTACATTAATGTTCTTGCATTTTCAGATACGAGAGGAAATCGACAAATTTGGGATTAAGGTGTACCAGTTCCCAGAGTGTGACTCAGATGAGGACGAAGAATTTAAACAGCTTGACAAAGAACTCAAAGTAAGCTAACATTTCTGGTATTTCACACACATACACTTATGATTGTGCAATTATAATGCAGTATATATAAGCGTTAAACAACAAGGATCCATTCAACCTTCTGGCTGCCATGGATGTTCAAGGTATTAGTTATTTCTGTTTTAAATGTTTTATTTGAAGCTAGTCCCTCCTAATAATAGTTCATTTGTTTATCTGCTATGGTGATGCTCACAGTGTAGTGATATAGAACAGTGATTCATTTTGCCGGACTACCTGTGCGGTAATACAAAAATAATGCACAGAGGTTAGCATTAGAATTCATACTGACCATAGTATATAATGAGTAATAATGGGGTTAAAGTGAATTGGTCCAATCGAATCCAACTTTATTTATAGAGCACTTTAAAAACAACACAAAAACATGTTAATGGCTTTAACCATGATTTGTAATATCTCTAATTACGATGTATCTAGTCATCCTATGATACTCAAGAATATTGTTCAAACTGTACACAGGATCAGAATCTCTATTTAATTTATTAAATGAATCTATTTTATCTATTTAATTTCTCTCTTTAAAATTTGAGCATAGCATCTGTGTATATGTAATGCAACATTTAGATTCTTTTGTGAAATGACCTATAGCAATATTGTTTACATTATGATAAGTCATGTTTACTTATTAGTTTCTTGGTTAAATAATGAAATAATGAATAATTAACACCAAAGTGGCTGTAGGCACCTGCAGAGTTTGGTTACACCAGAAAATAGAAATATTCTTGTGCAACATTCTTTGACAAAAGTACCCCGACATCTGTCAGTTTAGTCAGAAATCCTGTTTTTAGATGTGATAAATATATATTGCTCTTAGTAAAGTTTGCATTTCTAACAGGAGTGCACCCCGTTTGCTGTGATTGGCAGTAACACAGTGGTAGAGGCCCGTGGACAGAGAGTGCGAGGACGCCTATATCCCTGGGGTATTGTTGAAGGTAAAAGCTTAAAACACATTTCTGCTGCCACAGATGAACACACAAGTAACAGCATGAATTTAATTATCTTTTTATTATGTGCTCAGTGGAAAACCAGTCACACTGTGATTTTGTCAAACTGAGGAACATGCTGATTCGTTCCCACATGCACGACTTGAAAGACGTGACCTGTGATGTGCACTATGAGAACTACAGAGCCCAGTGCATACAGGAGATGACCAGGTGGGGGCGCTAACACCACAGCTTTATGTTCAGAGCTGCAACATTATGAATAACTGTCCTGTTTTCTCTAACAGTAAACTGGCCCAGGACAACCGCATGGAGAGTCCTATCCCCATCCTGCCCCTGTCCACTCCTGATGTGGAAACTGAAAAACTCATCAAAATGAAAGATGAGGAGGTAATTCTGATAATGCTGATCATGAGTGACAGAATGTGTTTTGCAGCTTAGTTTTATCAACTATACTTTAGTTTAAAGATTAGATTATTGGTTCTCAACTGGGGGTTTTGATAGTAAGCCTTATTATCATGCCTGAATCAACAGAACTCTGAGGAAATACTGGCAGATTAAAATTCATACTTTTATTTAGGACATGGCTTGGCTCAAAGCTGCACCAGTTGTGAACAGATTTAGATACTGATTATTATATCCTGATCAGACATTGATCATTCTTACTCATGTATGAAATAAAATGTATTTTTACATGTTTACATGTTGATAGTGCTGATGGTTAATTTTACACATCTCTTAATCTTACATCATCTTCTGCAGTTGAAGCGGATGCAGGAGATGCTGAACAAGATGCAGCAGCAGATGCATGACAAAGAGCAGTGATGTCAAGTGAAGTAGAGCTGCAGCGCCCCTTGCTGTCTGTGCTCAGAACAACAGAGACTGTCAGAAAAAACCCACATGGGTCTCATGTGTTAGTGGCAACTCTGGCTGTTTGGTGCTTCTGTATAGTCTGCCTGGGCAGTGGCTAAGAGTTTTTCATGTCTCTGAAACTATGAGCCCCTATGGTTAAAAGTCTTAAAATAAATATACTTTGTTTAACAAATGCATAATTTAATTACTAGGCATTATATGTTATTTATTAATTCAGTGCTAAACCTTTTGGATATTCTATCAGGGTATGAATTGTGTTTGCAAAATGTTTTGTAATACATTAACTTGTGATGTTGACATTTTAAAATATATTTTTATGTTATATTATATTATCCTAAGTAATGCTGTGTATCCGTCCATGCACCCCATGTGCCCTTAAATCGACCACAGTGACTTTGTCAGAACCCAAACTATCTCTTTGTCTCTTTTTGCTTTGTTCATCATGGACACATTTGGACAGTCAGTATTTTAATACTGAGACACACTTGATGCTGGTGTCAAACTGTGAATGGGGCGCCTCAGACATAATGACAGAGTGAAGCAGTGTGCATGTCGGAGCATGCTGCTCTTCTTTGTGCGCTCTGTAGATTTTGGGCCTATTTTTACTTCAGCCCTGTGCTTGTAATAAATGCATTATGCCCTGTTGCCATGGTAAAATACTGAGAGTACTGTCTTGGCTGTGGTGTCTCCTCTGCTGAAGTGGCTTTTTGTGAGTGAGATTTTGTATTGATATTGTTTGTTTGAGTGAATCTGAACTTGAGTGATATGAGATCCTGCAGGTTTGCTTTGAGCTCAACCATAGGCTCAAAAATGTCACAAATAAATACTACATGAACATCCTATTGTTTCTTTATTCATTTGACTCATTGTTACAGGACTGAAAACTCTTAATTTGCTGAGTCATTATCTTTAGGAGACATCCTTCCTATATGTTGGAGATTACCCCCGCCCTCGCCAATCAACTACCAGAAATCTTGAAAAAAACACATTATTTTTTGGGAAAAGGAAAGAAATGAGTCTTTGTTTTATCAGAGGAAAATAATAGGAACATTAAGATAGTATGTAATAGTTATTGCTTGGCTGGGTTCATACGCATTCACTAGTACAGGACATACTCTTTATCAGCCAATGCCAGCTGCTCATCACTTCGTCTCTTGGAAAGAAATTGTAGAACAGCCATTGGCCTCCGCAGCATACAAGGTAAGTAGATGTGGGCCTATAGACGCACACACAGCTTGAACTTATTTAAGTAGCATTTCCTATTTATTTTAAAGCATACATCCATTAGCTGCTAAACTAGTTTTTATAATAACTGTAAATGTGTTGACCTTTTTAATGAGACTAATAGGCATGCCAGTTACCAGACCCAGTTTTTCTCATATTTCTACCTTTCTCATTGGAAACTGTGATAAAAGATGACAATGTGAGATGATTTCAATGTTTGTTGTTTAGTAGAGAATTACAATATGTTTTTCTTTGAATGGCAACTATATCAATAACTCTCTTTTACTCATATATTAGAAATATATAATTATATAACTTTTTAGCTATTTTCCTATTTTTCTATTACATTAAACTTATCTGTCTCCATGGAAAGTCATTGAATAAATCTAAGATAGATAATTTTACTACAAAATACTGCAGAACATTGAAGGCAGAAAAAGAAGATCTCAGTGAGACAAGTATTGGTGGATCGGTTACCACAGTACACAGTGGGGTACACAGTGGGGTACACAGTGGGGTACACAGTACAACCCAGGATGAAAGAGAAAAATATTTTTTGTTATGAACCAAATCCTTTTTTAAATTTAATGTTTAATATTGTTTTATGTTAATGTAACATTTTAATGTTCAAGTGCATGCTTAATTTGAGTTTAAAAAAAAAGTGTGTGTCCAAGTAAGGGGTACACAAATGGCCATCAACAGTCTCAAAGGGTGGACAACTATAAGAGGTTTTTACCAGAAAAGTGACATAGAGCACCTTTAAGCAACTTATCTGCAGAAAGCTTTAGCAGTCCTCTTCAGGACCCTAGACAGGGACATGTATAGTATAAGTCATAAAAAAACAGATCAAAACAACTCTCACATCCACCTCTCTGTCTTCTGTAGCTCCCTGTCAAGATGAAGAGTCAGGTGTTGGTGCTGCTCCTCTTCCTCTCATGTGAAGGTCAAAGTTCATGTCCTAGGGTCTGCTCGTGTCATGGCGGGAGAGTAGACTGCAGTGGGCGCTCTCTCACCACCTCCTCTCTCCCGGGTACTTTCCCGGCTGAAACCACTGAATTGCATCTCAATGACAACCGGCTAACCACTCTGCCAAATGGCCTGCTGGACTCACTGCTCCACTTACGCTCAGTCTCTCTTCATGGAAACCCCTGGGCGTGTGACTGTGGAATCCTGTACCTGCGAGCATGGCTGTTACGTCACCCCATCAGACACACATCCCACTCACAGGTCAACTGCAGTTCCCCTCTTAACCTGAGAGGGCGTCTAGTGGCATATTTAAGTGAGGAGGAACTTTTAGACACCTGTCATTACTGGTACTGTGACCTGGCTTTGGTATCGCAGTTGTGCCTGCTGGGCTTTGTGCTGCTGCAGGGGGCACTGTTGTTCGCGGTCATTGTGTTCCTCAGAAGGTTTCAGCACATGTCCAAGGAGGCCAGAAGGACCACAGAGGAGAGCTTCACTGCAGGAGAGAGTTCCCAGGACAATGACTACCCTCTCCTGAGGGACACAAGCATCTGATGCATTAGTTCACTACTATTCTCATAACAGGTTCATTGTGATTACACCTGGCATGAAATTCAAACAGACCCTGAAAAATATATTTGTTTATTTGATTTTTTTCATTGTGCACTGTAAAACAAAATAATTTTGAAATGTTGATACTTCACTTTCTCTCATTTTAAATGTAACAAAGTGAAATACTGTAACACCATATAAAGTTTAATAATGTAATGTTGTTTGTTGACACGTACACCTCACCTTTAAGATTTTCCCATATGCATCTGTCACAAATATCAAATATAACAGATGTATACAAAAATATGTTATTTTTTTTCTTCTTTCATTTTCAAATAGACCTATTTAAATGAGAACTCTGGTAAAAGTTGTTATGTTATGTAATGTAATCTAATGTTATGCATGTAATGCTTTCTTGTTTCACATCATGCAATGACATGTTGCAGAAGTACACCTTCAAATGAATAACATGCGGCCTACACACTGTGTTTACTAATATTTTACTTGCCATTTTTGTTGCTTAATTAAAGGCTATCAAGTGCAATTCAAATTGGTGATTGTTGTAGGAAGCAAATAATAAAAGTTAGTTACAGTAAAAATGTGGTCACACTTTAATTTACAGTACTTGTTAATAATAACAGCAACGGTCAAAACAACAATAACTTGTTATTGTATGATAGTAAGAGACCAATAAAGAAATCTTACGTAAAACAGTAGATTGATTCACCTGTCAACAACTTCTAACAAAAATAAGGGACGTTTTTTTCTTGCTTCCATCCAGAGAAACTTGATACCATCATCATCAGGGTCATTATTCTTTCTTCTGATTTATAATCTGTCTAAACCCCTGGCTGATCATAAAGAGGCCCAAGCACGTTACATTGACAAATTAACAAAGCAATAAAAAAAAATCTCGATCATAAGGAAAAAGGCTGGTAGTGACTAGGAACCATTGCACGCAAACGTTGCTTTAGTGTCGGATGTTATTCTCAGACGGACCGATGTGTTTACTGCACACGGCTACACGTGAGAGTTAACTTTTGGGATAAATTGGAAGATATTTTTGTGTTAACGCTGACATTTAAAGATCTGGACTTTTTAGTTCTGTTTCCAAATTCAAGAACGCGTGTAATTGGTAAACCGATTTAGACCGAGTGCCGTATTGCCTACGTTCTTCTTTTGGGTGGTTGCAGCTATTTGTTTACAATGGGGAAACTGAGAAGAAAACACAACTGGAAAGGTAGACAGCAGAATGAAACTAAGCAAACGGCAGATGATAAGAAGACTGATATCGTGGTTGAATTGCAAGGTGATCTTCCATTTACATATTTCATCATTAGAGATAGTTTGTGTTTGGTAATTGTTTATTCTTACTAATTTCTCTTCATTTAGACGGACCTAGGCTTAAAGGGGTCGATGAAAGCAACGTTTTGGTCCTTCCATCCAATAAAGACAAGAAGAAAAAAGGAATTTTGACACCGGTCTCTTCAAAAAAGCCCTTAACTAAAAAACAGAGGAAAGAACTACAAAAAGTGCTTGAGCGCAAAGAAAAGAAAGCTCAGGTAATTTCATTGTTCTTAATGTGTAAAATCGACATGCCTAAACCTGTATTATAATTTGTTTATAATACTTAAATGTTAAAGAGAGCAGATATTTTGTCTAAACTGGCTGAAGTGCAACTCCCGGAGTCTGAAATCAAGCTGCTATACACCACCTCCAAACTTGGTACAGGGGAGAAGCTGTACACCTCTAAAGAGTCAGTATTTTTACAATTTGTGCTGGTAAAAATGCCAAAATCTATATATTTGATTAACAGGAATTTTGTTTTTTTGTTTTTCAAAGAATATCTGAAGAATCAAAAGATGGAGAATATACTGTTAAGATTAGCAGTCTTAGTGGGGCCAACAGGAAACGTAAATGGCAAGACAAGGAAGAAGAAGAAGATGAAGAAGAAGAGGACAAGAAAGAAAAATCAGAAAGTTCAGATGAAGACACATCTGATGATGAAGACAATAATGAAGCTGTGAATACAGAGATGGTTGAGCCAAAAGAAACCACTTCTACAGCATTGGACACAGAGATCAACCTAACAGCTCAAAAAGAGGACACAGCTAAACCAGAGCTGTCCAATGAGCAGAAAACATCTGACCAAAATTCTACTGTCACTAAGAGAGCATCTGAGCCTGCCATTTTCATCCCTGTTGAAAGAACTCCAGAGATACAGGTGCATATGCTGCGAGTACGATACAATCGGATGAGAACTTATACTAATGCAATTTTCTTTTCTTTCATAGGAGGCCCGTTTGAAGCTGCCCGTGATGGCAGAGGAGCAGGTCATCATGGAGGCCATAAAGGAGAACCCATGTGTCGTCATCTGTGGAGAAACTGGAAGTGGAAAGACGACTCAAGTGCCTCAGTTTTTGTATGAAGCAGGATATGCCAGGTGACTTGTCTGTAGTATTGCAGCGCATTCGGCTAAATATGCTAACCAGAATTTCTACCTGAAATTATTGATATGTTCTCCCTCTGTTTTTTATAGCAAAGGGTCAATTATTGGTATTACTGAGCCAAGAAGAGTTGCAGCTGTTAGCATGTCCCATCGTGTGGCCAAAGAAATGAATTTGTCCACAAGGTAAAATTTACATTTTAACACTATGAGCCAAAACAGCTCTACAACAGCCTGTGCTTTTCTTTAGGGTGGTGTCTTACCAGATTCGATATGAAGGAAATGTGACCAGTGACACTAAAATCAAGTTCATGACAGATGGAGTTTTGCTCAAAGAAATTCAAAAGGTACACAAGGAATAATTAATAATAAATCAAATGGCATTGTTTTAGTTTTAAGATATTAAGGCATTGCAAAGGAGAAATTAAATTTTATCAACTGTACAAATGTTTTTTTGATTGAATACATTTCGCAGCTCATCAAAGCTGCTTCTTCAGTCCTGGTCAGATTGCTGGTGGATACTGCCTTATATGCAGACTCTGATGAGAACCTAAAAAGCGGATTAGATGAGCTGTAAACATATTTGATCAAATAGGCTTTTGTCCAGTTAACAGAAGTGATATTCTCCATTGCTATGAGTCCCATATTAAGACATCCATTATCAGATAATCAATTGCTCACATTTAGAATTAAAGGCTTCTAGAGACTTTCAGCAAGTTGTCATGTGTTGTAGGATTTCCTGCTCCAGAAATACAGTGTTATAATAATTGATGAGGCACATGAAAGGAGTGTGTACACAGACATTCTCATCGGCTTGCTGTCTCGCATTGTCCCACTTAGAAATAAGGTGAGTATTAAATGAGCATTTGTACTCACCTCTTTATGTTCAATATAACACTTACATGTCCCATAGAAAAACATGCCAATGAAGCTGCTGGTCATGTCGGCTACTCTTCGCGTGGAAGATTTCACAGATAATCAGAAGTTGTTTCGCACTCCTCCTCCAGTGATTAAAGTGGACTCTCGACAGTTTCCGGTCACCATTCATTTCAACAAACGCACCCCTTTAGAGGACTACACCAGTGAGGCCTTTCACAAGATTTGCAAGATTCACCGCATGCTGCCTCCAGGTAAAAGCACGTTACTTAAAAATAGTGTTTTTATTAACTTTTTACTCAGTCAATGTTTAAATGCATCTGTTTTCCTTTCTCGCCTGTAGATTCATATCTTCATGCTGTCATAATGTGTTTAACACAAATTTAATAAATATATGAATTTATAATGTATTTTTAGTAATCCACACGTTATTTTCTACTAGGTGGCATTTTGGTATTTTTGACTGGTCAGGCCGAAGTACATAGTTTATGTAGAAGACTGAGAAGAGCCTTCCCATTCAGAAAAAGCATCTCAGCTATTGGTAAAGCTTAAAACACAAAACAATTTTCAAATACTTAATTTTTTCTCAAGTGAATCAAAGCCAGATTTAATTAGAATTTCTCCTCTGTATTTATATTTTGTTGTAATTGTGTTCAGGTGAGGATGAAGACCCTGACAGTTCAGAAGCAACGAAAAAGTTTAAAAAGTCCAAACAAAAGAAAACAACTGTATGTTTTGATTTTTGAAAATTTACATTTGACTACTATATCTTTTTTTTTTTTTACATTTTTGTTAATAGTGATCCTTTGCTCTTTTCAGTCATTGCCGCGCATTGACCTGGATAACTACTCTGCCCTACCCCTCGATGAAGGAGATGAAGACAGGGAGGCTGGGATTGGAGACGAGGATGATGATGATGGTTCTGACTTAGATCTTGGAGATGACCCAACCACTGCTGGTAAACAACAGGAAAAAATTATAGCTATCACACAAAGATAGCATTTGACATACAGTATTTTATTGTTACATCAAATTATTACAAAAATTTTTAATTTTTCTTTACAGGTGAGAAAGCTGATCCATCTATTCCACTCTATGTCCTCCCATTGTACTCTTTATTGGCTCCAGAACAGCAAGCAAAGGTCAGAGTGTGTTCCACACTTACTGCCAGTTATGGAAATAGGTATTTTTGAATCTTGAATTCTTGTTCTTGTCATAGGTGTTCAGAGCTCCTCCGCCTGACACCCGTGTGTGTGTAGTAGCCACCAATGTGGCTGAGACGTCACTGACCATCCCTGGCATTAAATATGTGGTAGACTGTGGACGTGTTAAAAAGAGGTTTTATGACCGTGTGACTGGAGTCTCATCCTTCAAAGTCACCTGGACATCTCAAGCATCTGCCAATCAGAGGGCTGGTAGAGCTGGGCGAACAGAGCCAGGGCATTGCTACAGGTGGGACATACTATTTACATGAAAGATAAAATGTCTGAAAGAACTAAATGCTTAATTATTGTTCTCCACTTCAGATTATACTCGTCTGCTGTGTTTGGGGATTTTAGCCTCTTCTCAGAAGCAGAGATTACTCGCAGACCTGTAGAAGACCTGGTTTTGCAAATGAAGGATCTGAACATAGATAAAGTAACTATTAGACATACAGCCATTGTACTATATGCATTTGTTCAGGTTTAATTTTATTTCCATGTTTGCAGGTGATAAATTTCCCTTTCCCTACACCACCCTCCACTGAAGCTTTAATTGCAGCTGAACAATTATTGATATCCCTGGGCGCATTACAAGAGCCTCCACGCAGTGGAAGGTAACTGCTGTGTTTCTAATGGTTTAATTAGAGTATGGAAGAAGTGTTTTTTGGTTAATACACATATACGGATAGGTGTACACATTGACTGTTATTAAATAATGTGTTTCTTACTCTTTGGGTGTTTTTACTGAAGTGTTAAGGAGATGGAGCGGGCACGTCTGAGTTGCCCCATTACTCCACTGGGCAGAGCAATGGCTTCTTTTCCAGTGGCTCCACGTTATGCTAAAATGTTAGCTCTTGGTAAACAGCAGGATTGTCTTCCATACGTCATTTCTGTAGTTGCGGCCATGACAGTCAGAGAAATATTTGAGGATCTTGACAGGTAACTATTAAATGTTTTATGTGCTGTGAAAATGATTGACAAGTCAGTAAAAAGTGATTGCTGTTTCAGACCTGCCAGTAGTGAAACTGAAAGCCAAAAACTAACACAGCGCCGAGCTCGACTCACTCAAATGAGAAGACTTTGGGCTGGACAAGGAGGCGCTCTTCTGCTGGGAGATCTCATGGTCATGTTGGGTGAGTTTAACCTGCCAGGGAAATTGTTTGGGCACCCCTCTTGTAATGCATTACTATGTAATATTTCTTATGGAGGGTCTGCTGCTGTTAAGATGTGGAGAGGCAAATGCATATGCTCCCTTTTTTTGAGCTATAAAACACCTATTACTGAATAAATTCGAGATAGGCAACTTTAATGCCATATTCTGGAACTTTCTATGAAAAGCAAAAAGAGTCAATAAGCAATAGCGAGATTATTCTCTTGTGTCTTCTACATTTAGACTTGTGTTACTATTAAAAAAAAATGTTTGTATCACAGGAGCTGTGGGTGCATGTGAGTTTGCTGGTAGCACTCCTAAATTTTGTGAAGAAAATGGCTTGAGGTACAAAGCTATGGTGGAGATACGACGACTCAGAGGACAACTCACTAATGCAGGTACCCAAAATACAAACTAGGACATAACCATTACTCTCTGTTTATTTGGTCATTTGGATGTACATTACCTCTTTCCATAGTTAATGCAGTGTGTCCAGAAGTAGGGGTATTTGTAGATCCAAAGATGGCTCCACCCACAGAACACCAGGTGGTCTGTTTGCGGCAGATTGTTCTAGCGGGACTTGGAGACCATCTTGCAAGACGTGTGCAAGCAGAAGACATCCTCGACCCAAAGTGGAAAAATGGATACAAGGTACATTAAGTTAAGAGATTTGTTTACCATATTGCATTAAATGTCTCTCTAATGTGTTTTCTGTTGATAGACCCCACTATTGGATGATCCAGTATTCATTCACCCCACATCTGCACTGTTTAAAACACTGCCAGACTTTGTTGTTTACCAAGAGATCATGGAGACAAGCAAAATGTACATGAAAGGTCAGTCAAATTAAAACAAAAACTATTACATACAGTATAACTAATGTTCTCATTTTAAATACTATATAAATATTTTCGTTTTAGGTGTGTCAGCAGTAGAAGCACAGTGGGTCCCCCAGTTTCTGATGCAGTACTGCCATTTTGATTCTCCATTGGACTCTCCAGCTCCATGGTTTTGTCCATCTACAGGGACAGTCCGATGTCAACGATCAAGCACCTTCTGTATGCTCCACAGCTGTACTGTATTTAGTTTTAAACCAAATCTCAAATTATTTTCTTTCTTTTGCAGTCAGGGTAGGTTGGCAGCTTCCAGCTGTAGAGATGGAATATCCCGAAGGTTTAGAGAAATACAAACTGTTTGCAAAGTTTCTTCTTGAAGGACAGGTACAATAATCATTTCATAAATTTAAATATTCATTATATTTAATATACTGGATGTATAATATTGAATTATTTTTTGTTTATTTGTTTGTTTGTTTGTTTGTTAGGTGTGTCCTAAACTTAAGATGCATTGTGTCCATTTACTATCGAACCCATCCATAATGTTAAAATCTTGGGCAAAGTAAGACGGACTCACATTTATTTTGTGTGTGTATATATATATAGGGGTTTTATGTCTGAGGCTCTAATCATCTTCATTATTAACCCTTTAGGCTGCAGCCCAGGACAGAGACCTTACTGAATGCTCTGGTGTCAGTGAGGGTTGACTGCAGGGACCAACTTATGACTTTATGGAAGTCTGATGAAAAATGTAAGGATTTTGTAAAATAAAGTCCATAATGATCTAATGTATAATATTTTGCTACTAATATGTTTCTTTTTCCATAGACTTGTTAAGTGCATACTGCCAGTGGTTGCCAGAATCCATGCACCAAGACATTGCGAAATATTGGCCTCCTATTTAAGTAAAAACTGCTGCAAGATGAACACATTTTTGTATATAACAGTTTTATTTTTAAATCAAATTCTTGTATGTCATATGTTAGTTTTTCTCCTGAGGAAAAAAAAAACCTCTTTAAATGTTTATATTGTGTGTGTTGCTAAATCTAATATGGTCTTTATAAGACTAATTATTGGTTTACCCTGTATTTTATTTGTGGGTAAATTAAAAGTCTGGGCTGTATTTGAATGTATTCCCTAAAATGTTCGGAGTTGTTTTTTATTTGTAAATGATTTATGGTGGAAAAAGAAACAATATTGTAGTTCTCGACGTTCATTTTGCACATTTTGCTATAATGTTTGTCTTATTTTGAAAGAACAAAAAACACTGTAGTTCATTGGTTATCCACGGTCACTTCCGGATGGTACACTTCCGGGAAAAGCGTAAACAATTGTAGCCTGTTTACGTTGCTCCCGAGAAATACGATAAATACTTTGTTTTAGACATTAGACAACTATCCAGTCCAACGACGAAATGGTGAGTGACCAATATTTTTTACATTAAAGGCTTTTTAGGACATATTAAAGGTGTGTGGGAGCTGACAAAGCAATGCTAACTACCCGATAGCCATATGGACGGAAAGCTGCACTGTCACTGTCTTAACGTTGTGCCTGTCAGAATAATCACGGAGATTTAATTCAGTTATTTGTGGTGTTTGTTTCTACAGTTTTCCTTTCACGTATTTGACCACCCCATGGCCCGGGGCTTTCAGAATCGTTTTTCCACTCAGTACCGCTGCTACTCCGTGTCTATGTTGGCAGGTCCCAATGACCGCTCCGACGTGGAAAAAGGAGGAAAAAGTACGTGTTGTTTTAAATAAAATACCATGATTAGAAGTAATTACTCACTGTTTATAATTAGTTCTTTCAACAGCTATAACCATATTGCAGTAAGCCATATAATTTTAGGCGTACAGTTTGGCTACATAATCATCACAAAGTGTATTAATGTGTATGTATTTTTGTTTTAGTTATAATGCCCCCATCGGCTCTTGATCAGCTCAGTAAGTACCTCACGTATACATTTACTGCCATTTGAAACTACAGCTTATGTGTTTTCCTACCTCATTTTCCTGTACATTCTCCTTGCAGGCAGGCTTAACATCACCTACCCAATGCTCTTCAAACTGACCAACAAGAACTCGGACAGAATGACACACTGTGGTGTTTTGGAGTTTGTGGCAGACGAGGGTATCTGTTATCTTCCTCACTGGGTACGAAACTGTGATATTCATACTTTGCAGTGACATCACGTTGGGGGTGTCCTGCATGTATGTGTATGGAGGAATTTTCAGCAGTTACCATGGTGACACACTGCACATATTTGTAAACACTGCCAAAGAGTTTTTAAGAATGTGTGAAAACACACAGTGGATTTAAACTGCACATTTTCAGGAGCCTGTGATCAATACGAGTATTCATCATCCTGATTAAGTGACTAACTAAAAAACGTTTGACTAATGCTAGCTAGTTTGTGACAGTAATGTTATTTGAGAGAGCCTTGTTTAACAATAAAAATCATATCACCTGCTGTAGTTTCAGCTAAGTCAGTTCTTTCTATTCAGATTATGTGTGTTTTTTTTAAACTCATTAAAATCTACCTTGAGTAACAAAGCTTCAAACAGAGCAGTGCTGACAGTTAGCATCACATCCCCAAAGAATGTTGATGACATCAGATGTGAAGTATCAATATATTATGTTTATATGTTTGTGTATGTTTTGTTTTTGTTTTTTTTTACTTTTTATGCAGATGATGCAGAATCTCCTGCTGGAGGAAGGTGGTCTTGTACAGGTGGAGAGTGTAAACCTCATGGTGGCCACTTACTCAAAATTTCAACCCCAGAGCCCTGACTTCCTTGACATCACAAACCCCAAAGCTGTGTAATATATTTAAGCTAAATAAAGATGTGTGTTCTGTACTTTAATGACTTGATAATGCTCAGATATTTGTATTTATTTTCTAGGCTGGAAAATGCCCTCAGAAACTTTGCCTGCTTGACAACTGGAGATGTAATTGCAATCAATTATAATGAAAAAGTATGTATTCATTATCATCATTATGATCTACTGTTTGTGTGTTTTATTGTTTCTTAGATGGTTTGACACTTGTTTCAGATTTATGAGCTACGGGTAATGGAGACCAAGCCAGATAAAGCAGTATCAATTATTGAATGTGACATGAATGTAAGCAAATTCTAGTATGTATATATATATTTGACCCATTAAATAAGGTCCTTGTATATAACATCTACATGTTATTTCAGGTGGATTTTGATGCTCCTTTGGGCTACAAAGAGCCTGAAAGAAGATCTCAGCACCAGGAAGAGCCACAGGTAAGGGTAATGATAGGGATTTGTTGGGATCTGTTGCACCTTTTTATTTGAAACATACTGTGTTTTTATTCACAGGAGGAAGAGAGTGACCCAAGTACCTATGCAGATATGGACTTGGGATTTAGAGTAAGTAGTGGATAGAAGATAAAAGATTGTTTTTATTTATTTTATCTAACATTGTTGTCTCCTAGGCTTTTACTGGATCTGGAAATCGATTGGATGGCAAAACAAAAGGAATTGAACCCAGTCCTGCACCTCTGGCACCAAGCGACATCAAACGGTAATGGCTTTTAAATTTAAATAAAGCCTTTTGATTCAGTTAAAGGGACAGTTCAGAATTTGACATAGGGTCTCATTTCCTAGTGAGCCAGAGTACTGTAGATGTGTGGAGACACTTTTTGAAATAATCCACCCAGTTCTTGTATTTGCAGAGGTCGCTGGTGCTAGTAAATCTAACCTTGAATCGCATGAATCGTCGCATGTTGAGGGACTATTTTCTCAGTAGCAGCAGAATTTTACTCTGCTCTAGTTAGTTGTGCTGATATGAACATGGCCATATCTGGAACAGGCTTCTTCCTGTGCTCTATGTGTCGCTATGGCAGCTGCAGATAAACAAACTATTTTAGTGCCAGTAAGACAGATGCCAGGTGATATCAGTCCGCCACTGCCAAGCTTTCTATCAGGAAGTACAACTCGCTGCTGCTGCTGCTCAGACATAAATCCTTCAAATGCAAGGTTGGTTTTACTTCTAAAATGATTCTATTGACACAGACATTTACATCGACAGTATGGTGTAATAAGAGATTTGCCTCGGGTGCTTTGTGGAGTGGGTAAGACTGTTTTTAGTGGCAGGCTAACAGTGGCCATTGACTTGCGCTAGCCTAGCACTAGCAACCTCTCCAAGTGGATTGGATGGATAATTTCAAAAAGTGTCTCCACACAGCTACAGTACTCTGGCTCACTAGGAAATGGCCCTATGTCCAAAATTCCGAACTGTCCCTTTAATCATTGGAGTGCTACTACTGCAACTATTTGCCTTAGTTTGGTTAATTATTAAATGAATCCTTGTGCATTTTACAGAGGTATCCCTAACTATGACTTCAAAGTTGGACGGATCACATTTATTAGAAACTCAAGACCAGTGCCCAAGAAAGTCATAGATGATGTGAGTTATATCAGTTATTATGGTCACAGAATTTCTAGCTCACATTTATGTGGGGTGCTCTGTCGATACTCTGAGTCATTTTTTCCCCCCAATTTTCTTTCTAAAGGACGATGCTATGAACAGATTCATTGCCTTTTCTGGAGAAGGACAGTCACTGCGCAAGAAAGGCAGAAAGCCTTGAAGTACTCCAGTGAAGTTATTTAACCCAAACGGCAAAAAAAAAAAAGTTATTCCCTTTTCCTTTTGAAGTGTGTGTTATTTCATTGCACCAGATTGCAACATTACCGTTTAATATTATTATATTATTATACCTTGTTTCCACTTTTTCAGTTTCATTCCCCAAGAAAATACAAACAGTAAAGCAGGTTTAAGTTAAACATATTTGGATTAAATTAATGTAAATAATGTTACAGGATTTTGGTTGATGGAATAATAAATTGTGTTTTTAAAATGCGTTGCCTTTAATTGGGGCAAACATGAACATAAAGTACTGTGCAGAAGTTATAGGCAGGTGTGAAAAAATGCTGTAAATTAGGAATACCCTAAAAAATGGAAGTGTTAATCATTTATTTTCATCAATAAAAAAAATGCAGTCAGTGAACAAAAGAGAAAGTAATGTTTGGTGTGACCACCTTTTGCCTTCAAAAGAGCATCAGTTCTAGGTATATTTGCATACAGTTTTTGCAGGAACTGGGCTGGTAGGTTTTTCCAAACATCTTGAAGAACTAACCATAGATCTTCTGTGGATGTATGTGGGCTTCCTGACATCCTTATGTCTCTTCATGTAATCCCAGACACGCACGATGATGTTGAGGTCAGGGTTCTGTGGGGGCCATACCATCACTTCCAGAACAACAACTTTACGCTGAAGATAGTTCTTAATGTCACTGGTTGTATGTTTGGGGTTGTTGTCCTGCTGCAGAATAAATTTGGGGCCATTCATATGCCTCCCTGATGGTATTGCATGATGGATAAGTATCTGCCTGTATTTCTCAGCATTAAGAACACCATTAATCCTGACCAAACTCCATTTGCAGAAATGCAGCTCCAAACATTCAAGGAACCTCCATCAAGCTCCTTTGAAAACTTTGTCTGGGAGAGACCTTGCTGATCTAGTACAACTACATTGTGTCTTGTTCCTGTGTTCAGTCTTGCCATGGTGTATGACCTGTGACATGAGACCGTCTTCTACAACCTCACCTTGGTAGTAGAGTTTGCTCCTCACCCAGTTTTAATCCTCCTACACAGCTCTTTCTGTTTCAGTTTAATGGCTGTGTTCCAACCGACGTGTAACATTGATGATCATTAGCACCTGTTTGGTATAATTGGTTGATCATACACCTGACTATAATCCTACAAAATCCAGGACTTTGTGTGTATCCCTTTGTGTAAACTGAAGTTGGTTTGAAGGTAAAAGGTAGTAACTCCAAATATTGATTTGATTCAGATTTTTCTTATATATATTTTTATATAATTTCTTTATATTTTTGAAAGCAGTCTTTCTTTATAGCATTTTTCACACCTGCTTAAAACGTTTGCACTGTCCTAAATGACTAATCAAGTAATCGAAGTTCATTATTATCAAAATGTGGGAGGGCTTTAAATATGAAAGTACCTGAACCGGAAGTACTTTGAGTGCACGTCGTTTCAATGGAGCAGCTTCGGATTGTACCATGGAGGGTAAATACTTTATAAAAATGTGTTTAAGTTTACACAGTGATATATTTATATTTTACTATTCATACATGTATAGCGTTAAACTTAGCACTTACATCCAAGATTGTCGTAAATGATCCCCTCAGGTAACCTTGCTGTCGATGCAGCCAGTTTTCAACGTCATTCGACCACATCTGACCCCATTTCTTTGCTTCTGTGTAGCTGTCAAGGGGGGAATATAAGGAATAGTGACAATTATACGAGCATCTTTGATCTGTAATTGATTTAAACTGTAACATTTATTATAAAACGTTGCCTGGATGGATTTAAGTGCCGTAAGGAGGCGCTGTTGTTGTTTTCCTATCAGAAGCATGGTTAATAATGTAGCCTTATTGTCATGTGAATGATCTAAAATATCTTATTAATAGCCGCCACGGACTTGTGAGGATTACTGGAGTGAATTCAGGCACTGCAAAAGCTTACTGAATAAGTTCCGCCACTACTACACTTATGGGGACTCCCCATGCTGTCAACAGTGGAGAGAAGACTACAAGAACTGCAAACAATGGGAGAGCCACCAAGACCCTAAAGCAAAGGTTCAATTAAACACAATTATTCATGCTCTGTGGTACTATGGATGCCAGAGTGCACTGTGTTCACGTGGGCTCTGTTCACAAAAGTGTATGTTTTTCTCTTTTCTTGTTTACAGGAAGATTTGCTAACAAGTGAAAGGAATAGAGTGGCTGAGCAGCATAAATTTACTCCGGTGTGGAAACTGAGGAAAGAACCTCCAAAAGACTGGCACATGCCCTTAAACCAAGAAAAGTCTCAAGATATCTGAACTGCTAAATTTAGTTTATAAAGCACTTGATTAAAAATCTTCAGATCTTATTGTTCTACCAAACTGCATGCTTGGGAACATTTTTCTTGAAACTACATACCTTTATTGTGATTATTAGTGGCTTGCTGCTTGCTTATTCATATTTGAGTGCATCTTCAAACTTGGGCAAATTCCTTTTAGAATTGAAAAAGGCAACATGGAGTACATTAATTTGCAATTTTCTGGCCATAGGTAAGTGTATTCTCCAAGATGTCTTTATTATGCTAAAAATGAGTTGGTGACAAATACAGTGCCGTGACAGAACATTTGCAGCCTTTTACTGAGTGTAAACCCTGGTTGTATCAGTGTATTTCCCCTCTGGAGCTTCATATTTGGATTTAGGTGGTGTGTAGGCAGGACCCTCGTGCGTGAAGGGCAGAAGAGTAAAGTCTGGTTTTAGGGCTGCCTGATATAACTCTTCAGATGTGATTTTCAGTTCCTCCAGCGCCTCTCTCTGAGCTTCAAGTGCAGATTCAACAGCCTTCATTTCAGCCATGTGTTGCTTCTGGAATAAAAAAAAAAAAAGGTTTTCTGACTTCATGAATGTACAGTGTATTAGTGTACTTAATAACTAAATACATGATACGAAGTTACCTGTTTATATCGAGACCACTCTTTCAGCAGTAGAGCTCTGCGTTCACTCTCTTCAAATGAAATTACTGGTGTAGACCGTATTCTTGCCAAAAAAGGATATGCATATATTATTCATTGAAAAACACACCGCAATATAATTATATTTGGCCCACGAGGTCATATCAAACATGTATTAGAGGTGCCCATCGGCTACAGATAGACTATAGAGACATTATTTAAAATATTGTTATTTTATATTTTGCTTGTTCGGGATTCAGTGTTTAAGCAAAACTATTATTAAACATTTATTTTAATAAGAAAAGGTTTAACATTACATATCTCGAAAGAAGAGAAAATATTTAGTTTGGCCCACGACTTAGTAACAGTTTTTAATTTTGGCCCCCTGTGAATTTGAGTTTGACACCCCTGCTCTAAACGGTCACTAAGGAAAAGTTACCTTGCTTCATCCATGCATTTAGTTGGCGTAATAAAGTCTTCTATTGGGATGAGTTCAGGTGGTACTTTCTCCAGCTTTTTGAGTTTTTTCTTAAGCCTTTCTCTCATCATTTGCTCCCTTTTAGGATCCACTTTTTTCTTCTTTTTAGGTTCAGCCCTGAAGGGAGTTTTGAATACAATGTAAATAGGATAGAAATTACCACAAAACTTGACTTAAGTTCAAGGTGAAGAAATGATTAAGTAATTAAAATACCTTAAAGGAGCTGTTGTCTTCAGGGTCATTGCTGGAACATAAAGTACGTTTTTTGCAACATGGCGTCCATCTACCAACAAACTACAAACATAAATAAACAGTATGTTATTGATTTTTCTGATGACTTTTTGAGCTTTAAATGACCTGGACTATGTGATTCATACACAGACTGATTTCCCTTACCTTCGCTGGACAACGTGTGGGGGAAAAACCCTGCAAATGCAACGGGAAAATGCTAGCGACATTTAAAAAAACAACAACAATCTAATTTACTGTTTAAATGGGTCGTAGCTTTAAGTAATAAGAAGTAAACCAAAAAGCACAGATGTCGTCTACAGGGAGAATGCAGAATGTCGCGCAGAATGATGACGTTGGTGTTCAGTTTGACGTCGCACTTTCGTCAAATTTTAATTCAATCATGGATGTATATATATATATATATATATATATATTTAAAAGATTTGCACAAACCACATATATTTGGTTGCATACGTATAAAACAATCATTGAACAGTCAATAGTGGTTGTATATGTTTCTTTTTAAGAGTAGATTTTCTTAATTTGACGAATCTCATTCCAGCATAAAATAGGGGAAAGGTCGTTTGAGTGTTAGAGTTCTCCCACTGCAAATAATCTTACAGAAGTGAAGTGCGTACCGATCAGCAGCATTATGTCGCTACTCAGAGGTATGAAAAAAATTGCAATCAAATAAGGCTGCAGTATCTATAGCATTTTTCACACATGTCTTTGTTATTATACTAATGCATCCCCCCCAAATCTTTACTTGAGCATTTACATACAGTTTTGGCTTTTTAGGGAGAGAAACTATTTGATGAACATGTAACTTATAGATAGATACGGTTTTAGATGTCTTTGTAGGCTACAAAGGGAACATAGAGTACCATTTGTATTTACTGTCTTTTTCGTTAACAGTTTGTCTGTGTAAACAATAAAATAGAGCTCTGCTGTAAGTCTACGTTTCTTGAACTTTAATATACTATTCTTAAATTCTTAAATAAACAGAGAAACCGGTATAGGCTCTATGGTGTGTGTAAAAGTGAAAGATTAGGAAAACTGTGTTATAAAATGGAGTTGTGACTTTTCCCCTCAGGTGTTTTTATTGTGGCTGCTAAGCGCACCCCGTTTGGAACCTACGGGGGTGTTTTGAAAGACCACAGTGCAACAGACCTCGCAGAGCATGCAGCAAAAGCTGCCCTTGCTGCAGGAAGCATTGCTCCTGACATCGTCAACAGTGTAATTATGGGAAATGTTATGCAGGTGAGGACTACATTCATTTGTTTGATTCATGTGTTTAAATGACATGTTCTAATTACACACAATTTATTTTAGAGCTCAGCTGATGCACCTTACATTGCCCGTCACGTTGGCCTGAGGTGCGGTGTTCCTATTCCAGTCCCTGCACTCACTGTGAATCGACTGTGTGGGTCAGGTTTTCAAGCTATTATCAATGGTGCACAGGTAAGAATGGTCACATTCTTTTTAATTTTTTATTTTTATCTTAGCTGTAGGATATATAACTGCTTTACATTTTTAGGAGATTTCACTCAAAGAGTCAGAGGTTGTCCTTTGTGGTGGCTCTGAGAGTATGAGCCAGGCTCCTTATGCTGTCCGTAACATTCGTTTTGGGACAAAATTTGGATTTGATCTTAAGGTTCACTTTTAAAGTTTTATGTATATGTATTTCAGTCCAATAGTGAATTTTAAATTCATTTTAAATAATATTCACTTGTCAAAAGTTGGAAGACACCCTGTGGGCAGGTTTGACTGACCTGCATGTCAAAATTCCAATGGGAATTACTGCAGAGAACCTGGCAGAGAAATATGAGATTTCAAGGGAAGACTGTGATAAATACGCCTACCAGACACAGCAAAGGTGGAAGGCGGGTAAGTTTTGGGTGATGACAGATTGTTTAGTTTAGAATGAATGAATGAATGAATGAAGACCGTATCAGTATTTGTTTTCTCTCTTAGCTCATGATGCGGGATACTACACTGCTGAAATTGCTCCAATTGAAGTGAAAGCTAAAAAAGGGAAAGTATCCATGGCTCAGGATGAACATCCTCGTCCTCAGACTACACTTGAGCAAATGGCCAAACTTCCTACTGTGTTCAAAAAGGGTGGAACAGTCACAGCTGCAAATGCTTCGGTAAATATTATTTGTCTTTAGATCTCAAACTAGAAGTATCTACCATGCATCCATTTGTGTTTCACAGGGTGTCTCTGATGGTGCTGCTGTTGTGATAATTGCTAGTGAAGACGCAGTGAAAGAACATAAGCTCACACCACTTGCCAGGATAGTCTCCTACCATGTATCAGGCTGTGACCCAAGCATTATGGGCATTGGTATATAATAATTAATACAGTGTGTGTGTGTGTGAATAATTTAATGTAATCTGGTACTATACACTGATCATTCATTGTTGCAGGTCCAGTTCCTGCCATCACTGAAGCTCTAAAGAAGGCAAGCCTTTCATTGAGTGACATGGATTTAGTGGAGGTAATTTCTATTGCATGATTATTGCAAACATGAAATCAAAAGCAAAGGTTAATCATTGTATTTATTGTTTATTTCTGACTCTTTGTGTGTAGGTTAATGAAGCTTTTGCCCCTCAATACTTGGCTGTCTCAAAAGCATTAGGTCTGGACCCTGAAAAGAGCAATGTTAATGGTGGAGCTATTGCTATTGGTCATCCACTGGGTGCTTCTGGTGCTCGAATCACTGCTCACCTTGTTCATGAGCTCAGGTAACATTAACTGTTTGTCATTTAAATGTCCTGTAGGGCTGCATGATTATTTTAAGATTATTATTATTATAAGACTATTTTAGTAATGGACTTGTCATTGATTATTTATTTGATTCGTCAACTTGTCAAATAGTGAAAATAACAAATTGTTAATGACCCTAATCTTGTGTTTTAAACACATTTCTTTCTAATAGACGAAGAGGCGGCAAGTATGCTGTTGGCTCTGCCTGCATTGGAGGTGGCCAGGGGATTGCCATCATTGTTGAAAATGCTAACTGATGGAACTGATCATGCTGAAAAGGAAATTCTGTCAATTTTAACATGAATAAATCACACACAAATGTACAATATCTCTGAACCAAGCCTAGAAATTTCTCACATATGCATTCACCAGCCACTGTTGGTAATTAGAGAATTTGTACAGCTATTTGTAAACCAATATATTCTGTCATGTGCCTATAATAATTTGCCTGATAAATTGTTATAATAAAAAACACAGCAAAAGAGTCCCAAATGATCTGACTAATATTCTGCCAAGTGCCTATACAGAGGTAAATATAATATTTGTGTTTTCTGTAGCTTGCCTTTGTTTGGCTTACCTTTTAAATAAAGTTGTTAATTACTTCATTTGTAAAAGCTTCTTCGAGAGTTTCCATTGGTATATGGTGTATTGATGTTTAACCATGGAGGTGGACTTTGAAACTAAATTGCAAAGTCCCTGGTTCATTGAGGAACACTTGAGAATTAAAAATGTAGTATTTTCATTGGGATTAAAAGTCTTTATTGACAGTTATTAACTATAACACAAGATATGAACTGTGCTCTAAAAAAAAGTCCTAAAATTGCTATAAAATTAATATTAAGTAATCAAAACCACGAAAGCAAAAGGACTACAACAACCATAACTCCCAGTACTCTTACGCTGTACGTCAACGTCATTATGCGACGTCCTTATATACGTCAAATGCCCGGATGTCGGTCTTTTTTTCATAGCAAAGGTAAGATGTCTACTCCATTCGTGTTAAGGTTCGCTGAAAATCCGAATTCATCTGCTTTATGGAATAAAGATGTTAACATGTAGTCAACGAGGAATGCGTGTTCAATTCCCCATCTTATAATTAACTCCATCATTATGTTAAGTTATCGCTTCTGTTATGTGATTTACCAGCATTCACTTCAGCGGTGATACAGGCCACCGGCTAGCCTTCATGCTGCTTTTAGCATCGTTGCTATCAGACAAATCTCAAATTGCAGAAGGATTACATTGTAAAAGAAGCGTATATTTGTGCAGGTGCGCAGCGCGAAACTGTCACTTCTCGGCATTTAATCGATGTTATGTCATTAGGCATTTGTGTCTTTGCATTTGAATTCTTGTTTATATCGCCAACATCGAGATCCTTAATTTACTTTAATTCACACTATCCGACGGATCACCCTATGGCCTTTTGGAATCAAGCTTTAATAATAATAAAAAGTGACGTTAATGTGACATTGACAGCTAGGGATGGTTCTCAGTTTCCATTTGGGTTTACTTTCTGCTAAGTACTTTTTCATTAGAATTTAAAAAAATGTTGATTTCATAGGTTTGTCAGTCCTAAAACTCAGAGTAACATTGTATAAACAACCGAGTGATTTTTGTTGCGATGAGATGGTAACTTTCTACATGTGTTTTTTTTTTTTTTTTTTGTTTTTTTTTTAAACAGATGGCAGAGGGAGACAAAAAGTCTGCCAAGAAGAGGCACGGGAGCCGAAACCCGGTTCTGGCCCGGGGTATTGGTCGGTATTCCCGGTCTGCCATGTATGCCCGCAGGGCTATGTATAAGAGGAAAACTAAGACTTCCGAGACCAAGGTATGCTTATAAATCAAACTGCCATCTAAAAGAGACCCTTTTACTAGATTTGTTTTCATTGAGTTGATATATTGTGTGTGTTTCAGATTGAGAAGAAGCTCAAGGAGAAGCCCAGGGCCACTGTTGTCAAGCCTGTTGGTGGAGACAAGAATGGAGGCACTCGTGTTGTCAAGCTCCGCAAGATGGTAAGATCTCAAGTACTCATGTTCTTGTTTACCATAAAAATGCTTATCTTTTAAAACTGAGAGGTATTTTTCTTAGACAGCATCTCACAAGTACTGTATTTAGTAATGAATGAATGCAGGATTTCTCATTTATGGCATACAAATGTCTGTAGGGAGTGGAATTATAAATTTAAACTTGTTACTCTGACTCTTAAAACCTAGGTTAGTGATAGACTGTGAATTGTTTTTTTGTTTTGTTTTTTTGTTTCATTGTTGCTGCTGAAAAATGAATTTCCTTCAGGATCCATAAAGTATTATATTGAACACATTTATCATGGCCTTCATTTTTTCTTTCTTGTGCATAGCCCCGTTACTACCCAACAGAGGACGTTCCTCGTAAGCTGAGGAGCCATGGAAAGAAACCCTTCTGTGAACATAAGAGGAAACTGCGGGCTTCCATCACTCCAGGAACCGTGTTGATCCTGCTCACTGGTCGCCACCGTGGAAAGGTAAACTATTGTAAAGGCTTTTGATGCTCACTGTTGTACCCACTTAATCTCATAGCTGTAACTTGTGATTGTCCTGAAAGGTGCTAAGACTTTATACATGGGATGAAAAACTGTTTGTATTGGCCACTTTGGTTCTGTATCATGGCTGTATTCTTGATTGGGGTGGCATCGTCCTGCAGCTTCATTTGGCTAGATGAGCAAAAGCCCCTACTCTACTCTAATTGTTAAAGGAAAAGTGTCAAATACGGACATTTATTTTACTTTAACTCTTCTTCAGGTTAAAGTGTGTGTGCTCTGTGCAGAGCTCATATGCACCATGCTCTAAAATGTAAAACTGGCAACAAGTTGCATCCAAATATTTCCTGCGTGTCATTACTGTAAAGTTGCATTTAAATTACGTTACAGCTTTAAATTTATTTTTCCTTTATTGACTTGGATAGAATTGAATCATAGTGGGCTTATTTGGCATTGTTTCCACAGTATCAGAGTTGTTGTTAGATCTGGAAAATGGTCTCTACTTGGCTTTCATTTATTAATTATTCTCTGTTCCAGCGTGTGGTGTTTCTGAAGCAGCTGTCTAGTGGTCTCCTGCTGGTCACCGGTAAGTGCTTCATAGTATGATCAGTGGTTGTAGTTTATAAAGACGTGCATTGATCAAATGTGTTTTCTTTAGGCCCTCTTGCCCTGAACAGAGTCCCGTTGCGCAGGGCTCACCAGAAGTTTGTCATCGCTACAAATACCAAAGTTGACATCTCTGGTATGAAGATCCCCAAAACTCTTAATGACACATACTTCAAGAAGAAGAAGCTGAGAAGGCCCCGTCACCAGGAAGGAGAGATCTTTGACACAGAAAAAGAGGTGAGCTGTTGCACATTCAGAGTATTCTAACAAGTACCGTAGATATGTTGGGCTAATTTGATGTCTTTTTAAACTGTAGAAGTACCAGCTGACAGAGCAGAGAAAAGAAGACCAGAAGGCTGTTGACTCTCAGCTCCTGCCCCTTATTAAGAAAGTACCACAGCTTAAAGGGTACCTGCGCTCCTCTTTCTGCCTGTCTAATGGGGTTTATCCGCATAAACTGGTTTTCTAATGTGTTAATAAAGAGCACCCTGGTTGCCATCATTTACAAGCTTTGTGTTTTTAATGCTCAGTTTACTTCAACTCTACATGAACTGATTTGGCAATGGGTGATGTTGCATACCAGCATTACATCCTTTGCTTAGTTCTTAAGAGATGTGTTGGTGTAATACTGCTTATTGCTGGTCAATTTGTACTTAGATGTGAAACATACCTTTTTTTTTTAGCTGAGTCTTAAGAATGAGTCAAACCTGAATGAATGTAATTGCTTTATTAGGCATTTGGAGAGAGTATTACTGAAAACAATTCTTCATGTAATGCTTAGCGTTCAAGTTCCCCTTATCTTTAGAACTTCATAAATCACGATCTGGGAAAAAAAAATGCTTGAAGGTGGCACTATTTGCTTAGCTTCCTGGATTTTAATACCTTTGGGACATCATACATGGCGGTCTTGACTTGTGCTGTAGACACCAGCATTTATAATCTCTCCTGTAATTCCTGAGCAACTCAAAATGGTAATTTGTTAATTCAAGATAGAATTTCAAGAATTATTGGTAGTGTATTGAGTTGCCAAAAGAAAACACAAGAATTTTGGCCCAGCCTAAAAGCTTTGCTTTAATTAAAAAACAAGTTCTAATGTAACAAGACAAAAATAAATACAAGTCTCTCACACGGCCATGTTTTTTTCTCAAAAGAAAATAACAGTTAAGCACAGAAAAGGCAGAGGCCCCTTGCCAAAGGAATGATGGGTGCCTTGTTTAATCAGTCAGTGATGTATGTGGTCAGCTTGTTCTGAGAAAAGTGGTTCCTCAGCCTGACTTGAACAGCAGGATGGCCACCTGACCCAAGTAGAAGTAAATAAAATGCTTGGTCTCGTGGGTTACATAGCTGCCGAAGTTCCTCCCGACAATGCAGTGCCAAGTTGGGTTGTATTTTTTGTCAAACTCCTGGCAAGTGTAGAGACATCACATTAGAAATTTTCTATTCAGTTTGCACACGCAATGTATGCAGTATGCCATTTTGGCTTTTCTATATGTCCATATATCAGTGCATTTGTAAGGATGCGTTACCTTCTTGATAAAAGCAGCGATATCCTTCTCAATGTTGTATTTCTCCAGGGCCTGGGTGGCACACTCCACAGCGTCCTGCTGCATGTCCTCCGACATGTCGGCATTTTTGATCACAGCCTTTCTCTCTGACATGGTTGCCTTGGGATACCAAAACACAGTGGAAGATACATCATTTTCACAGGCGCATTGCCAAGTATACAATACATTCAGATAAGCATCTAAACAGGGTCTGCTTATGAGCATCCAAACTCGCACGCCGCTTTTAATTTCAACATCCAGTTAAGGCCAGAAATTAACTGTTTGTCGAACAATGTTATTACATAACAGACATATCTATCTAGCCATTTATAACAACGTTGCATAACTTCCAACTCAAATGGATGCAAGCGATGCGTAGTTTCTATGGCTACACATGAAAATGTAGATTAATGGCAAATTATTAGCCAGACACCAGTAAACGCACATAGAATATTTTGAGTGCACCACTAACAGTGACTAAGATTAAAACACACCCTTTGGAATACAATAAATTAATAAATAATACATATTATTTTCAGCGAAATTATTTTAGACAAGTTATCATGAGAAAAGTGGGCTTCTAGTATAATATACCACAGCACATGGATGTGCCAAAATGAATGAGAAGCTCTTTTTTCTCACAATAGAAAAAAATATTATACAGCAGTAACTTCAAACATAGCAAGAATGTATATGAACAAATCCCCACGACTCTTTATAGAAGACATAAAAATACCTTTCCGTTGTCTGTTTACTCTTGATAAATTGATGAAACGACTTCTCCAGCAGCGATAACTCCCGCGAAGTGGTTGACATAAAAGTAATGTGGGTGTGTAGTGGAAAGAAACCGCTATGTAGACCGGCTGTGATTGGACAACAGTAAAGCACGGGCCGCTGCTATTGGCTAATTTAGAGTTCTGTCCCCGGTATTTCGCTGTGCATTTTATTTCAGACCATCATGCATTGCGACAAACATGTCTCCGTGGCAACCGATACAAACATCCAATGCACCAATATCGTTTTCATTAATTCCTTCTATACCTGTTTTATTATACATCTCTATGCCATTGATCTATACATTACTCTTATTTTATCTTGTAGCTAAATTAACAAAGCTAGTATTTATTTAGGTACTTAATAATCAAATTCAGAATTGCCAACAATTGAGTTAGAGTTGCTAAATTTAGTTCTATGCAGTGCTCTTAGGGTTTTGCCATATTTAATTATTTCCTATGAATATTGTCAATAATCAATTATGTGTTTAACACTATAGTGGCAATTTAGCCATGTGAGTTAGTTAAGTTTACTGTATATGTAGAAATTCTGCAAAATGTCTGTTATAAAGCGTACAAATTGGAGATGCTTCAATCATTTTATTAACAAACAAGGGCATTCAATCAAACTATATTTGCAGTCTTGTATGCCACACATCACTTCAACAGTGTTTCCTGTATGAGCTCTAAAAACACACACACAAAACTTTCTACATAGCCCCAAAAGGATTTGCCACTAGTTATGCATGTGCATGCATACAAATAACATAACTTGAGCTAATGAACTAATACTCAAACAAAATTCCCCAATTTTTCAGCAATTATATTTAGGCTTAAGTTTAAAAAAACATAGTATCATTCACATGAAAACCAAAATGCACACATTTTAAAAAGTTTAAATTCATATTGTAACATAACCACTTATTATTGGACTATTGAAATAAATACTAGTAGAGGCACACAGAAGTTGCATTTGTTCATATCGCTGTAGCTTTACTCGCTGCGATCCTTTGGTTCTCTGTATTTGTAGTGGATATATTCAAAGATGTCTCTCTCGCTATCCACCATCAGAGGCTCTCCTGCCACACCTACAAAACGGGCATAACACCATCATATGTAATGATACAAGTCACTCTTCAGATATTTCACACACAGTCAAGACATTTTTATGGATTTATATTTAACTTATCAAAGACTCACCAGTCACCCCAAGTGGGCGTATAGTGTACTCATTTAGAGTAAAACCCTTCTCCAAAGCATGGGCTCTCATATTTTTATTAAATATGTCGCTTCCTGTGAAATACAACACTCCACAGTAGTACTGATCCTTTGGGATTAACCTTGAGTAGTAGAAAAAAGTGTAAAAGTTCCAGTACAAACTTCATATACTATTTTTTTTTATGTACAAGGTTGAAACAAACTGAAATGTATTTATAACAAATGGCCAAACTCAAAAATCAATCCTGCTATAAACAAAATAATATTTTTAATGTATTACCTAATATCAATACGTCTGTGAAGATATTCTTCCTCATCGTCATCGCTCTTTTCAAGCTGACAGACTCCCTACCAAAACAAGATCATGAAGGACCATGAGCAGAGTCATGCGAATCATGGCTTGGGTACAATTACTGTAACTCCATTACCAAACATCAGATTCATAAACTAGGTCCTCACCATGAACTTTGTATCCCCTTTAGACAGTGTGTCTGTCACAAAGCCAATGGACTCTAAATGTTCTACCACAGCATGGAGCAATTTGGGCTGAAAAAGACAACAAATTTAATGACTTGTGTAATTAGGATTAGCTGAGGCTTGGAAAGTTTTAAAATACTTGGTCTTACTTGCTTCTCAGTGTGAGATGTATAATTTGGGTGTGTCAGCAAGATATCTATATCACCACTCGAAGCAGCACCTGAGTAAATTAAATACATTGAATAAATATTTCCTTAGATGAGACCATATCATTGTTTTTAAAGAAAGGCAAAAGCATTCACCCCTCCTGTAGCTTCCACAAATTGTCCCAATGTATTCCTCATCAAGTTCATGCAGCTCTCCCAGGATTAGTTTCTAAACAAAGGTTTAAAATTTAGTGAACAACAAAATGGCCAAACTTAATAATATGTGATCATTATATACCTCCATCTTTTCCATTTCAGCTCTTGGAATTCTTTTCTCAAATTCTTCAAAATATCTGAAAAACAAACAACACTATGTAAAACAGCCTAAATTTTTCCATACCAAACCATTGCAACAAGACTTACTTCAGTCCAATTTGCTGGTGGTGATTTAACTTGTGCTCAATCTTTTTCAAATCTACAAGTATGACAAGAATGACAAGTTGGACACTCAGATGAATTTATGCCAAATGTGCAGAAGATAAAACAAACCTTCTAAGGTTTTCACCCCTTCTTCATAAAACTTTCTGGCAGCAGCAGGGCTAAAATCCAGGAAAGAAAAAGCGATTAGGGTTGGGAACAGCACCACTCGCACTATTAACTGTATGAAAGAAATAGTGTGTGAAATAAAGACAATAATGTTTTAAAGAAAGGCAAATAAATGTGAAATCACCTACCCAATTCCAGTAACTCTAGTCAGAAAATTAATAGAGGAACTGGTATCATCACTACGAATCTAAGAGCAACACAATAGATTAATTATCAGTACATGACTTGGACAAACTGGTTCTGTACACTTTAACAGATTTAATACCTTTTCCAATTTCCTTAGTTTGCCAGTTTGAAGGAATTCATCAATTTTCTCTGCAATTTTGGCCCCCACACCATCCTGTTAAAAGAGAAACCAAAAACAATAATTTATTTATTTAAATCTATATCTCAGGCGAATGACATTTTGTGAACAATACATACCAGTTTTTTTGCTTCTTCGCCGCTTCTGATTTTGTTAGGGTATTTCGCAATAGTTGATGCTGCTTTCCTACATTACAATAAATGAGAGATTAGTTGTCTCGTCTAAAACTGCACAAATAGTATTTATAATTACACCAAATCTTACCTGTATGCATTGTATTTGTGAATTGCCCTATTTACGTTTTTCTCGTAGTTGGCAAGTTCTGTAAACGCAATTACAAAATCAGAACGAGTAAACAAAACAGGCAACATAAAGTACTATTACAATCCATTACTAGTATTTGGACAATCTACCTTTTGCTATGTGGTACAATTTAGCAGGATATTTGCATTTGTTTTGGAGAAAATAATATTAAAATGTAGTTACAAAGAGTATTATTTTTATTTATATCTAGCTCATCTTCTAACCAGCTTCCACCCATAGCATGCAAGCTAGGCAGGCATCAACCCTTTCACTCACCAACAAGAAAGTCTGTGATTCCTTCATTGAGGGATTCCTGTGGCGCCTTTCTTTTACTCATGTTTATGCTTTATGTTAGAGTATGCACCGACTTATCTGTATATTCAAAATACTTCAACAAACAGATGTAAATCTGAAATAGCTACTAGAGTAGCTAACTGTGCTACACAATGCCGACACAAACGATGGGGGCAGGGCAGACGCTGAATTTATGACGTCATCTTAAAGCAAAACGAGCCTTTAAAACATTTAATGCTAGTAGACAAAGTCTTATTTGACTTTATGTGGAAGAAAAAAACTCATCTTATTAGAAAAAATGTAATGATTAATAATTTAAGTGATGGTGGATTTAACGCTCTAGATTTTCAGACTCTACATTCCTCTTTCAAAATTAAATGGATTAAAAGATATTTATTGTACCCAAATTCATTATGGAATTTCATTTCAACACATATATTTGATGCATTAGGAGGTTTAAATTTTATTCTGAGGTGTAATTACAGCATTGATAAGCTTCCAATTAAACTCTCTAACTTTCACAAACAGTTACTGTTGTGTTGGTCCTTAATATATAAGCACAACTTCTCACCACAAAAATATTACATATGGAATAACAAAGATATATGCTTCAAACACAAATCTCTTTTCTTAGGAAAATGGTTTGACCAGGGTATCATCTGTGTACACCAACTGTTTAACAACAAAGGCATCACCTATTCATACAGTGAATTTCTCAATGTTTACAATTTTCCAGTAATGCCAAAAGAATATGCAATAGTCTTTGACGCCATTCCTTCAGGAGTGAAAATGCTGATGTCCACTTATGTACATATTTCTAATGACGACACAACTAAAACAGAGCTGTTTATTGGTAACTCTGCCCCATTTTTAAGCTCTAAAACAAATAACAAATGTATAAGAGAACTTATCACAAGAGAATCTATTAGTAGACCAGCTTCTGTTTTTGTCTGGAATAATACATTTACGGACATTGACTGGAATGATGTTTGGCTTTTGCCTAGAAAATATTTTGTAACTAACAAGACTCGTGAGGTCTGCCTGCATAGATGTTACCCTGTTAACGCTGTTATCTCAAAATTTCGCTTAAACACAGATCATCTTTGCTCATTCTGTCACAGCGTTGAAGAAACGGTCACCCATATGTTTTGGGAATGCTCATACACTCAAATCTTTGGAATGACATATTTTTGTTAGTGAATAGAAAGCTTGATACAAACCTACAATTTAATATAAAACATGTCCTTTTTGGTGTCTTTGAAGAAGAAATTCCTGCTTAAAAAATATATGTGTTGAATTTAATCCTTATCCTATCAAAGTTTCATATTCATTGCTGTAAATTTTCTAGTCAGAAACCCAAATTTGTCATGTTTCAGTCCCTTTTGTCCTCTTATATAAATTCTCTAAATTACTGCACAAATCCCAAAGCCTTGAAAACAAAAGCACTTTGTAAGGAATTTGAAATATGAATGTATTTAATTTTCTACAGTTGTATATGCACATTTATATATTTACACTGTGATGTGTGTTATTAATTGCACTGATCGAGCCTTGTGAGCATATGAACACTTAAGCCTCCAACAATGTTTGTGTTTATACCATTGTATATTACTTTGTATATTTGAAAAAAAAAAAAAAAAAAAAAAAAAAAAAACATTTAATGCTGTAAAACCTCTTTATTTCCAAAACGATTATGGTTTAAGAACATGTAGCACAGTGTCGTGATTATAACATTTCGATTAGAGTGTTTCTTTGTTTGATTCAAGATATGTTCTTTTTTTGTTCTAATCTGAACTAAGCTCATAACTTTTTCTTTTACATATGTACAGAATAAGCAATTTTACATTACAATAATATATCGTGAGATAGCAGACACATATCTACAATGCAATATCACAACAAAACACAATACAAAATACATTTTTTTCATACAGCATAATAAAAAAAATAGGCTTCTTGTTCACAAAATCTCATAAATTGGATTCTTCATGTTGTTAAGAATCATTTTTAACATAAACTTTGTCCCTAGAAAATATTTTGATGGCTTCCTCAAGTTCAGAAAGTCTGCAATCAAGATGAGCCTTTCGAGTCTGCATGCTCAAGTTGTCCGCTTTGAGGGGCAATGAAAGTAGCTCAGTCACCAAGGAGCGGTGGCCTATGGGAAAATCAAAATCTTTGGTTGTATACATACGTAAAATGTGTACATGCTGTAATAAAAAGGTTTGCTTACTTTCTTTGAGGGATTTAAGAGTTTCCTGTCTCTCAGTCTCAGGCATTAGTGTGTGACCGACTGGAGCAGATGGATCAGGGGCATTTCTCCTTCTCTCTTCTTCTTCTCTCCTCCACTGCTCCTTTCTTTGTTCAAGGCTGTGTACAAAGTCAATATAAAAGTTTATAAAAAGTCCAGTTAATGTATGATCTAGCATAGTTTTTTTTTTATTTGTATGCAATGCTTTTTGAAGCCACTTACTACTGAGGGACTTGACCTTTGACAGCACTAGGAATAGGTTTTTCCTTAAGGCTTGACAAAGACTGAGAACGACGCAGCAGTGTTTTTCCCGCAGTCTTTGCATTATGTTTTATGAAGTTTACGGTCTGGCCTTGAACCAAAAACTGCATAACAATAACACAGAATAAATAATAATATACAATATTTTAACAATAACAGTTAGGTTAATCTCTACTGACCAACCGTGCATAAAGAAAGAAGTATTTAAAGAAATTGAAAATGTAAAACTTTGTGGCTCACTCTGTTAGTATGGTTGCACATTTGTTTTTATTTTTATGTTATTTCATGATCTATCACATATGTATATCATTACTGAGCATTTTGTTCATTACAAATGCTAATATTGATCTTAAACAACTTAATAACAGAACAGTTGATTCTAACAACGTCAAAAGCTAATAAAAGTTGATTTTGCATAATCTTCTACTATGGATTACTCACTTGTGGATTCTTGTCATTTGTGAAATTACATGAGACTGAACGTTGCAAAACTTTTGGAGTTTGTGATGCTCCATGTGCCTTTAGAAAGTTTTGACACTGAGGTTTAATTGTCAATTGAGAAACCTGTATTAAAAACATAGAAATTATGACAATGCGATGCTAAAAATGGAAATGTGATTGTTTCCCCTTGTGACCTATACCTGTAGCTGGGCCTTTACTTTTGAAGGAATATGAAGGTACTTTGAAGAAAGAGCTTTGACTGGAGTAAGGCGGGACTGTGCGTTCTCAGCCTGCTGCTCTCTGTAGCGTTTTTGGATCTCCCTAATTCGCCGCACATTCTCTTTACCAAAATCCTGTACAAGATTTCCTATGGGTAATAAATTCAAATGAGACTCTTTTGCAATTGTGAATTAAGTAGTTTGCATATATTGTTGAGTTAAAACATGAGCTTACTCTGCTTAGGAACAGAAAAGAAAGGGGCGTCATCTATCTTGAAGAGCTCACCCACAACTCCTTTTTTTCCTCTTTCCAAAATATGAGCAGCGTTGGGACCAATGCGAGGATGCTGAGCAGTAGTGCGAGCACTGTAGAAGCCTGGATGTAACACAGGGTCTGGAGCAAGTGGTCCCGACAACAGACCCCCGTCATGATGCCCCTCTAAGCGACCACGAGCTGTATAAACATTAAGGCGAATGTTATTTGCTCATTTATAATGGAATAATTACTTAATAGGATGTGTAGGTCCAAAAAAGCAACAAACCTGAATTTGGACGTTTGTAGAATTCAGGGAAAAGAGAAGGATCAGGAGGGATTGGTCCAGATATAGATGAAGGACCCTCACACATTGTTCCCTGTAAATGAAAAATCTAAATTACTGAGGCTGGCTTTTACAAATTTGAAGGCTCTACATTCGCTAATAACATACAATATCATGTGCAACCAGTTAAAAAGACTTCTTACTTACAAACTTACAGTCCAGCAAATAGTAAGAAATGTGTAGCTAAATATAGGAGTAGTGGAACACAATTTTAAGGTAAACTAGAGGATTAAAATGTGCTATCATAGAAGGCTAACAGCGACAGGTAATGTTGGCTAGGTTAACTAATTAACTACACAGTTCCTATCTTCTACTTGGTTCATTAAACATAGGAATAACTCTAAGCTATTGTTATAAGCTTATTGTGTGGTTCGACGATGATAAACTACATTTAAAAGAACAACATAAAGATAATCCCCTGAACAGTTACCTGAAGCGTGTGTTTATCATGAGCTGCTGCAGGAGTCCGGAGAGTCTGTCACGCTGGCGTCAGCACTTGTTGTGCTTCACCATGGAGACGGCGCTCTGACACTGACCAGACCACAGACTGACGTGCTCATCTCCAGATCATACGAAGAAGATGTTTCATACATTTAACTAATCCTTTAACTATCCTGCAGATATCATTTACGGAAAATGCTATTGCTTACCGTAAATAACTGTAATATTAGTCCAAGTTCACCGCGGTAAAGAAATAATCTATTTATAACGCAAACTAAAGCTGATAAATGTTGTAAAACAGTGCCCCTTCCGGCATAGCAGTGTACTGTGAAAGCGGAATGCCCACAGAAAATGAAAATACAAAGTAGATTTTATACCATCAACTAATAATTTGAACTTATGTCTCATAAAGTGTCATAAGTACATTGAAGTTTCTGAACGCTAGCTGTGAAAACACATCCAGCATAGTTTTGCAGCTTAATGGACATTGTGTTCTACTGCCTCTTGCCGAGGCTCTCCTCCTATTTCAATTAGAGCCCTACTGATCTTCTGCATGTTTTTCCCCATTTTCACCAAATCAGTGCCTTTAGCAAATGTTATAACGTTATAAACTATATAAAAGCACATGTCAGTTTTCACTCTAAATTGCTAATATTGCACAATGGCCCCGCCCTCCAGGCTCAGTTCAGGCTGTGACGTTGCGCCTGGTGTTTGTCTGTGAGCTTCTCCTTCACTGTGTCCCGCTGCTCGGAGCAACTGCAAACTGTGCACACTCCGTCCCGCAAAAAACAGGTAAAGAATCCTGATCTTATGTATTCTCTATCTGTTTATCAAAACGTTTGGGCAGCTTTTGGCTTACTGCATGTGGACCCTGTCATCAGTCATTACCACAGTCTATGGTCAGAACACAGGGACAGATCTGTTAGGAATCGACTCGTTTTCCGTTTTAGCTTCAATACAGTTTTTTTCTCCTGGGAATACTCTCATTCTAGATGTGTTGCGAGAAAATAAAGTAAATTCTCTATCTTTCGCTTTATTTCTATATTCTGTGCTGGTGATCAATTGGAACAGAAACAATAGGCCTGTATTTTGGTGAAACAATGAGCCTACATAAGAAATAAAAGTTTATAAAATACAGTGTTTGAAATACTATGCTGGAACAATAGTAACAGTGAACCCTTGTCCATATGAGGAAGGGACAGGGTCCATCTGTGCAACATGATGCCATAAAACTTAAACATGTTATCCTTATCAGACTGTTGAATTCTCCTTTTGAAGCCTCCCTTGTCTGTAGGTCATTGTGCAGTACCTTAGTGACCTGTAGCATTTATTTTGAATGATCAGAAGTTTAACTCATCCTGCCACAGCTTGAAAATGTGTCTTTACTTGTTGTGGCCTAGAGGTCCTTATGGTCAATGAGCACGTCACTCCTTCATATACTACATTGAAGTTATAAATTGCACTTGACCTTATCTCACACTCAGACATACCTCATGTTGGAGGCCTACCAACACATGCTGCACTAGTAGTTGGCAAAATGATTGGCCACTAGTGTCACCGCCTCTGTTTATCTGACAAAGACACTCTATTACCACCCTAAAGTAGTCTATAAACAGTATAATTCAAAGTCATTATAATAAAATCCTCATAAACATCCTGACAGGTTCAAAAATAATAATGCATATTTTTGCACTTGTATGATAATGAGCCCTGTTCTTGTCTGCTTTTTGTTCTTGTTTATAGTTGATATTTGACCTTTGAGCTTCACTATTGCAGCGGATGACAGTGCTGTGGAAATGGTTGCCTAAGGCTGAGCCCTATTTACAGTTTTAAAAAATCAAAGTAGCTCATGGCTTGCAGTCTTCTTCTCTAAAGTTTTCAGTCATTTGAAAACAATGTTATTTATATGAATAAAGTTTTAACACCACAAAGAAACAAATAGTCTAGTCTGTTTTAAAGCCATACTCACTTGTTTTTTAGTGTCAGATTCACCTGGGCTAAATATATCCTGGTAGTGAGGTGGACTGTCGAAGGCTGAGGAAAATGACAGGGTATAACTTTGCTTTACAGACTTTGCTCATGCTTAAAAAGTTACACTTCTATAGTGATTAAACTAGATTTTTATTTTAAGTACATTTAAATTGGTCTGTTTCTGTTGTCTAATGTATGCAGCATGTAACTTTTTTCTGGGTTGTTGCTTTATTGTTGTTGCCTTTACATGCATTCTTTTTAGCAAATATTCCTATGTGCACAGCATGCTGTCTCTCTCCAGGAGGTCTGTCATTTCCTTCTAAAATTCACAGCAGTAAGAGCAATATTGTGCACATTTTTCAACTGTAGGACCAGGGAGATCACTTTTTTACTGGCTATCAATATTCAGGTGTTTCCATAGTTTAAGAGGAAATTAAAGTCTCAGTATTTTATAACAGTTTTACTCTAAAATCAAGGCAAGGCAAGTTTATATGCGCAGCACAATTCGTAGACAAAATGCTTTGGAAAAAAAAAACTAAACATTAAAATCACAATACAAAAACAAACACAAACAAAGCAACACATAAATAATCATTCTAAAATTAAAAACAGTAAAAACATGAATCCAAAATGTTTAGTTTTAGTATTATAAGCCACTCATCCCAATATTCCGTAAATTAAGGTTTACCATGCCCACTTCCACTTTTCATTTATGAAGTCATGGCAGAGAAAGGAGTGAAGATTGTGGTGCCACCTGCAGTATCAGTGGTGCCCGCTGTGCAAGCTGTACCTGTGGTGCCACTGGACCAGCCAGAACAAATGAAGCAATCAAAGAGCAAAGACCATTGTAAGACATGTCAGCACCACGCACCAAAGGCTCATGGTGAGTCAGGGCATGTTCATTTGAGGCAGAGGACTTCAGTGCTGCTGGCTGCATTATGTTGTGTTTTGAGAATAAGGATTCATTTGACTGTTACATTAAACTCATCTTTACACTGGCATGGTGCACTGCATAGGTTTGCAGTAGTCTGGCAGCTGCTGTCTCTAACATGCATCAACAGTAAAGATGTTGCCAAACTGCTTCTGGAACATGTCAGCTGCAGCTTTCTGTAGATTTCACATTGATACACATTGCCTCTGGTGTATTCAGAGTATTTATTATACGTCTTATTATTACTTATTTTCTTGAGTAGTGTATCAGTTGCTTGCCAGTGGCATGTTGCCAAGTTGTGTGTGAATATTACTGATGCAGTGGATCTTGGACTTTCATTCTCACTGGCCAAATGCTGTAGAAATAGGTTCATACAGTGCCTGGTCAAAAAGTAAAATAAGCAAGCACACCCGATTGGACATCTCATCATAAAAACTTTATATATATATATATATATATATATATATATATATATATATATATATATATATATATACATATATATATATATATATATATATATATATATATATATATATATATATATATATACATATAAACATTGTAATGTAAAATCATTTCCAGTATTTATACTAATAAATCTGCTCCCTCAGGAAGTATGACTGTCCCTCCAGCATACGCGGACTTGGGCAAATCAGCCAAAGATATCTTCAACAAGGGGTTTGGTAAGTTATAAAACACAGTTCATGGACAAGTACAGTGTGTAATTTTGACATAGAATATGATCAGTTTTGACAAGACCATAAAGGTTGTCTGATAAAGGATGTCACAATATTAGCTTTTTCTATAGTTTTCCTTTTCTTTGCATTTATTTACAGGCTATGGAGTGCTGAAGCTGGATATCAAGACAAAGTCTCAGAATGGTGTTGTAAGTGGAATTCTTTTAGACATGTCATGTGATGATTTGCTGGGAATGCAGTAGCTGAAATGTCTTCTGCTTTTCAGCTACTTTGACATTATTGAATAAATGTGCTTTTATTCACTTCTACCATGTCTTTAAGGTATTGCATGAAAAAAGAAAATAATGTATGGTATGATGCACAGAGGTGAATGTATTGATTCCAATGCAAAAAACACACTTCTTCTTATTCACCTAATATCTTCAAAGGTTTAGATTAATGCAGTATCACTTGGGGCAAAACTCTTTGTAGTTCAGGCTAACCCTCTGTCTTTTGTCTTTTTCTGCTTCCTGTGTGGATGTCCTTTCAGATGGTAAGAATGAGTATGTATGTAATGATTAAACAAATGCTTTAAAAGGTAAACCAGTGCTTGTGTGAGGATCTTGCCTGCACTGTTCAGATTGTCAATGCACTAGAGATAGACCGATATATCGGTTGGCCCCAAAATATTAGCAGAGCTTATCGGGCATTAGTTGCTCTGGATTGTAGAGAATCAGTATTGGCATCAGCCATGAAAAAAAACAAAAAAACATCGGTCGATCTCCACTATGCACAGTTGTCACCTCATGTCTGCAGCTTATATCACTTTATAGTTCTCAACATAATTTTTTTTTCACTTGTGCCCTTGTGTAGTTCAATAGACTGATTGATTGTTGTAGAATTTGTTGTCTGCATCTCAAATAGAGAACAGGGATCAATGTTGAGCCATTATCTTAAAAGAAATGGAAAATAGCATTATAATTATAAGGTGTAAGTACTATTGTAACGGTATCTCAAATTATTTTTACATTTGGTTTTGTCCTTCAGGAGTTTGCCACCTCTGGCTCCAGCAACACGGACACAGGGAAGTCCGGAGGTCACCTGGAGACCAAGTACAAGATGAGTGACCTGGGCCTCAGCTTCAACCAGAAATGGAACACTGACAACACTCTGACCACCGAAGTCACTGTGGAGGACCAGGTCACAGCAAATCAATTCTGTTACCACTTAACAACTTTATGTTTTTTATATTACACATCTGTCAAGTAACATTCTTTAAATATATGATTGCAGTAGACATTTACAAAGTTTGGGTTTAAAACAAGCAACGCCATAATCATATAGATACAGATATAATATTTAACCATCATTAACACATTTTCTTTTTTTTTGTAGATGGCTAAGGGTTTGAAGCTTGGTTTGGACACATCGTTTGTGCCTAATACTGGGTAAGTATAGTCATTTGGATTATAAAGATTATGGAGTAGTCATTATCTTCCTTTATCTACTCCTAACAGCTCTGCTAGGCCTTACACCTGGCATAAGAGACCCTTCTCTCTCAAAATGTAGCATTAATAATTATTCTTGTTTTATTTTTTAGGAAGAAAAGTGCAAAATTGAAGACTGCATACAAACGTGACTTCATTAACGCTGGTTGTGACCTGGACTTTGACATGGCGGGGCCCACTGTTCATGCAGCTGCTGTGTTGGGGTACGAGGGCTGGCTGGCCGGGTACCAGATTGCCTTTGACACTGCCAAATCTGTATTGACCCAGAACAACTTCGCTATTGGATACAAGGCTGGTGACTTTCAGCTGCACACTAATGTGTAAGATCTCTTAAAACACATAAAACCCTGGCAAATATTTATAATGCTTATCTATATTAAAAAGGACATATTTCTTTTTGTCTTTAGTAATGATGGCACAGAGTTTGCTGGTTCAATTTACCAGAAGGTGAACAGTAACTTGGAGACAGCTGTTAATTTGGCCTGGACAGCTGGCAGCAACAACACACGCTTTGGTATTGGTGCAAAATACCAGCTGGACAAGGATGCGTCTGCCTCTGTAAGTAACTCACTTTGTGATGTATAGAGAGAAAAAGGAGAGAGATGTGTAATCATGTTTTGTGCAATTATCTCTTTGAACTAAAGTGTTCAAATAAAGATTTATGTGTATTCTTTAGGCAGCAGGTCGACCAAAACAAAATAAAACTGTGCTGGAGATTTAAGTGTTACGGTTATGCTTAAAAGTGCAAATATCTCCCCGTTAAATCGGTCAACTGATATATCGATCAATCTCTACTTTTTCTATGCGATAATCAATATGTTTTTCTTTACAGGCCAAAGTTAATAACACTGGTCTTGTCGGGGTTGGATACACACAAACACTCAGACCAGGTTAGCATTATATTACTATTCAGAAATGCATAATTTAGCAGCAAAATTTTAACTGTCAAAATTAACTAAATGGTCCTTATTCTACTCTTATCAGGGGTGAAACTCACTCTATCAGCTCTCATTGATGGAAAGAATGTGAATGGTGGTGGACACAAGATCGGCCTGGGCTTTGACTTGGAGGCATAGACAAGGAACACCTGAGAGAAAGGTCCAGCAACATGCCTTTCCTCTGAGATGGAAACCCCAAGTCATAAACTGTCATCCAGTCAATTACACTTTTGGCCTTAACTCTTCCACCTCAATGACCATTTGTACTGTAATTTTAGACCGAAGCATTTTTTTTTTAAAATGGTTTTCAGATGTACAATTTTAACAGCAATACAGTTTCATATATTTATATGAGAAACATACCATACCAGCTGTTTGAATATACTCAAATGTATCTAAGTGCACTTTTCATTTATTTCATTATGAAGTCAGGCGTGAAGCACCTTATTACTCCTCAGCTCATTTCTACTCTTCACTGGGATTTTGAACATTTGTAATAATCTGTTCTTCTAGATGTTGTGTTGTTGCATGCCTTTATTGTAACCTCTGTGTTACATTCAATAGGAAATATAAACACATTGAAGGCTTGGGAATAAATAATAAACAGTTAATGGTCTAGGTCTGAGTAGCCAGAGCACCTCTTTACCTCAATACACTAACACAGTTTTCATGCTGTGAGGATTTTCCAACTAAATTGTTTATTGAAACTTGTTTCGTGAGGTACTCTTTTGCATGTTGTGTATCCCGTGTGTCTTGACTAAAAACGTGGCATTACAGTTAATTTGTGCAGTGTTCAATAGATAATAGTCAGAATTTAACTACTCTTTCTGACAATAAACTCATGGAATAAAGAAAGTCAACCAATATGCCCATTACTTCATGTTTATCAACACTGGGAGATAAAATAGGGTGTAAAAATATGTATTTATTGTAATGTACAAAGATTAAAATGCACAAGATACAGGATATTTACACAATTCATAAAACAGCAATAATCCATTGACTAATACAGACTTTTTTCCCCTTTTTTTTTTTTTTTACAGTTAGGGGACACTGTTGGCTGAAAAAGCTCTGCTATGTTAAAGACCAACGTGCAGTATTGATTTTGACCATCTTTCCCAATAGACATAAAACAACCATAAACAAAGGTTTTTTTTCTTTATTTGAGTCTTTGTCTCAAAGCTAAATAACGGCCTATGGTGGAGCTTTAATTTTTTTAGTAAACGCTCAGTCTCTGCAATTATGCATAAAACACTCCTAAACTAACGATTCTATTACCAGCAGTATTACATTTATAGAGATCTGGCCCTACCAGTCGAGGTTGTATTGCCATGGTGATTATTGTTTCTAAAATGTTTGGTCTTTGTCATAGGTTTAAATTCTAAAATACAGTTATTCTATAAGATGCATACAGATGCATTCACACAGTGTCCATACGGAGGCAGCAGAGTACAGCACAATCTCCATTCTTCATGACAAATCACTGGAGAACAGAGAGGGAGCGGGAGAACAACGAGGGAGTGGGACGCCCCAAGCAACACCAGTGGCGGAGTTAGCAATTTGGGGGCCTTGAGTTTGGGGCCCTTACTGTAATGCACTTTTTCTGTTTGTTTTTTTTTTGTTAATATATTTATTGTCTGTTTTTTCCCTTTGTTCTTGAGACATGCATATCTCTATTTATTTTAATTATGGTGGACTGGAAATCTCTCGTTTAATGTAATATTGAGAGAAAATCAAATTGCTTTGAGGCCTCGGCCATTAGTGGCACTGAGGGCAATTGGTTGAGGGCCCCTCCAGGTTTGGGGACCGTAGGCAGCCGCCAACTTTTGCTTTTTTAATGGAAGGCCCGCCTCTGCACAGCACCACGTGGTTACATCAAAGGCTTAAAGGTTTTATAAATAAACACAAAACTAAAAGTGACAATGACTCATCTGTTCATTTAATAATATTTCATAATATTTAGGCAGCACATCTTTGCAATATAGCCAATGTGTTTTCTTTCAGTGTTTCAAGAGTTTTATCTCTATATTTTTAAGTATGCCTATGATGTGTGTTTGCGGACTGGTCCTGTTTATGCACATGTACATACTAGCAGATATGTGCATGCAGTGGTCTGAATGGTCAAATTATGAGTGCGTGCGAGAGATTCAGATGCCCTCCCCTGGAGAGTGAAAGGAGCGAGGGAGGGATACGTGGATCAGCGGTCAGGGGACAAGCGCTTCAGCAGGTAGAACACAGATTTGTAACACATTAGATACATATCAGGCACTGTTATTGTGCCAATAAAAGTCCACACAAAACATCTAAACTCTCCTTACGTCTGTGAGTGTGCGGGCCTGGGTCAGGAAGGCACAGGCATATAATTGTGTTCTTCATACTGTTAGAGAGCAAGCTCTCATTTGCAAGAGCTCCACATTACACAAAAATGTAGGGAATATTTTGAATAGTTTGTGTTAGGTTCGGCCAGTAGGCTTCGTGTCGTGCGTGGAATCGGGCCACTCTGGCGATCGGTGCATAAATACAAAAGTGTTAAGTTGCGTTTAGTCCCAGTGCTTCATTGAACCAAAGCCTCGCTCCTGTGCTGTTGGGTCACAGCCACAGACTGTGAGCTATAGAAGTCTATGGTTATGGACTGCTGGAGCCTCTGTGCTGCACTGAGAAAGAGGCTGTGCTTGGCGACTTTCAAATGTATAATATTGTAGAGAATAATGAGTGGAATAAACAGCCCCTGTCCATGTTTTGGCTAACCTCTGCTTAAATGCACAAATCTGAAGGTAATTCTTTTATATAGGTGGATTTTCAGATCATTTCCTGATCAAAAACTTCCTCAAACTCTCTTCACTTCTGTGCCTCTCCACGAGTGTCGCTTTTCCCTGTGTCTCCAGACTTCATAGAGCTTACAGCAGGGTCCATGCTAGAGAGAAGCAAAGCGTGGCGCTTAGGACGAGTTTCATAAATCTCCCACTTGGCGTAAAGAACACCTACACAAGGATTTGTGCATAAACAAGCTTTATAAATGAGGCCCCAGGTCTTCCTGCAGCCACTTCCATTCCCGCAACATCTGATCAAAAAGTACAGGTTTTAGACCTAATATATTCATTGTTTATTACTGTGTTGACAAAGAGAACAAGGAAATATACCTCCATACTGCTTTCTGACTCCTGAATTGTGTCTTGAAGCAAACTTTGGAGCCGACTTTCAAATGTTCTGCTTTCCTCCACAAGAGACTCATCTCTGCTTACAGAATACAACCAAAACTCATTATATGGCCATTTCATAATTAAACTAATATATTTTTATTCATATGCGCCTTTATGAACATTACCATATTAAGCTTTTTGATATAAACAAAAGTGACAAACTCACAGTTGCTGAAGGCTGTGTCTTGGAGTTACTAAATGTGGCACAGAGGTCCGTAAACCTTCTGGACTTCCACTTACAGGACTGCGGACTTTACTCTGCACACAAAACATGGTTGATCATTCTATGCTCACTCATTCTAAAAATAAAATGTGAACAATCAAATTTTTATATGCAATATAAGAGGGGATTTATGAGAGGAAATGAGTTATGTTATAGTTACATTATTTTAGGGTCCTTATTTACATACTTTTTGTGCTTATATAGAACTTTGAAATATTTTAGCAGTAACATTTGGGGGTTGTGGAGTCAAATAAACACATGAACACATGACTCCTTATAGACTAGATTAGAAAATTGCTCAATTTTGTAGTACGCTACCATTCAAAAGTTTGGGGTCACCCAGACAATTTTGTGCTTTCCATGAAAAGTCACTTTTTTTACCACCATGAGTTGTAAAATGAATAGAAAATATAGTCAAGACATTGACAAGGTTAGAAATAATGATTTGTATTTGAAATAATAATTTTATTCCTTCAAACTTTGCTTTCGTCAAAGAATCCTCCATTTGCAGCAATTACAGCATTGTAGATCTTTGGCAATTTAGCTGTTAATTTGTTGAGGTAATCAGGAGAAATTTCTCCCCATGCTTCTAGAAGCCCATCCCACAAGTTGGATTGGCTGGATGGGCACTTCTTGTGTACCGTACGGTCAAGCTGCTCCCACAATAGCTCAATGGGGTTTAGATGTGGTGACTGTGCTGGCCACTCCATTACAGATAGAATACAAGCTGCCTGCTTCTTCTCTAAATAGTTCTTGCACAATTTGGAGGTGGGCTTTGGGTCATTGTCCTGTTGTAGGATGAAATTGGCTCCAATCAAGCACTGTCAACAGGGTATGGCATGGCGTTGCAAAATGGAGTGATGGCCTTCCTTATTCAAAATTCCTTTTACCCTGAACAAATCTCCCACCTTACCAGCACCAAAGCAACCCCAGACCATGACGTTACCCCCACCATGTTTGACAGATGGAGTCAGACACTCTTCCAGCATCTTTTCAGTGGTTCTGCATCTCACAAATGTTCTTCTGTGTGATCCAAAGACCTCAAACTTCGATTTGTCCATCCATAACACTTTTTCCAATCGTCCTCTGTCCAATGTCTGTGTTCTTTTGCCCATATTAATCTTTTTCTTTTATTGGCCAGTCTCAGATATGGCTTTTTCTTTGCCACTTTGCCCTGAAGGCCAGCATCCCGGAGTCGCCTCTTCACTGTAGATGTTCACATTGGCATTTTACTGGTACTATTTAATGAAGCTGCCAGTTGAGGACCTGTGAGGCGTCTATTTCTCAAACTGCAGACTCTAATGTCCTGATCTTCTTTCTTAGTTGTGCAGCGGGGCATCCCACTTCTCTTTCTACTCTGGTTAGAGCCTGTTTGTGCTTTTCTCTGAAGGGAGTAGTACACGCTGTTGTAGGAAATCTTCAGTTTCTTGGCAATTTCTCGCACAGAATAGCCTTCATTTCTAATAACAAGAATAGATTGTCGAGTTTAACATGAAAGTTCTCTTTTTCTGGCCATTTTGAGCATTTAATCGGCCCCACAAATGTGATGCTCCAGATACTTGACCTGCTTTTAGCGAGGTCAGTTTTATAGCTTCTCTAACCAGCTAAACTGTTTTCAACTATGCTATCATGATTGCACAAGGGTTTTCTAATCATCCATTTCCATACCATACCATTAGAACACTGGAGTGATAGTTGCTGGAAATGGGCCTCTATACACCTATGTAGATACTGCACCAAAAAACAGACATTTGCAGGTAGAATAGTCATTTACCACATTAGCAATGTATAGAGTGTATTTCTGATTAGTTTTGAAGTTATCTTCATTGAAAAAAACAGTGCTTTTCCTTCAAAAATAAGGAAATTTCTAAGTGACCCCAAACTTTTGAATGGTAGTGTATATTTACTCTGTAAAAATACTGTTTATGTTTTAAATTGATTGTGATAGTGGCACATGCTGGTCTTATTAAGGATAATGCATTCATTTGCAATTTATCCAACTTCAAATTGTATTATCATTAAAGGCCTCATTCTGAATTAAATAGATCAGTTCGCAAACTGTAATATGTAGTAGGTGTTAGCCTACTTGAGATCTCTACAGATTTTGTGTTTGCTTAATTCAGAGTCATTTCTACATTTCTGTTCTCCTGTGTGTGGTTGTCATGGTTATATATCTTCCTTACACAGGCCACTTTGAGCAGGTTCCAAAGTTCCCTCTGTCTTTTCTCCTGCAGACTCATGAGGATTTGTTCGCTCTCCACCATCTTTTGCACCACCTCCTCCATTTTGGGCAGGAGCTCCATCACACGTTGTCGACACAGAGCTGTTTTACTGCCAAATAAGACAAAATGCTGGGTTTCAAATGACATAAAATCATCAGGTTCAACTGTACTTGTAAATTTACTTTAGAAACATTTCTTATGAAAATACAATAGGAAATCATGCCCTTTATATACTTTAAAGTATACTTTGTACATTTTTATAGTTCCACAGAATGACACCAGCAGGATGGTAATGCCAACTGGCCAAATTAGTAGAGTGGCAAGCCCACTCATACAATGCATGTTTTTCAAGGTATTAATTTTAGTAATGACAAATACTGAATAAAAGCAGAATGGATAAGTTATAAGTTATAAGTTAAGTCCAATGGGACATGCAAGTAGAGGATCCATGCCCCCGAATTTACATAGTGCATTTTAAACCCAACCTATTGGACATGCTTCTTATGAAGAACATCCACACATTGTTCAGTACCTGAGATGTGTGTAGAAGTCTCTGACCTTCCTCTCAAAAAACTGCACAGCCTGGACTACAAGTCGCACCACCTCATGGCTGTCCCCAGAACATCTTTGGTCTAAGAAGAGAGTGAGATAATACTGACACATTTCCAAACAAACTTATGGACTATAGCAAAGTTTTAATTCTTCACCTCTGGGTTTTTCTCTGAGCTTGCGGAACATTTCCATTGCTTTTCCTTCACTGTAAATCAAACAGGAAAGTCACAACATAGCGGTTTCTTCAGGTGTTGATTTGGTTTATTTTGGTGAACGAGAACTACGATTAGACTTACAGTGTATCCAGAGCCTCTCCACTTCTCTGTCTCTGCACATCCACAATATCAGGCTGTAGGTGCATCATCTCATCCTCAAGTTCACTGACCTTGGCCTAGACACAGTTAAAAGTTACTATCTTTGTTTCTTACTAAACTGAACAGGCCATTATTGAAGCATACCTGACCACAACTTATAGCAGTCTGCTCCATCTCCCTCCAAACAGACAAGAGTTTTTCTGATGCTGAAAATATAAAATACATTTATTTACTTTACATAGAAAAGCACATACGGTATTATTTTGTGAAGGATGCCTGGGTTTCAAGCAGACAAACTTAAAATACACAACCTAATTACATATTTTAAAATGTGTCTGAGCAACATGTTTGTACAAGGTACATTACAAAAAAAGGAGTAGGTAGAAGTTTAGAAAACGTATTGAGTTGAATTATATAATGTGATGTAAGCAATAACTTGAAGACAATATTCATCAGACACTACAGTGCACTTGCCCCCCTTCTGTGACTTTATATACTTTATGGTATACTTTATACATTTTTATAGTTTTAGGGAATGACACATTTGAAGTATGGTAATGCCAACTGTAAATCTAAACATAGTTCTCATTTACCAATGTAAAGTAAAGATATAAGACATATCCACATTTAGATAACACTGTAATGTTTTACGCTTAATACAATATGTTATATAATATAATCAGTATTCAATGTATTTCTGAAAAATATGCATTTCTTCAAAAAATTCCCTGTCCCTAGAAACAAATCTTTACAAAGAGAAAGGAGATGTGAATTTCTGACAAATGTACCAATTCCAGTGGCAGTCTGCTCCTGGTATTTGTCCATGTCTATGTGAAGACTGGTTGTGAAGAAATCCAGTTTAGCCATAAGCCTCTGGTGCATTGACACCATTTCAATATTCTGTTTGGATAAAGAGGAGTTGTGTCTCAACAGACTCATGCTGAAAGTAAAATCATAACAAATAAAACAGTTACCTAAACAGTGTCAGATACATAAACATGCATTATGTGAATTATTCTTTCAGTAACATACATAGCAGCTTTCTGGCCTTGCTGCAGCCTTTGCCAGTCTTCTTTCAGACAGCGAATGGTGTGCCAAGCCTGCCCACAGGTCCTCCTCAGGGGACTGTATTGCAAAATGTGACTGGGGTCATTTTCTACAACAAAAACAAAGAGAATTTACTTGATTACAAGAATTTCAAAATTGGCCTTAATTTTTTAATGGCATATGAGTTCCAAAGGTTAGCTTTCTTAGTTTATTTATTTTTTTTACAGTTAGTTTAAATATTTTTTTGAAAAATGTACTCACGAACAAAGCGTATGTTTTCAGGGAGAGGGCGAGGAGTAAACTGAGGTTCATAGTTACAGGACGATCGATCAAAAAGGAAAACCATTGGGAAATCATTCCTTCGTCCGTCTATTTCCTAAAAACAAAGGAAGCTTAGGGTGTGCCACAGCATTAACACACTGCATAAGTATAAGTGTGAAGATTGTCATTACAGTGTAGTCGACAGCACATTGCAGAGTCAGTCCCTGTGGCTCTAGGGCCAGTCCAGCCTCTAGCAGCAACTCCTGATTGGCCACTGGGATGTTGGTATCTTTTTCAATTCTTTGCTGCAATTGAGCCACTGTCTCATGCTCTGACACAGAATAAACAAGGGTTTTTGTTGTCATCATGTTCAGGACACGTACCAACTAATGAACAGAGAAAAGTGTTGAGAATATTGCAACAGCAGTTCTAATGATTTTTGCAAAACCTTTCAAACCTTGAGTTTCAATATGAGCTCTAGTTGAGAAAAACAGTCACTGGGTGTCGCATTTTTATCCTTTCCTCTCTCCTGTGGTGACCACTTCAGCATCAGCTTTAGCCACCGCTCCAACTTTTCCAGCAACAGACTGTTAAGAGTAATAGCCTTAGAACCAATATAAACTCTTATTGTACAAATTAATGTGTACAAGTTTTACCTGTTGAGATTATTGGGCTGGGGCAGGTGCTTATAGAATCGTACTTCTCCTGAAAGGTCCTCTTGGACAACAATGTCATCATCCTGCTTTTGTCTGACTTTGTTGTGCCTAAAACAAGAATATGTTTACATGTTTCTACATTGACATTTAGCATTATATCTGAAGTTGTTCATTCATGATACACATATCATAAGATAATAAATATCCATCCACGGACGGAGGTGTTTCTATTTGATGCCCATTGATTGGCACAGCATGCACATCCTAGTATTCTTTCTTTCTTCGAAACTATTGTTTAAATATGAAGCTGGCAGGCTGAAATCTAATCATGTAAAAATATTGAAGTACTTCTAGTCAAGAGCACTAATGTTGACAGATGATATAATGGAAAACCAACAAAGTAGAAAGCTTAAGCATGTACCCACCAAGGAACAGGCTGCCAGGTTGGTAAAAAGGGCCGAAATCCTGTGATGCACTCAAACACCAATGTGCCAAAGCTCCAGTAGTCCACAGTGTAGGTGTATCTCTGCCTTTCTATGAGCTCTGGAGCCTAAAGAATGGAACATTCACACACTCTTTCTAATGTTTAAAATAATGCTTTTGCTGTTACTACTACTCACCAAGTACTGCAGTGTTCCCACAAATGATATACACAAACTGCTTGCGTCCAACTCCTTTACATATCCAAGATCTATAATCTTGTGAATCAACTTAAAAAATAGAAGAGAAAATAGTAAGAAAAAAGAGCAAGTAAAACACATGTGTGCCCTGTGACAAAGCACAGTACAGCATAAACAGCATGTAACTTACTTAATGTGTCTGGGCATAGTTACATAACACGTTTACATTCTCTGTATGTTGCGTAGATACAGGAGACGACATAAGTTAAAAAAAATAAAACTAACAGGCATTTTTATCATTTCCGTCAGGATTTGTTTTAAGATGGGAGGTTTCCACATTAACTATTAGGAGCAGCAGTTTATATGTTCAGATTGCGCTGGTTAAATGTGCCTGCTCCACACAGGGCCCATGTACGGACAAAAAGCCTTTATATGACCTCTTTGTTTTGGTTTGGTTGGATTTGGCAAAACAACACAGTTCACAGGCTCTCTAACTCACTCGCTTTTCTCCCTGCTGAAGCACAATGTTTTCTGGTTTCAAATCTCGATGGATGATTCTCTTTTGGTGAAGATACATCAGAGCGGACGCTAAGGGGGATGAAGGAGAAAAGTGTTGATAAATACAATTAATGCAATTCAGTTAATGACTAAACAGCAGCTTTTGATTAACAAACACTCACATTGTACCAGCCAGTTTTAAATGTGCATGGGAACATGAGCCGCACTGAATATTATCCACAACCTCTGTTGTCCACTGCCATCTCCCACAAAAACATGAGCACGACAGATAAGAGCAAAACGCGCCACTATCCTCTACATACTTCCCCATCATAGATGCCACACTCACCACTGCTGTCTTTTTGTGTATACTTATTTTACATCAGGGTATCCAGTGTGTAATTCTTTCTTCCTGTGCTCTGTGAGCTCCAAGCATGGTCAGTGTCAATAAATCCTTTCCTAGTAACCTAGATGTTTTTAAATGATTTTCACCAAGTCTGACTGGACACTATACTTTTCTGAATGCAGAACATTACTTCTTCATATTTATGACATGTTTGATGCAAATAAAGCCTTAAAATTATGGTTTTATTGATGTAGTTTGTGTAGTTTAATAATATTTCTAATATTAAATTCAATATATAAATGCTGAAATGTGAAAGCCTTCTGTTAAGGGCTAGAAGTCTCAGAATGTTAAAACCATGCTTCGGGAACATTCTCCAAGAAGATAGATATATTTCATACCACAGTGTGTAATATTATAGCCAATGAAACAACATTTTTATGGAAACTAAAGGAGTAAGTTTTGAGGAGCCTGCTCACAGTAAGGACACATGTTTTTCTATGTTTTTCAGTACAATAAAAACATCTAAAATGAATAACATAATTTTATTTCAGTCCTTTTTTTTGGCATAAAAAAGTTACATCGTGGGGCTTTCAGTTTCAATCTTTTCAATAGCAAAGACTGTTGCACTGTGTGAGTTTTGGGTGTGTATAATGTACATGCCTGTGCCTTGACTCGTGCTGTTGAGGCACTCACAAGGGGATCGCACATTATCAGAAAATATTCTTGTAAAAAAGGAGGGAGTTTCAGTGAATTCTTTTTGCTTTGTTGACATTCATTTGATCAGTACCATATGTTCCTAAATGAGTTTATTCAGTTGACCCTCATGCACGTTATGTAAGTAATGATAACCAGTCCCCAAGGTGACTAATATCTTTTACCTACGATCAATAGACATCACTGGAAATGGTCATAGACTAATGAGTCTATGACCATTTCCAGCAAAGGAAACTACTCATGGCTAGTTTAGTGCGTCATGCCAACAACCTTTTCATCGGTATCGCTCGTATGACGTAAAACTGCGACTAGTAAGACTGGGACTGAGAGATGTAGTCATGTATTTACTTACAAATGTCCTGTAGGAGAATCAGCACCGCCCCCTCCCTCATTCCACAGCAGTTGTCCAAAACATTTAGATGCTGCAAAGAGCACAAATGCATAAAAACACAGAAGTTGGTTTAAACGTGTACTTTAATCTGCTCATATCATTTTCTAATCTTCTAAAAGAATACAGACATTTGTTTAGTTACTGAATTTTTTTTTATAAGTCTTGTGAAATTGGATACGACGTTTTAGAACAGAAAAACTTCTAGGACTTTGCAAGACAATACTTTAATTGTTTTTTATGGAGAGGAATAGCACGGACTTCTCTAAAACAAACTGTGAGATTCAACCATCTGGCTGGTTTTAAAATCTTTTGTTTTCGTTTCTGGTGTTGTGGTCCTTGGGTTTATACTACCACAAGACGTGCATATTGACGCAGTTGATGGCCCGTATGGGCACTTCTGAAATTAGGACTGTCCACATAAACACACACCCACTATGAAGACACACACGCACACACATACAGACACTACCTTCCTGAGGTCTCCACCCTGACAGAACTCCATCGCTAAAAGAGGGAGGTCATTGGTGGCCATTAGCTTCTCCATTCCCTCGGGAACTTCTCTGGCTGCGACAACATTTACGTGGTTTAACCTAATAAAAGAGAAAAACATCCAATATATTATAAGGCTTTTGTTTCAGCAATTATTAAAAACACATGTATAACAAATGAACAGGTTACACAATATAAGATGATGTACCTTTACTTGATACACATTCTTCTACACCTGTTTTTTATAACTCTCAGCATGTGGCTTAGGTTAAGTTTAGGATAAGATAACACTCCAACTTGCATCAAGTTTTGTACTGCTCAAACTAAATACTTATGACACATTACTTTTCCTTAGAGATGGATGCTGAAAATATATGACAAGACAATCTGACAAAAAAGTGAAAAGCATTTTAATTGACAATTTTACTGACACAAATGTAAAGCTTAAAGGTGCAATGTCTAACTTGTGTGCTGAAGGGTCAGTCACCTACTTGTCTCCACAGAAATGTGCCAAGAATGTTCCACAGCATGACCATAAATTTATGAATCGCCATGAAGACTAGCAAACCAAATTACAGGTTAGATTTGTGGAGAGGCGACTCCACTCAAAGTAAGAATGGTTATTTTTAAGATATTTTTGAGCAATAAATAATAAGTGCAAGACAAATTAGTTTAATACCATACTTTGGACAATTTAAACCAAAGTGCACCTTTAAGACTCACATTTGCGTTGTCCAGGTTTTAGCCATCAGCATCAGCAGTAACAATGTAGTATTAAGTATGTATTTTAAACTATAAGGGTATGTGGGTTAATAGGGTGCAATAACATAATAGTAGGTTTTCATGTATATGTCGCATGCCAATTTGGTTTGGCGTGGCTGTGAAACAGTGGCTCTGACCATGTCTGTCTCAAATCAACACGCTTGTTAAATGTAGCGAGGAGCGGTTTTATACCCATGTTTGCACCAGGGGATGACAACAAACACACACATATTGGGTTTCCGTGCTTTTAAGAGAAATTTCTTGCATTCATTATTGCCCTCAGGCTGTTGCTATATTGTCCCCTATTTTATTTTAATAAATGAATAGGTATTTGAACTCTTTTATTCCTACTGTCATTCGCCTTTTAAATTCTACGTAGATGTAATGTATTTTTATTTGGTGCTTCTTAGAATTAATAAAGCTGTTTGAATCTGAAACTCCTTAAGTTTGACTATGCAACTTTTAAGATAGGAGGGTCCGCCGCCATCTTGTCTGGTTTAACTTAGCTATCTCCATTGAGACAAGCAGGACAAGTACCAGATCCGATGTGTGTAGAGGCATCCCTACTCACAGTAATACTGCATGTTATAGGTATTTTTGAGCAATAAAAACACCCATAGTGGAAAAAATGCTATATATATTATGCTTAATGTCTAACTATGGAACCTTCAGGCCAAAGCAACAACATCACCCTGGAGTCAAGCAGGTGGCAGACCTTCTACCAGAAAAATTACATAATGCCGTTTTAAACTATTTTAACCAATAACCTAATTTAACTTATGCGGTTGACCTAATAAAGTATTTACGTCATGGGACTGATTTTTGTCCCCATAAAAGAGGCAGGTCCCCATGATGTGAGTGTGTACACAGATTTTAGTCCCCACGACGTGATGAATACCCGCCCACACTTTGGCCATCTACAACAAACACTTGAAGCCACAGCGGCTCCATACAACTATTGTGAACCGACACCCAAAGTGACTGTTAATAGACAACACAGATGTGGGTGGAAATGAAAAAGCCACAGAACAAAATGAGGAGGTGGCTCATTACCCAGTCAAAAATAACCTCTAACCGACCAAAATAACCAAGGCTTCAGTGTTATTATAATTATTTCATGTCTTGTGTGATTTTGCACATCGTTTTATGGTTTCTCTCATGGAAAACAAACAAATGGGTACATATGATTCATGGGTTTTTGGAGAATGAGAAGCAAAAACACAACACATCCTGTATCTCAGAGCAGATTTCATAAAAGTTATAAAAACAAAAAGCAAACCTGTAGCAAGAAAGAACCAATATTAACAAATTCCCCAAGAAGTGACGTCAAGGAAAACTACAAATTTTGTAGTACTGTTACTTAAGTTTTACTTACAAATACGCTAATTACTATATTGACTTATTGTTCAATATATGAAGGCTGGAAAAATATATTTTGAGGCTAAATAGCTATTGTAGGTATATTTCTGTTGCAATAATGGGGAGGTTTCTGGTCATTTTTATGTAATATGATGTAGTGGAATGTAGTGGGATGAAAAAGTCACTTTTAGGACAAATAATTGGTTCTTCCTGCTGTTTATTTGTTGCAGCTCAGACCTTTTAATGATACTGTATTTAAAAACTAATTTACTGGAATTATCTTGCATTATTTACATTATGACAGTGACAGCTTTAATGTTACTGTTTATCATGATATTCCTCTGTAGCAATATATCGTGCGTCAAAATTTGATCGTACAAAATGTGTTAACATAGACTATTTAACTTTTCTGGTGGAAGACATGACTCCTGCTTGTCTCTGTGGAGTAGTTCCTTGCCTTAAATATTCAACAGCACACTTAAACTCTTACTTATGAATACACTTCTTCACTTCTATGGAAACAAGCAACAATGCCTGTATGTGAAAAAAGCCATATTCTGCAACATTTCAGACAAAGCAATCTTTACTGAGCAATCTCCACTGAGACATGCCAGCAGAAAAATTACAAAGTTAACCTTTAATTACTACTTTGTGTCATCACCAGTAGTAATACAGCTATATTCCTAACATTCCCCGTGCAAAAACTCATACCAGGACAATAAAAGGCATTCAGAGAGATGGTGGGTGGGCACTGTAGGCACAGGGGAGTTTTAATGCCGTTTATTTTGTATCTGTAGCAGGTCAATGACTGACAGAGTGAAACTGACCTCTTCATGATCTGAATCTCCAGACACCAGCGCTCTTTGTTTCTTTCACTCAGCTCCTGGCGACACTGTTTAATGGCAATCTGCTCCTCTGTCTCCTAAAACAGCAGCAAAATCATGTAGCAGTCATTGGTTTAATATAATTCAACAATACAACAATAAGAACTAATATGCTAAATAGTTTGAATAATTCTGCATTTTCCTGCTTCTGGTGTCAGTGGTATAATAATTTTGTTTGTTACCTCATATCCCCACCCACAGCTCTGTACTTACTTACTATTCTTTAAAATATTTAGGCTCCAGATAATTAGTTTAGCAGTTTTTTTTTAGATTATTAACTTGTTTAGATACACTTCAATGAATAAAATGTATATTACAATATAAATATCTACCCTTACAATTAAATTATGTTATATTATGCAAAATTGACTTGTGAGCTTTAAGCCATGTTATAATGGTGTTACCTAATCAAAAACATAGACAGAGTTGTGTTTTGTCTCATTCACACATGTCTGAGTAACTACCCCTTTATTATTATTCTGTCTGCAAATTCAAAGCTCAAAATGCTCTCTTCCACCTTGTGATGTCATGAAGCGGTAGTTTTCAAGTTAACAGTTACCTTTTTTTACATTTTGTTTCCAAGGCTGAAATGATCCAAATGATTCTTGTGAAGGTGCAGGTCGTTTAAAAACACAGTGGAGAACTTCCTGTATTACCACATGACATCACAAGGTGGAAATGAGTGTTTTCAGTTTGAGAGAAGAACACAGCCAAAATATGCAGGATTTCTGCATTAAACATGTGTGTATGAAAAGAAAACACAACTCCAAATATGTTTGTGATGAGAAACAACATTATAACAGTTCAGAAAATAGCGTAATACTAAATGCCAGTAATAAAGCACGATATGTGTTCTTCACAGGATAAGCGAAATGATTAGTCACCAAAGCTGTACCTGTCACTACCTGTTTCTCATGATATCATTTGTAGCTACACCACTGTGTTTCCTGCAAATCAGATTCAAATTCTAAAAATAGTTTAGAGTATTGTTGGACAAGACGTTTCCTCCTTGTGAGATTTGGTCATGACTAAAGTGGAAGTTCTACTCTTTCTGTAAATTACTTTTAATATTTGTCATTCAACCAATCCATGAGGCCAGTAATAAAAATGTGTACACTTACAGCATTTATTATGTTAAATCCAGATATAGATTAGTCAAAAAGGGTTGCTTGTAAATGTAATAATTGTGACTACTTGACTTTTAATTTAATAATCATAAAAACATAAAAAGTCAGCAGCATATATAAAGGAATATATGATTTCTAGTCTTCATCAACAATACACTTTCAGTCAATAATACACAATACAGTTTCAAAAGTGGGTTTTCGCTTTCACTTTTTGGTTTGGGTGGTCCTGCTACTTATTCTCCAGTGCCACTTATAGCAGTGAAAGGGCGCTCTAAGCTTGTGTGCCAGTATCTGCTACTACTATTACTCCTGTACCACTGTCACTACATGCTCTACTGCACATGTCTCCTGCAGAAAAAGCTGCTGTCCTGTCTGGTGTCATGTCAGTCGATTGCACCATTACTTCTGTACCAATTTAAACAAATTTATAAAGACAACTGAAAAGACTGAACACAAATGCCCCCAAAAAGAAAATCATATTCTGTAGATTACAAGCTGCAAATAGCAAAATATGCAGCCGAAAACGGTAATTGAGCCATAGAAACAAAGTTTGGAGTGAGTGAGAAACTTGTGACAACCGGGAGGGTGCAACATGCAACTTTCCTAGAAGTCATTGCATGGATCGGCAAAGCTTGGACATCAGTGACAACCGAAACCATCCTGTCGGGATGGTCAGAATAATTCTAACTGGAACTGATGCTGAGTCTGACGACAGCTACGCAGAAGAGGAAGTGGCGCTCCGTTTACCTCCGGAGGTTGCGGAGTTGTTCAAAAGTGACACCGAGGATGAAGAATTCAAAGGATTTAGTGATTTGGAGTGAGATGGAGAGTTTGGTAAACTTGTTATGTTATGTGTATGCTGTAGTTATCTGAACAACTGTTAAAACTTTAAGTTAACAGCCTGTTGTTGTCTATTCTATCGTCATTACTATAACTTGCCTTTCAAGATGAGATGCCAGTTCCTGGTCTCTGATTTTATAAATACATTTCCCCCAAAAAGTGTGATTTATAGTTTGAAAAATATGGTTTTAATACAGAAGATATTGATATCCTGTTCCTTGAGATTTTTGTACTGTCTGCCACGTTTAACAGAGTTTGTGAAAACCTAAAAGTTACATAATATGTAATAAAGAAACAATGAGGAAAAGTCGATGTGTTTTTTAAGGTAAATATAAAGTACCCCATAGACCAGAGAGTATTTTTACCCTGTTCTGCCATTTTGTGACGTTCCCAAAGCCTCCGGTCCCCAGTCGCTCCTTTAGCTCCCAGGGGCCACAGGTCAGCGGCTGTTGCAGTGGGACCCGGTTCATAATTATTTAACTCTCCAGAACTAGGACAAAAAACAAATACTTTTACAACCCCTCTAAAATTAGAATATGGTCACTTTATTGACATGTTAGATAATAAAAACAGTTTCTTCTCAATATATTAACATAATTGCACTACAGTTTTGCAGATCTAAATCTTACACCCAAGCATTTACTGTCCTTTGTTATCAATGTAAAATGATTGATAGGAATTGATAATAAATAATTGAAGTAAATCTGCATAAAAAATTTAACCAAGCAAAAGTAAAAGTAGAGGTCTCATTTTCTATTCACCTCTGCAAATAGGCTGATATTTGCTTTTGTATGCATTGCATTAAGTTTTAAATTCTGTTAATGAACCAACAAAGATTTGAAATCCCACTGAGATCCTTTCTACAGGGGGGCTCTTGTTTTCACCTCAAATAGGTTTTAGATCAACAATAAGGCCCGAATGAGCAACTTTAACAAAACAGATATACTGTTTGGAATAGAAAACAGCTGTTTTAACTAAATCTTGACAGTACTTTGTAAGCGGACACATCTGTAGTGTTATTCACGCGTTATTAACCTCATGGATGTTTTAAAAACTACCATCGTTACTTTAGATGAGGGCTCTCACCTTATTCACCGTAGACACGCAGATTTCGCGCTTCAAACTCTTTGTTTATTCAACAAAAGAACATGTCTGCGTTTATATCGAGCTAATTACGACTTTGAAATATTTGTTAGACACTTTAGCGAGCAAAGAAATCTTCCAAATTTTCTACTTCCTGATACTCATATTTCCTGTAAACCTGTAGAACCCGCCCCCTGAAGAGGGCGCACCACTCAGCAGCTCAGAATACACAGACCTATGCTGTGAGCCCATAGACTGTACTAAGTACTGTATACAGTCTATGTGTGAGACTCTGGCTGCTCCAGTGACTCCACTGTTACTTACTTGCTACTTTTTTCTTCCAAAATGTCCTTTTTATTTTGAAAATAATCTAGAGATCACTGTCAATATCGGAAAGGGTGAAAGGCGGTATATCTAGGCTACATCTGATTTTAGTAGGGCCATTATATCATTATGGCGTCATAGCTTTTTAAACTGTAGAAAAAAAGTCCCAAACCCATACACTTACATCTGTGTGACCACTTAGGACACCCACACATCAAATTGGAAATGTTTAAAGCATTCCTGTTTATTCCAAGTTTGGAGAGGAGTGTGTCACTCTTGAGGCCCACATTTGGCCTTTTTTCACATACATAATTGAACATGGTAAATTTTTATTTTTATTTTTTGAAAGCAAGATGTATAAATTTTAAATTGTTGTGAATTTTGTTTAATACAATTGGGGTAAATTGTATGATTGCTTATATGATGATTATAGGCTTTTACATAGACTTCAAATCATAACTATTATCCTAAAAGTGGTGGTGGGCTCAGTGCTGTCAGATACAACCTGTTTAAGGTACACTACTAGGGTCAGTTTAAAGTACACTACTCTTGTCTCAGCACGCCAATCACAGGCCTATTCTTTAACAGATCATAAACTTGTCCACCCAGTTTATTTAAAAGTTAGTTGATGTAGGAATGACAACATTCTGAGAAAGGGAGCGGTAAAGGGGATGACTTGTCAGCCCTGGTGCCTTGGTTACCCACAAATTCAGTCAAATTACAGAAGTATGCCAGTACACCTGGTGATTCTTTTTATGAGACTGTTTGAGCAATGCCTCACAGAAAAACACATTAGGTTATTGTTTAGTTCTTTTTTTATATATATATATGTATTATTATTTTCTATTTACATTTTACTAAGTCAATGAAGAACAGATAAACCTATGCACAAATAATTTGGTTATAAGCAGATGCAGTTAGAACTCAGTGGTGGTAGAAATAGTTTCCAGACACCATTTTTCATTCGTTCTTGAGTAGGCCTAATGATCTGTTTCTCATTGTAACATGTGTGTAATTCTAAATGACAAAATATTTTAGGTTGACATTATTAAATGATTATGTGCAATATTAACCACCCTAACAGGCTAGTCTGGCTAGGGCTATTTCTACATGACCTATTTATGTTTTACATGGCATAATTAAACAGTTACGACGTTGTGTAGGCCTATCTATTTTTTATTACATAAACATGACTCTTTCGATGAGTTTAAAAGTATTAACTGTAAACAGGAGTGAGTACCAGGTTGGAATCACTGGCTGAGGCCTAAGTGCTGGGACAGTCCCGTGCCTGACTCTAGCCCCGCCCCCTTGTATGTTTCACGTGCCTCCTCCTCCCGGGTCTCTGCTTTTAGGCTGCAGTTCTCCCTTTGTGCGCGCGGCATGAGCCTGTGGAAGCCACTTAAAACCTCCAGAAAAGAGAAGAGGTGCTTCAACTAAGATCAGCGTATCAGGACGGCGTCAGTAGGTAAGAACTTCAGTTTTTATTATTCAGTCATTATCATTACATAGGGCTGTTCTGGATGCATGGGGCTTCAATGTGTTTGAGTCAAGTTGTTTTTCAAGATTTTCAGCTTTTTTATATGTTTCAATTACATTTTGATTAAATTTTGCACTTTGATGGTTCCTTAAATTATATTTTCATACAGTTTCCGAGCGTTTTAACCTGTCTGCACGAATGAACTGTGTCTACTTCCGACCAATTTGAACACCTGTTAGTACAAAATACATAGATTATTCCTGACCAGGGAGTTGTTTTTGCTGTCATTTATGCTTATATGAATGAATGCACAGAAACAAACACATAAGGGCTGTCACCTAAAATTAAAATGCCATCTTTGGTTGATCTGAACTGGATCAAAGAACAGCAGCTGTCTCTCACCACATCATTGTTTTATCCATTATTTTTACCCCACAGCAGGTTGTGTGCAGTTGCAATTGTCACTTGAACTTTTTGTTTGATAAAAGGACATCCCACTGCATATCTCTAGATTTTAGCTTTCTCATTATGATACATTTTCATCTGACAAATGTTATTTTATATAAACTGAGACCTGAGTATCCTCTTCCAATACCATCATTATGTTCATTATGGTGTCTTCTTTCAGCTGTGTTTTCCAGGGAAATAACATGACTAAGCACCACTCACTATCTTTATGCTGACCTCTGGGATACTTGCTTTTTCTCTCACAGTTTTCTCCAGTGTTCATCTTAACCTTTAGGCTACCTTTAGGGTCTATGGTAGAATTTTAATTGAATTTTGATTTAGATGTATTCATTGCTGAAGACTTTAGAACTGAGAAGTTTGGAAGAAGAAATTTGATGATTTTTACCACTGATTAAAAAATTGTACTGTTTATGTTCAGGAAATTAATATTGAAACAAACATTACTTTTGTCATATTACCAAGTACCCATCTCACATTTTTTAATTAAATCTACAAATGGGGTTCTTTTACGCACTATGCACAAAGACAGTAATTACCATGATGACAGCTGGTTTATTGATACACTAAATCAGGGAGGTATGTATACTACTTATTAATAGTATATTTCTTGATATGACGACATGCTGCTTGTAACTTTGTTGAGTGCAACAGTGACTGAGATGTGATGACGTTGGACATAACATTTTACTCCACTCTTCATAACTGTAAATAAATGGTGTGCTTTTGCTACTGGTGATGCATTGAGAATATTATATATAGTTTCTTAAAAGTAAGCAAACTCTGCGCTAGTTAAAATCTTGTTATAAATCTGTTACAATGACATGTTTCAAGTTATTTCCTTGACAAGTTCCTCTCGGGGGGACTCCACACCCATGATGGCACCAGCCAGAGCTTGAAAAAGTTTTAAAGAGCAATATAAAGGTTCACAAACAGATGGAGGTATTTCAAAAACATATTTGACTTTGCCATTTTAGCCCTATTACTGGAAAACAAGAATGTCTCACAACTTGCTTCATAGCCTTGTTATTACACATAGTTGTTAATAGTCCGTGAAACCCAAGTTGTGGTTTATGTCAACCAGCTGGTCAGTACTGTAAGTGCATGACGACACAGTGTAGTCTTACTCAAGTTAAATATTAGAGTAATGTTTCCTCAAACCTTCAAGTGTAAATTTTAACAATTTGGGTTGATTTGTATGTCATTCTATTTTCTATACTGTAGGTGTCCCTGTTTTTCTATATATTTTTTGGGGGTGTTATATTTTGTAAGTCTGCGGAATGTACAGTAAAATGTTGTACTACAGCCCACAAAAGCAGGTCCAGCACAAGCCCATTGCATTGTGGGACAGTTTAATGGCAGGGTTCCTTTACATAGGGCCCCTGCATATAAGATACCACACACATGTTAGTGGGTGGGAACGCATATGCTCATGTCTGATGGAGAGATTGACTGGTATGTTTTTTCGTTTTTTTTTTCATTGGCCTATACAATTTTTCTTTTTCTTTTTTTTTTTTTTTTAAAGCTTAATCATAAGTTCTGCCAATTATTTTTGAGCCAATGGCTAATTTACCACAAAATATATGACTGAAATAACTACAAACTCAGTTATCGTCTCTACACATCGTACTGCTCTAGATAGTATAATCTAACCTGTAATGAAGTTGTAGTACAAACAAAATATATACATGATAAATATTGAACCCACAAAAATATTATTCCAGTTTATTATTCCAGTTTTTATATATTGAACGATAAGTCAATATTGCATTTAGTTTATTGTCTTGGAGATTGATATTTGAAACACTAAAAAGTACAAATATCAAAAGTGCAAAATGTACTGTACCTCTCATGTGCATGTGCTAGCCTGTGTGTGTGTTGATTTGTATCAGTGTCCATGCAGCTGTAACACAGGAAACACATGTTAATGCTGACAAAGGGGCCACAGTTGCTCAAAGGACACAGAAAAAACTGTCTGTTGTTTGTGGGGCTCTGAGAGACCCGTCCTCAAGGAGGTTTGGGTCATAATCAGGACAGAACTAAAAAGAAACCACCAGTCCAGTGATGGTGAGTAACTGTCTTCAAGTCAAAGGAGACTGTTGTTCCGGTGGACAATGAGCAAAGTGAACAGAAAGTCTTTGTGGGCAGAAGGGGAGATTAGCTCCACGTTCCTGGGCATATTGTGTAGGCCTATATAACTGTGTGTGTGGGCAAGTATTTAAAATGTAATAGGGAGTAAAATCTGTATACACACTCACATCAGGTCTCCTTGATGGGGACAAAAATCAAGTCACCATGACCGAATTCCTTTTTTATTAGTTCACTAACAGGATTTAAACTTCACATTCGGGTTAAAATAAGTTATATTTAGGGTTAAGATTAATACAAATAGCAAATATGGCTAAGGCTAGGAAGGATTAGTCTCAAAGAAATGAATGTAAGTCAATATAATTTCCCAAAAAGCATGGAAACCCAACATTTTTGTGTGCGTGTGTGTGGGGTTACCAGCACAGCTCTTGTCCTCTCTGATCTATATGAAAGAAAGCACAATGGTGTTTTATTAGCTGAGCAGACCACAGGAGGTGAATCAGTGAGAAAGCAGTCAGCTGTGAGGAGGACGGATTCCAAAAGTTGTGACAGTGGCCCAAGTGCTATTGCTACATGTCTGTGTCTGGTTTGCACAGTTGTTTTGTCTCAAGAACTTCCACAAAGTTATTTTAAAATCAACTCTTTTCCTTCTTTTTTATTCTTGGTTTCTTTGTCTTACTTTCTCTTCCTTCGTCTACTCATCCTCCTTCCTCAAACCAGCCCCTTCATTCTTCTTTATGACTCATGTTTACTCACACATGAGCAACAGGCACTGGCCTTGATTTATATCCACTCTGTATGCATTTGCAGCTCTTGTATAAAACCTGTAAAAAAGAACAAACACATGTTGATAATCTGCAAAACGTTTCAAAAATGAAATATTATGTAATTTAATCCAACATATTTCTCGATAGTTATACATTGCGTTTCAGATATAGCGTTATTTCCTACATACACCCATGTTTATTCCACCCATTTCCTCACTTGATGAATACATGACAGCACCAACTGAAGGGTTCCTCCAGGAAGGAAGCTGTAGTGTACACACGATCTGTCTGTGCATTGTCCACTCACAATGACAGAACTGGACAAAACCTGTCTGCCAAATTATACACACTTTTACAATGGCAGGATAAGGTAATTTTGGTTAGCACTACAAATCCCATATAAAATGGTGCGTGTTTTTATTGTATTCTCAAATCCTTTGTGTGACATTCATTAAAAACAAATGTATAATTATTTTTCTTGTTTGCAGGTATTGAGGACATCTTTTATTAACCATGAAGTCAGCCCTTGGCCTTTTTGTCGCACTGTGTGCTCTCTTCTGCTGCTCTGCTGACAATGTAAGTGTTACAGCTTTTATTGTAGGAATATTCCGGTGGTTTTGTATGATTCATCTCAGCTTGTCTACAGATGAGAGCAGCTTGGTATGCGCTTTAAGCTTGTGTTAGGGCTTGGGCATAGAAAACCTGATTATCACTGAAGCCATGTTATTGTGTTGTGTCTTTCATCACAGGTGAAACTCTTGCGCACGAAGCGTGGAACTCGTTTTAGAGGTGAGCCAGAGCGGCAGCCACCAAGACGGACCCTTTTCATTATTCATGTTCAGAAGTCCACACCTTCCTTTGACACCTCCTGTGAGCTCATCACTCGTTTGTCTCTCCCATCACCTCTCTATTCTCCTAAGTCTTATTTCATCCACTTGTGTCACTGTCCCTGCATGTACCTGTCACCAATCACCATCACTGTGCCTTGTTTTGTTCCTGTTTGTGGGCTCACGGTGTGTGTGTATTTGTGTATGTGTCTTCAGTCCAGTGTGTGGATAGTGAAACGTCAGCAGTGCGTAGATTTGGCGACACGTGGCTGCGGTGGAGGGGACAGCGTGTGGAGTATTGTCATTGTGCGATGAGAGGACGAGAGTATTGTCATGTTGTCCCCGTCATCAGTGAGTCTGATACAAACACATACTCTGTGGCTCGCATGCAGCCTTATATGTTGACTAAAATCTTACACCCACTTGTCCTTTCTGACCTTTGGAGCCTTTTTCATGAATACACTTAAACGCACTTTCACAGCCTCATTTGATTATTTTCTGTTGGCCAGTGTCGCTTATACGTTGAAATCCCTGTTATTCCAGTGCATCCAGCTGAACAGATGTGGGATCTCTGTGTTTTTAAGTGTGTGTATTTTAGTCTGGGATTGTTTGAAATTCTTCTGCCAGACCAGCCCGTGTGCGCATTTTCACCCCCATTGACGAATTCTGTGAGACAGAATCGCTCCTCCCTCAGACAAATTACAACCACATTTTGACCCACGACTCAGACGATGTCACGGGCAGTTATCCCTAATGTTATCCTTAGTGAAATGCACGAATGACACACCAAAGATATCAGCTTAAAACCCAAACTGAACTTTTGCACTGATTAAGTAAACATGTTTCACTTTGTGTTCATTTGACACTGTTCTGCCTATAGAGTATGCATGATTTTCTGATGTAACACACTAACCTTTAAAGGTTTTTCAAAAGAAATGTTAACAATTTCTGATGACGATAGGTAACATGACTAACTACGTATTCTTTCCTAGACTGCTACGTGTCTCACTGTTATAATGGTGGGACTTGCAAGGAGGCGGTACACATCAGACTACATCTGCCAGTGCCCATCGGGCTTCAGTGGAACTCAGTGTGAGATCAGTAAGTACATAAATACTAGATGTGCAGGATAAATTGCAATGAAATCAAAAGTGCACAGAAATAGTATATACACTGCATCTTGGTACAGTGAGATATCGATTCAGTGCAATTTAATACAATATATTTCACATTGATTTGATACAGTTCAGTAATTAATAATGGATAAACCATGACTGTGATACTAAAAGTCTTGTTAAACCACTTCTTATGCAAAGTTAATATGAAACACACCCATTTTACTTTTAAAAACAGTGAAATATGTCAAATGTGTTGCATAAACAAGTTTCCTTCCTCTAGATAAGCAACAAAACTGTAAAAAAAATTAACTAAATATACCACTGTTGCTAACCCTTAGTCCAGAGGGAGGTATACTATGACTCATATGCCATGCGGTCTTTGAGGTGGTTGGGTGAAATCCAGAAATGATAAGGCTGAACAAAGATCGATGTATGTTTAAGTGAAAGCATTCTTCACATTACATAGAGGTGAGGAGACATAAATACAGTGAAGCATTTCCAAATAGTAATGCATTATTTTTATATAGAACTTTTGAAGACACTGCATTAGACATTATTAAATTATTCCATGGTAAGCTACTATTGCCATTGCTGCTCTGGGACAGACTGAAGTGAAGCTGCCAATGTGTGCCATCGACTTCTTAGATCACTACCATCACTCGCACCAATATTCATAAGCAGAATTATTTTTCCTAAGGACACAACAACAGTATGCTCTAGAACCACTGTGCCCCACTGTGGCCCCTGGTATTTCCAGTGCTCTCCCATCCCAGTACTAACCAGGTCCAAATGTTTAATGACTCTAAATCAGGTCACACATTGTTTTTCCTGCCTTGTTGTGTCATATGTCTGAGGCTTGGACTGAGGTAAAGGAGATTAAAACCTTTGGGAATATGATGGTAGTTTCTGAGGTTTTGCTTTGGGATTCCCCGCCCATCCAAACGAATAACCCAGTCCATTGAGTTATTACACATAAACCCTGACTCAGTGAACTGGGGCATTTGACTTGACTAATTAAGATTTTATATATTTTCCTTATTAAAACAACATTCAGACTAGGCCTGTCACAACATTAAATTATGAAGTACGATATATTCCTCAAGTAAATAAAGATGATAATAAACTAAATAATGCCACTGACACAATAACCCAGACCTAGAATTATCCCTAAAAACTATTCTAAATTTATAATTTGGTTAAAAAAAGGCAATAAATAAACAGCAGAATTAAACACTTAAGTTAGCTTGTGTCTATAATGGGTCTTAGAATTATTTATTCATCCCTCTATAGCTCAAACAGAAACCAACAGAAAAATCACAAAAATTTACTAACTAGCAGAAACAAAAAGTCCCCAGGATAAATATTGAAATACTGAATAATATTTCTATCTGTCATGCACTGAACGATAAGTATTTGATGTTATCATGACACGCCTAAATCAGGCCTATTTTTTATACCTGAGTGCCTGATGTATATATTTTTTTTCTCTCAATGAGTTATACAGTGTTTACATAGTTAATGACAGTTTTTGTTCTTTTGTGCAGATACCAAAGAGCGCTGTGTTACTGGGCAGGGGGAAGGTTACCGGGGCACATGGAGCATCAGTCAGTCGGGGGCAGAGTGCATAAACTGGAACTCCACTTCTCTAAGGGGGCGGCGCTACACAGCGAGGAAGAATGACGCCAGCAGCCTGGGACTGGGCAATCACAACTATTGCAGGTATGTATCCCGTAACCATGCTTATTTTTGTGTGCCCCCCCGAATATGAAAGCTGGTATATAATGCAAAAGTATATTGTTTAAATCACAGTGGAGCTCAGCAATGGATGTGAGACTTCTGGTTATTAAATATTACCCTATTTTCTATTGTCTATGTTAAAATGTTGTTTCCTCATCACAAACATACCAATGCTTGCCAATCTCTACTAAACAAATTAAAATGTAAAAAAAAATTGCTGTTAACTTGAAACACAACCACTACATGACATCGCAAGGTGGACCAGAGCATTTTGATCTTTGGTGATACAGACAGCCCCACAATGAAGGATTACTTATTCAGATGTGTGAATGAAACAAAACACAATTCTAGGTATGTTTTTTACAACATGACATAAAACTCACAAGAGTCAGTTTTGTTGACCATAACTTTTATGAACAGTCTGAAGTACAACAGAATCTAATTAAGCTGTGTGGTTACATAATTGTAGTCAATAGAAACATAAAAATTTTAAACTTGACATGTTGGAAAATGACATAATAATGTTTACTGATCATGGTTGTGAATAATGAGCATGAATTACTCCATAGCTGATTAGCCACCATCAGGCTTTCATGCTGATCCCACAGTTGAACTCTATATACAAAGGTGTAATGTTCATCATTGGCCGCTGACTCCGACTGAGCTCAAAATCTGATTATTCAGTTGATTTATTATGTTATTATACTGATCACAATATAAATTTGTAAGATTACTGTGAAAAATAATAGTCTAATCATAAGCATTTGTATAAGCAAAACAAAATAATGAGAAGCAAAAAAGAAAAAGCAATAAATACTGTGAATTTATCAAGAGAATCAAATATCAAAAAATATCACAGAAAACTCACACAGTCACATTTCACTCTGTTTCACCCTCTCCCCATGTCCACCCATATTATCTCTCTTTGACACACACTAGTTCAATAATCTGTTTACTCCACAGAAAGTGCTTTTCATCAGTTGTTATTTCATAACTCATATTAATCCAGCGAGTTTCATTTCATTTTTTTCCTCCTATAGGAACCCAGACAGTGACAGCACTCCCTGGTGTTATATCTATAGAGGCACTCAAGTCATCTGGGACTTTTGCTCTTTACCCAAGTGTCCTGAAGGTATGCCACATAAATGCAGTTCGTATATATTGATACTCTATGGGGGTGTTCTACATGTATCTCCAGTTGCAGAATGTTTTGGAGTTACCATGGAAACACAATGCACACATTAACAAACAAAGGCAAGGTCAAAAAGCATTAAGATTGTCTGCAAACTCTAGACAAAATACTAAATGGATTTACACAACATATTTTCTGGAGCCTGTGATCAATAAAGCATTCATGGTGCTGATTAGAAGTTTGATTTTCAACTAAAAGGTGAGAGGGACTTTTTTAACATCACAAATCATCTCACAGGTTGTAGTTCCAGCTAAGTGAGTTCTTTATGGTCAGACTGTGTTAAATTAAAGCACAGATTAAAGTCTAATAAAGCCACTAATAAAGCCACAGACAGAGCAGAACCTACAGTTAGCATCACACATCAGCTGCAAAGTATCAATATATGATACTAAGATACTACTACAACAATACAACATCCTCTTTGTACAGATAAGGCGTGTGTTGTGGGCTCGGGTCAGTCATACAGAGGCACAGTGGCAGTGACGAGAAGTGGCTCACGCTGTCTCCCATGGGACTCCACTGTGGTCAGGAGAAAACTGTACAATGCATGGAGGTCTGATGCTCTGGAGCTGGGACTGTCCGGACACAACTTCTGCAGGTAAATATCCCAAACTATAACCAAAACCAGCTGTAACTATAATTAATAACTGTCATCGTGATTAATACGTTTTCATTTTAAAGTTGGCCTGTCACAATAACAAATTTTGAAGTGTGATATATTGGTGAAGAAAATATAAATGATAAACGGTAATATTGAAATCAAAGCAGAATCATCCTCACAAAAATATTCTAATTATGCCATATTGTTAAAAAAGAAAACATAAGCAGCAATAAATAATTAGCAGAATTAAATATTTTAGTAGTTAGTTAGCATGTATAATAAGTCAGAAGTTCTTTATTCAACTCTCTACAGCTCAAATCTTATCAGAAAAATAACCAAAAAGTTCCCCAGGAGTACAAAGCAAACATCCCCAAGATAAATATTGACCTATATTTTATTGAACTATAATTATCCTGACTATTTTAAATGTTTTTATTGTGGTGTTTTTGTGATCAACAGGAATCCAGACGGTGACGTGAGCCCCTGGTGTCACACTTACAAGAACATGCAGTTGACTTGGGAGCTCTGTCAAATTCCTAAATGTGGTCAGTATCTTGAAAAGTATGGATACTATTATACATATATTCTTTACCCACTTTGGATTTTTATTGTTAATTCTTCATTGTCACTGTTACAACCAGATTGTATACATAAATAGACTAACCCACTAGCCGCCACATTCCAAGTAGGAAGTGTTCATGGAGTTGCTTCAGGCTCCATAGACTCTGTTTCCAATTGGCTTTACATTGTTGCCCTTCTTTCTGTAAGTGACATCTATGGGTGACGTCATACTCCCATAGTCCACTTCTTTACACAGTCTATGGGTACAACAGACAACTATACATTTTATGGGTTTGTGTTCCTGTTATATGCAACATTTTTCCCATTCATCATTTTTGGTTTTAAATTCTCTGTGGACAAGGTGACGGTGCTATTTCTTTATTATTTTGAAATCCATGGATTGGGGGCTTAACTGTGGAACTTCCTCTGAGCATTAGAACATCCCAATATCAGAATTGAAAACACATCTGTTGGCACTGACTTTTAACACACATTTTGGTAGGCTTAACTTTTTCATTTATTGTTGTGTATTTGGTGTTTTTACTGCATTTTAAATTGCCTGTATACCGCTCATTGGGCAGCTGTGGTTATTTTAAATGTGCTCTATTAATAAACCTGACTTGTTTTGTTAAAAGGATAAAAAACAAACCAAACTGTTATTTTCTTCTGTTTCTAGCAAGAAATCCCCCTGTTATTGCCACTCTTGGTCCCCGAGCGCCTACCACAAACAACAATAATGCAGGTATGAGATATATACTATTTTATACATGACCTTAAAATGTACTGTACCATAACATAGAATGACAGAGGTTTAACTACCGTTTCTGTAGCGACGTGTGGGGAGCGTTTGGACAACACCCTGAACCAGCCCGTGTTCAGGATGTTTGGCGGACGGGCGAGTGACATCACAGAGCAGCCCTGGCAAGCGGTGATAAATGTTTACCAGGCCCGCCTCAAAAAGCACTTCCATCGATGCGGAGGGGTCCTGATTGACTCCTGCTGGGTGCTGTCTGCTGCTCACTGCTTTGAAGACAAGTAGGTCACAATCACACATGCATACTATATAACAGTGAATATACAGTTCAGTTTTCTGGTGGAGAGTCCTCCCCTTGCCTCTCTCTATAGGGAAGTTATTGCTTTACCTGGAGAAAAACCTCTGTAATAAATTCTAGGTATTTGAATGCCATATTGTGCAAGGCAAAGCAATAACATCTCTTTGGAGACAGATCCCTTAACAGAAAAGTTACACTGTGTTTTAAATAAAAGCATCTAACGGATATATCATGTTCTAGTGCCAAAGCTGAGAAACTGGAGGTGATTTTGGGCAGAACATATCGCAAACAGAACTCGACCAGTGAGCAGATATTCAAAGTCAAAAAATACTGGATTCATGAGAAGTTTGACAATGAAACCTTTGATAATGACATTGGTAAGTATAATTTACAAGTTTACAACAAACAAACTGTGTCATGAATAAGATGGTCCTATTATAGTGCCCAACTGTGTTCATATGGAACCTTTTGTCACAGGCAGAGTCTATAAATACTCTTTCATTATCCCACATTGCCTTGACTTTCCTATGGTCACTTTCCACTTGCAGCTCTGCTGAAGCTATATTCAGACATTGGTCTGTGTGCTGTAAACGCTCCGGAGGTCTTCCCCGCATGTTTGCCCGACCGGGGGTTAGAGCTGCCCGACTGGACCGAGTGTGAGATCTCCGGATACGGCAAAGAATCTGAATGTGAGTAACATCTGGGTGTATGTTGACTTTGAATTATCGAAGTCCACAAAGTCAGATGTGATACAATTATCACCAATAGAGGTCAGTGTTTTGTGGGTTTACTGTTCAATTTTTTTTCTAATGAAAACTAAATAAAAATAAATATTTGATGACTAAAATTATGATTGAAATTATAAGATGTTGTTGCAAAAAAAAACTAAACAAATGCAAAGAAGCTGTATTGAGAGTAGATGTAAGCTTAATGAAACTGTAAGTATTCACACTGCTTTGGCCCTGGTTTGATCCTGGTTTAGTCCTCATGTAGACTTGGTTTAGTCCTGTTCTAGACCTGGTTAAGTCCTGGTCCTGTCCAGGTTTAGTTGTCCCATTTTCATTGTAATTTTAATGCTTTGTATGTGCATCATACGTTTGGCCTTTTTCCACTAAAACCTAAAAATATCATTGGACTAAATCTAGTCTAAAACCTCATTCTGATCTCCCACAGTTTCTGCAGAGTACTCTGAGCGTGTGAAGAGAGGTTATGTGAGGCTGTGGCCAAAGGAGCGCTGTGTGCCTGCTGTGCTCTCTGGGCGAACTGTTACTGCCAACATGCTGTGTGCAGGTGACACCAGAGGCCTGGATGATGCCTGCAAGGTACAAATATTGTTTTAATTTTAAGAAACATATTGTAGTGTGTAGTTTATGGTATGCACATGTTCTTAGACTTTATTGTGGTAGAATAGATTAGATTAGAGTTTAATATGGGGGTTATAGTTCTGACATGAATGAAGAAAGAATTATACTGTCCAATGAGGTTCATTTGGATTTCTGATACTTTAATTTAGATTAATTTTTGAGACCAAGGTTTAGTTTCTTTTTATACCTGACAGTTTTGACTGCTCACCAGTCGTCTTCCTCAGAGTAGTCACGTGTCTGGTCAGCTGATTTAAATAGATTTTGACAGTGTGTTCCTAGTGGTGGAGGCAGAACAACAGTGCCATCTGCAGTCCCACTTCTTTAGGACAGTATCCCCAGGTCACACCTGGAACACTGCTAGTTAGCAATCAAAACTGTCAGGTATGAAGACAAACTAAATTTTGGTCCAAAAAAAAAAAAAAATTTACTTAAAAATTTTATTTTAAAAGACTTCATCTTCATTCAAAAGATGTAATATTTAGTTTGGAATTGTTAATTGCTATTATAATTAATATTCATCACTCCCTTTTCATGAATTGACTTTTATGTCTATCCATGGGTTTCAAAATTATGAAAAATTACCATAGTAATAAAATAAAGTAAAATATTATAATTTTGGAATAGGAAAAAGTCCTCAAAATGTTGCATATTAAAGCTGAAGCTACAAAGTGTTAGTGCAAGCAGTTCACTGTGTTTTCAGTGTCAGATAACAGATTTATGAGGTAAGGTTAATAGCTGTGTTTGTGTATTCTTTTCAGGGCGACTCTGGGGGCCCACTGGTTTGTCGAAGCAATAACCGGATGACGCTGATGGGTGTAATCAGCTGGGGGGACGGCTGTGGGCAGAAAGATAAGCCCGGAGTCTATACCCGGGTCACCCATTACATCGACTGGATAAACGGCAAAATAAAGGCCAACCCTGTATGATGTGTGTGACAGCAAGAGGATGTTTTTAAATAACTTTCCCAGGCAGGGCAGTGCGGTGAACACAGAGAGGGGGTCTTAAGGACTCCATCTGTAGCTGTTTCCTGTTGCTTTGAATGCGCAGGGTGGAAGTTTGAAACTGGGTTCGGCACATAAAAAGGTTTACTGTGGTCAACCTTTTATGTAGAACTGTAGGTCGGTCCAGTACAGTGTGTATAAAGAACAATGCAAACATTTACTCCAGCTCTGTCTCAATCAACTTAAAGGTGCACTGTGTAACTTTTCTGGTGTAGGGTCGGCCATCTGCTTGTCTCCATGATGTGTTATTGTTTGGCAACAAGCAGATGATTCCAGAGCCAAGTCACAGGTCAGATCTGTAGAGAGGGCATCCCCGCTCAAACCAAGAATGCATGTTTTTAAAGATTTTTAAAGCAATACATACATCTCTAACATAACAAATGATAGTTAAGTTTAATGCCTTTCTATGGAATATTCTAGGCAAGCAATAACATTTCCACGAAAATAAACACATGGTGGACCCCTCACCAGAAAAGTTACATAGTGCACATTTAACATGCATTAAAGTTTCCTGAAAAAAAAATAAAATTGAATTGTGTGTTACATATAAGTTAACAAAACATTTGTAACCAATTAGTAGTGCACATTTTTCCAGGCGAGAATTCTAATCAGCAATAGGTGTGTTTGTTAAACTAATAATGTGTAAATGTGGATTGTCTCGTATCATGTATTCTGTGTATCTGCTGGTTCAGATTTGGTGCCGATTTTAATATTTCTCGGAAAACAAGCATTGAAACAGCCCTATTAAGTCTTATGGTGTTCCCCTGTTCAGATATTAGCTCTTGATTTGCAGATAGCAGGGTTGAGCCCAGCATCAGCTCACTATGTACAGTGTTCAATAGTTGTACATTTATATTTTTATCAACTGGAAGCTTTTTCTGCTCCTCATTATTTTCAGTAGCCTATATGTTATTAACAATATGTCTTGTCAAATTTGACCATGTTTTTATTTAAAATGTATTATTTATGTGACTTTTGTATTCCTTCAGTAATCTACTTGTGAGGTCTTTGTAAAGCATTATTTATTATTTGGATAGAACCTTATTGTACCATTTTGTCAATAAAGTTGTCTTGTATTTTAAAATAGTTCACTTTGCCTTATTTAAAAAAAAAAAAATTTTGTATTTATTTATATATTTGGTAACCAGTGATGAAACGTTTGACACAACCCCCCCCAAGAAAATACACAAATGTGCTATTTCATAAACATCTTACAAAGCGCTAATTCTGTCACATAATATCCTGTCCTGCTAAAAGTATTGCCTAACATCAAGAACTGCTCATGACACCATGACAGAGGAAGCTTCATTTGTGTTTTTCTCTTAAAAATGGAATTTAAATGATCATTATTGTCTGGAATACGCAGGTAGCAGGTTAGATTACACTGCTCATTCTACCTTTAATTAACATAACCATATTTAGGATTTTGCTAAGAATATTACCTAGTTTTCTGTAGTCAGACAATGTTTCTTTTTTACTGTTTGTTTGGACATGGGCAGAGGATGTGACAAAAAGGTAATTCCACAGCTGTTAACCTACAGAAACCACCCTGTAAACAAGGGCCAAAATTTATCTAATTTACATAATAGCTTTGACTTGACAAATGAAAATATACTAGTATGGCAAGACCATTAAATAAATGGTCAAATTGACAAAATTATGAGTGAGTGTTAATTGTTGGAATTTTCAGTATGTATTTAAAGAAATCAGTTTTTTTATTTTTTATTTACTAACTTGTTTTAACTTACAACTTTTCTTCATGGATTGCCACTTGATTGGTGAGAAAATATATGTATTATCCCACCAAAGTAATACTGAAAAAAAAAAACAACAACATAAAAAACATAAAAAACCTGTCATATGCACATCCAACATTTGTATGTAAACTGGGAAAAGAGGAGTAGCTCCCAGTGCCCAGCAGGTGTGGCTGCATAACTCAGGTATATAGGAAATGCAAAGTTAGTCAGTTAGAACAGAGCCTCTCACAGTGTTGCTCTTATCCAACTTTCAGACCTATTTGCATCCAAACGCACAAAGACATTTCCCTAGTGCTGGGACTGAAACAACAATGGTAATGTAATACTTTACTTTACAACATTTTTCAGTTTACTGTGTGATAATTTTACAATGCTGAGAGAAGGAAGTGTCCATGCAGGTCCACGGCACTTCTGTTTTCCCCATGATGTTTGCCAAAGATTACTGAACAGCTACAGACCTTGGTGAACAGTGTATTTGTTCAGCTTATTTTGCACTCAGCAGTGGTTTTAAATCAGTTTTGAGAGTAATCAATTGCAGATGTGAATCTTAACAAATGAGAAAACTTGAAAAGTTGTTGAGAAGTCCGTATCGTATCATTTCAAAATCTTTTCAACCAGTTTGTCTGTTATTGTGTGAAATAGTCATCAAATACATGTTTTTACATTTCCTTGTGCATGTTGCTCCTAATACAACATCATAAGACACATCGTTACAGTTAAAAAAGCACTTTATTTGTGTAAAGTAAAGTTAGGTCATGTACTTTCATTCAGTGAAAGTTTTCCATCATCATTATTATGATTATGATAATTATATTACACTAATCTAAAATATCTGTCAAATAGAGTGCCTTTGGAAAGTTCAAGAACATGTAAGTAAGCCTAGTATAGCCTAAATCGGATTTTACATTTCATTCATCCACTTATTTTAATATATGTTTCTATCTTTGTAGTGCTCCTCCTTTGCTACCAAGAAGGAAAGGTAACCCTACATGAAGTCTGAAAACTTAAATTGTGCATTTTTATTGTTATAATTTACCTTGGGATAGAAGATCTGACTTAGAGGTTACAGTAATAACCCTGCTCCATATTTGTGTGTTATTACAGATGACAGTGCAGAACCTGAAAGACAACATGAAAATGTAAGATTGAAAAACAGTTAAAGGCACATAGTCCAATATAGTGGTCACATTTGCATTCATAAACACGTTTTGCAGGAGGATGAGGATGAGTATGGTGGCATGTATGAGGTCCCTCCCTTTGAGCGCACCATTACTGTCCAACAAATAGCAAAGGAGGAAAACGTTTATCTGGGTAATTCAAAGGTCCTATTACACACAATTAACTCTTGTGAGCTTTAAGTTATGTCATAATGCTGTTACCCCCTCAAAAACATACCTGAAGCTGTGTTTTGTTTCATTCACACACCTGCATTATAGTCTGTCTACTTCTTCAAAGTTCAAAATGCCCTGTTCCCCCTTGTGATGTCATGTAGTGGTGCTTTTCCTGTTAACAGCCACAGTGCTACTTTTATTTTTAGTTCAGTAGAGATTGTCAATTTTGGGCTGAAATCATCCAAATGATTCTAGTGAATATAACTCCTAAATATGCAGAGTCTATGTGTTAAACTTGTGTGAATGAAACAACACACAATGTTTTTTGATGAGGAAGCATTAATAAAAAAGTAAAATAATATACGTCCTTTAACTTGAACATCACGTGACCATCTCATGACTTTGTGCTGATCTCATTTGTAATTGATGATTAATAGAGAGGATGTCCAGCTATGCGCCTCGACAGAGACAGGCTCCTCCTCCCCCGTCGAGCTCTTCAGTAAATGCTGAATTTTGGACACTTTAGTAGACTGTGTGTAATTCAACAGAGTCTTTAAAACTGAATCAGTATCATGTTCTTACAGAAATCTGGAGATGCCCTCTTAACTTCTCAAAATATAAAACGTAAGCAACCATCCGATCACTTTTATTACAGTATAGTACATCACCGAGAATAGGCCATTTAATACACTGTTTGTTGCAGCACCTGATGTGAACAGAACTGCCAAACCGGGGAAGAAAAACATGGCCGCACCCCCACCTCCACCAGCGGAGGGTAAGACTTAAGAGGTGCACTGTGTAACTTTTCTAGTAGGGAGTCTTCCACCTGCTCATCCCCATGGAGGTGCTGATAGCTCTGGAATTAGGTGTTTCTATTATTTTTGTAAATTCATCTATTTTAACTGTGAGCAGGCACGCCTTTCCACAGACTTGACCTTCAACTTGACCTACTTGACCTGGAGGCATGTTTTTCTCTATGGTGATAGACAACTTTAATGCCATATTATGGTGCAAACAATAAACCAAACGAACTTAACGTCACTTCCAAAACAAAGAACAACACTGCCCTCTCGAGGTGAAAAGGAGGCATAACAAGACAGTGAAAACATAATATCATAGTTTTTAACATTATTAACGGTAAAAGTATTGAACATTTTTAGATTATTTTAGATTCTTTGTAAGTTTATGATGTTGTTACTTTCCTAAATGCAGACCCAATGTCTACTTATTTTGAGTATAGTGTACATTATATATATATACCAACAATAAGTAGACCTTTATAATAATATATATTTAAAAATAATTATTAATTTGGGGAATTCAATACATTGATATACATCTTGAACTTGCCCATTCAATGACATTTAAATCTTCTTTCAGACATATATTTGGATCCAAGTGAAGAACAGGTGAAAAATTATTATAATAAGAATAATTTATCCTGTGAATGTATTATATTACCATCATTTCTTATTTTTAGGAAGATTCTGAGGATCTGTACTTGGAACCAGAGGGTAACTTGCACAAACTGTTATTATTTATGCAGTGTTGTGTTTTGTTTTGTTTTCTGGCTTTAACCATCCAGTTTATGGCTTTAATATATTTAAAATCTCCTGGTGTGTAGCATGCTCTCTGCCTGCTAAAGAACCCAAGATGAAGCTTCCCTTCTTCAAGCAAGTACTCCCGTCACCAGAGCCAATGTAAGTATTAACCATAAAAATGTAAAAAGATTAGTTCATTTTATAGATCCATGGCTTTAAAATGTATCTAACACCACTTGCACATGCAAATGAGACAGATGCCATGAAGTAATTAGACTACTCCAATTTCATCCATAATAATATTTAACTGTTCTTGAGTTTCGTTTAGTTTGTTTTTATTCAGACAAAAAGTGAGTGAAAAGTGAGTGAATAGCATTATTTTCTTGCAGGAAGAAGCCATCTCTTCCACCAGAAAAATCGGTAAAGCCTGGGCCTATGTTTTTTTTCCTGTATTTATAGCTAATCTAGCTAATCAAATCTAATCTGTCAATGCTTTTTACTGTTTGCAGAGTTCACCCACAGCTACAGGTCAGACCAAAGATATCATGTGATTATTTAAAAGATTATGTAATTAACTACTGTATATTAATATAAAGGCACACCTATTAACATGATTTTATAGCTCCAGAAGTTGAAGCAAAAAGATTCAGTTTACCCAAGTCTCCTCCTCCAATTCCAGGCAAACCTAGGGCACCAACAAACCAAAAGGAAAGGTTAGAGTAATAATGAAGGGAAAAATTTGAATAAAAGAATGTTACCAAATATTGTGAAATTTTTATGTGTAAAATTTAGTCGCCCAGACCCCCCGGTGCTGGAGAAGAAACCAGTAGGTAAGGTGAATTTGAATTTGCATGAATTAAAGATGAACTACATTACTTTACTGGTGAAGGATCCTGCACCCCCTTATCTCCTATCTTTTAATGCAGTGTTCCACAGTATGAATGCATATTTTTCAAGGTATTATTTTAATGCAAACACCTGTGATAGATAAATAGTCTCATGTTATACTGTGGAACATTCTAGGCAAGGCATTAACATCTTCATGGAGACAAGCTGGCAGCGTACCTCCATTAAAAAAAAATTACACTGCATACCTTTAAGCTAAAGTCTAATGTTCTTTTGTACTTAAATGATTCGTTTTTGCTTGTAGCTTCTTTTGGAGGTGGAAGAGTAAAATCTCCTAATGAGGTAACACTGGCTATGTTTACACGCACACCAAAAGTCTGATTATTATCTGATTTCTAGAGTTATTTGATTATGGAAATGTCATGTAAGTTTGTTCACAAGGAAATGTTTGCCTAATCTTAACCCTTACTCTATAAATTACATATGAAAGAGAAACTGTTAAAGACTATATTTTTAAATTCCATAAACTCTATCTTATAAATACAACAGCAAATTAACTGAATTAACACTTGATGATCAGATTTCTTTTGTGCAAAATGTATAAACACACACACAAAATTACATAGGTTAGTTACCTGATTGCTACTAATGTAATTGTACCCACTGAATATTACTCGTGATAAATATGTGTCTCTTAGAACAGAGAATGGTTTGCTGGAGACTGTAACAGAAAAATGGCAGAGGACCTTTTACTGAGTATTAAAAAGGTATGTGGAATTAACAAATAGTTTAACATTTGAAACACATAATCATTGGATGAACAGATGAAATCCAACTTCTCTCGTCTACAGGATGGAGCATTCCTGATCCGAAACAGCTCAACACACAGTTCCCATCAGCCATACACTCTTGCCGTATTATTTCAGCATAAAGTGTACAACATCCCTGTTCGCTTCTTGGATGACGCACAAGGATACGCTTTAGGCAAGGAAGGAAAGAAAAACGAGGAGGTATGATGGGGTCACATAAGTAGTTTATGCACCATGTATTCCCAGTTAATTAAAACAACTTCCCTACAATCATAACATAAGTTTTAAGCCATGTTAGAATGCTGTTACCTCCTCAAAAACATACCTGGAGCTGTGTTTCGTTTCATTCACACATATTTGAGTAATCCTTTATTATTAGTCTGTCTACATCTCCATCATGAAGTGATAGTTTTCAGTTACCTTTTAGCTAGAGCTACCTTTTACCTTTTGTGCAGTAGAGGCTGGAAATTACAGTAAACAAAACACAGCGGAGCACTTCCTGCTTCACCACATGACATCTCAAGGTATGTTTTTGATGAGGGAACAATATTATAACAGAGATCAGAAAACAGTATAATATGGGCCCTTTAAATGCCAAAGGATGGTGTTTTAAGTGTAATATCAAAATCTTGTCTTTCTGTTTAGGTTTTTAACTCTTTGGATGAGATGATTTCTCATCACAAAAACCACAAGCTGCTTCTGATCGATAGTAGGAGCCAGGCCAAGCACACGACATACTTAACCCATGCCACTCATCTGTGACTCCAGGCCACCAGAGGCTTATCCACTAAACCAATATATTTGCTTTATAATATTATGAGTATGATTTTTACTCTATGGTTGTATTTAATCTCATTTTAGGGGTAGTAAAAGCAGAAAGGATATTTATAGGTTATGATTTTCCTTTTTTGTCATTATGTGAAACACACACTTTTTCTTTTGATGTACATTCACAAATTCTTTCACAAAATAGGTTTTTATAATTTATTGTAGAATATGATCATGTATTTTCATATTTTTGTGAACTGAAAAGCTGTATTGTTTTATCCCTATTTCATCAACATAAATTAAATGCAATATAAACACATTGAAACTCTGAATCCAGGACTGTAAATGTTGCTGTTTTCAAGTAGATGTGTGTGTGTGTCATAGGCCTAAATAACACTCTAAAGCTATAAAAAATTAAGTTTTTAAAACAATAAATATTTAGTTGAATAGCCATTTTTAGCCTATATTCCATGACTTATATTCATCAAGGGGCCTATAAACAAGGATGCTTATTTTACATTGGCTTAGGCCTTATAGCTGGTGGCAGAACTTTTTAATCTTGAGTATAGGCAATAAACCTTCTAATCAAAAGACAGACCTATCTTTAAATCTGAAAGACATAGCTGTATAACTTAAAAGCCCTAAATTATACAAAAGTGATTCTTGTAAGCTTTAAGTCATGTTATAATGCTGTTATCCTCTTAAAAACATACCCGGAGTTGTTGTGTTTTTTTCACACATGTATGAGTAATCCTGGTGTGTTAGTTTGTCTATATCTCAAAAGCTCAAAATGCTCTGTTCCACCTTGTGATGTCATGTCGTGGTAGTTTATAAGTAGTTTTCAACAGCTACCTTTTATAATTTTTTCAATAGAGATAGCAATTCCAGGGCTGTAATCATCCAAATGATTCTAGTGAAGGTGTATGGAGTTTAAAAACACAGTAGAGTGATTCCTGTACTATCACATGACGTGTTTGAGAGAAGAAGCCCTAGGCTTTGTGCGTTAGGCATATGTGAAACAAAACTAAAGTTCAGGTGATGAAGAACCAAGGCATCAGGACAAAGCGTAGTATAGGCCCTTTAACTTCTTATTGTCAGTCACGGGTCTTATTTGTTGAAGTTGATGGAGTGAGTCGAGGGGAGAGAAAAGGGGGAAGGGGCTGCGGCGGAGGACTACAACTCTGCACCTCAGGATTCAAGCAGCGAAACACGCACTATATCACATGATCACGCACTTTCATTAGGTTACAAGCATTATTACCAGCCCCAACTCATACGAGCCTCTCTATGACCTTCCTCGCGATCTGCTCCGTATTTGTTGAGTGCACTAGTTTTCTCAGCGGATGCATGGAGTTTCCTACCCTGAGAGCTCCAGCAGGGGGCTTCTACTGAATGGGAGCGCGCACAGAGGATCGGCATACGATAGCGGCGCAAACCTGCAGAAGAGCTCCCCGCCGTTGTCCATCTTTATCTTGACTTTTTCGGGGTCCTTTGGGACACGAGTCGGGACAGGACCACCGCTCCTGGCTGCGTCACCCCTTCCCCTGCCCACGTTTGCGGGTTGTTCACTCAGAGGAACCTCCAGAAATGGCTCAGATACTGCCCATACGCTTCCAGGAACATCTGCAGGTAAGGGAGGCACTGGAAACCCCAAACGTATCGCGCAGTGCTTTTCTGACAGCTCTTTCTGCTCTGTTATTGCTGCACCCAGTCGACACATGTCACATTGAAATGGTATGTGAAACAGGGAGCTGGGTGGCGCTCAATATAGCCACGGGCCTAGTTTTCTTCTGCAGGGACTCGGCCAGATGATGACTTTGCACGGGCCACGCTCTAGTGCGCCTCCGTGTTTACTCCGCTGTCAGAAGGGAGGGGATAGCCTAATCATTGTCGGGAAGCACGCTGCGGGAACATACCGGTGTGTTCAGGTGTTTATGTCAGACCTGAGACCTGAATTGCACTTGAGCCAGTGCTACTGTACTCATGACTTTAAAGGTCCTGTATTGCGCAAAACCGATTCTTGTGAGCTTTAAGCCATGTTATAATGCTGTTACCTCCTCAAAAAACATACCAGGGGTTTTCTTTTGTTTCATTCACACATGTTTGAGTAATCCTTTTTTATTAGTCTCTCTGCATCTTCAAAGTACAAAATGCTCCACCTTGTGATGCCATGAAGCAGTAGTTTTCCTAGTAGTAGTAGTAGATGCCTTTTACCTTTTGTTAAGAGCGTTTTCTGTTTGAGAGAAGAACCCTTAAATATTTATGTGTTTAAACATGTGTGAATGATAAAAAATACAACTCCAGGTATGTTTTGATGAGACGACATTAGAACATAGATCAGGAAATCGCATACAGGCTCAGTGACAGTTTCACATTTATAAGAGATGCTGTATAGCCTAATACTTTGCGAATAGTGTTTGGAACAGTCCTAATTTTTCATCAGTCAGAAGCTCATGGATACCCTTAATCAGTCAGTTGTCGGTCTGTTTTCATTTATGGAAATTTTTATGGCTACTGCATACTTCATTTTCAACAGGCTTGTCTATTCAAATGATAACAGCAAAATATTTAAACCGTAGTCTCTAGCCTCTAAAATTACCCACATTAACACAAGATACTTAAGAAAATGACAAAATTCAGATGTGCTAGAAACATTGCAATGGAAAACACCATTCATCTCATCTCAATGATAACTTAAGATAAACTTGAAAACTACCTATTCTAGACCATATTTTTGTAGACTTTGTAGACATGTACATATGTACATATAATGAAAATAAGTTTGCAATCATTGCAGGCTACTGAACAAGTGAAAAAAGTGTTCAGTGCAGTAGAGTTGGCCACTACTAATGTTCCTTAGGTCTTGAGGCCAAAAGAAAAGTTTCTGACGTGCCCCTGGCCTGGCTGTAGACCGTTGTTATGGCAACAGTAGGCAGTGAAATGGCCTTTCACTAAATCCAACTCCAACCCCCATCTCTTCCTCTCCAGAAGCTCCTCTTTCTTCAGCCTGAGCAGACCAAACTCTGAGGCCAGCCACTTTAACAGCACTAATGGATTAAACCACCTTAATTTATGTCTGAGTTATATTTTTAATGAGAACTTTGACTTTTTCACCACTTTTATCAGCAGAGAAAATCTTCCCTTTGGTCCTTATTAACTGCAACAGATTTAGGTGCCACCCGGGCTGTGAAATACTGGATTTGCCCTGCTCATATCCCCTCTGAATCTAGGTGGCTCCAGTCTAGTGAAAAATGCTTGGAATTTGCAAACCCAAGACTTCGGGCCTCAACTTCACTTTATTCTTTGGCCTGGTATTTACAGCTCTGTCTAGTGTCTGAGTTCAGCAGTGCATCCAGGTACCACCCAGTTCTGCACTAATTCTTCTGAAATAAACATTCAACAATTGTACTACACATAAGTGGAATCAAACAGGTTCCCAAGTCATAACTGTTGGACAAATTATTCACACAACTTATTAACTGAGCTTCTATGGTCGACCACTGCATGAAAACGTCTGAAATTAAATATTTTCTTAACAGAACAACTACCAACATCTAGTTAAGGTGCGCTGTGTAACTTTTCTGGTGGAGGGTTCATCAAATGGTTTGATGTTATTGCTGTGTCTGGTACACTTCACTGTATGGTATTAAACCTTTTTATCGTGGAGATCAAGCCTGACCAAGTTACAGGTCAGATCTGTGGAGTGGCAACACCGCTCACAGTCAGAATGCCTCCTTTCCTATGTATTTCTGAGCTACAAAAAAACAAAAAACAAAACACACCTGTAATTTAATAAATGTAAGGCAGAGCTATTTTCCAGACAGCAATGACATATCCATAGAAACAAGCAGGTGATGGGCCCCCAACCAAAAAGTTACATAGTACACCATTAAAAAGAGTTTAAGGTAAGTCATTCCTTGTTGACCTTTGACCTCTCTCACTCCCACTAGGTGACCTCTCAGGGGCAGTGGGTGACCGTTGAGCAGCTTCCATCCCATCTTTTGATCTTGAGCTGTAGTTTTGACAACACTGCCTTAGCTGGAGTAGTTTTTCCTATTTTCCATGCTTTATTTGAATTAAACCCAAAATTCACACATGCGTTTTTTATTTATTTTTTTAATATATATATATTTTGTAACATTTAATCGAATTGTGAATTATATTGTCAACATCAGAGGTCCTTTCGTCTTAAGGCCACCTCAGACTGGAACAATCTGCCTCCATCACTGAGGTCTCTAACTTTTTTTTGCTTCTTTAGAATGGCTCTGTTAAGTCATCTGAAAACTGACTGCCACTGCTGTTGATTCTGTTAACACTGTGTCTGTGTTAATGAATCTATGAGATAAAGATATGGGGGGTGGGGAGGGATGTGAGCAAAATTGTCCTGTTAGTTGTTCTGTATATGTATTGTATGTATGTATTGTTGAACTATGTGTCTGTAAGAGAGAGTAAACTGTATGTTGTATGTTCTTGGTCCCCCTTGAAAATGAGATGCTGCATCTCAAGGGGCTTTCCATGAATAAATTCAAATAAATTCAAAGTCAAATATATAGAAACGTCAATGATATGGTTAGGTCTTTTTACTCAATAGGTCTACAGTCAATCCTCTATCAGTAAAAGTGTGTAGTTTGAGAGTTCATACATTGTTTAGGAATGCATTTTACTGTTTTTTGTATTAAAAGGCAGTGATTAAGTTTGTTTTTTTATTGTCAGGAACTTAATTGTGACAGACATTTTCTTAGTTTTTTAAAAATACAAATAAAAACTAAATCGAAATCACACTCAATCAGTATGAGGGATAAAAAGTGATTAATTCAGTTGTAATATCGGCCAGCCCTAGTAAAGACTATTTCACTTCTTGTGACCATTTACAGCATCTTACAGCTCATCCACTACTTCCACTATCAGATACAATAGGCAGATGAGGCAAGCCGCTTATTTAGGCTCAGCAAATCACATCACGATCGGAAGCAACAGAAGGAAATCAGACCATCATTCTCCAGGGAACAGAGCACCCACGTCAGTTACTGGTACAGATAACGGTGAGGGTCTGGGTTCTCTCAGTCACCAGTACTAACCACTGTTGTCAGGATAACAAAACGTCAAACTGTATTTCGAAAATTAGGAACGCAGCACCAAAGCATTGAACTCAAATGTGATACTGCCTTTAACTGGTCTATGA